GGAAATTAAATACGCTTTGATTATAATTATTAAATAAATTCCAAGAGTAAATATACTATATAATAATAATTATATTAAAATTTCTAATTTAATTAACTTCAAAATTAGGAAATCCGAACCCTCTAATTACTATCGCCCAATAGTAGAAGATATAATTAAACCTATCCCCGTGAAACCTTTTATTAATTAATAAATTAACCCATCTTCTACGGCTAACCCTCCTCTTCTTATTCAATAGCCGCTCAAAATCGTCTACTCTAATATTAATTCAAAATTAGAAATTAATATAGAATAATATATTAAAGCGTATATATACTTAAAGGCCTATATTATAATTAACCTAATCTTTTATTATTAAAATAATGTTTATTTCAATATTAATTGTATTAAATCTCTTGCAAATAAATCGTAAATTGTTCAAAATTATCTTAAAATTTAAATTCGTTGTCGAACTTCTATAATACTAATCTAGGGTATTAATAATAATTAATATATTTCCAACGAATATATTATTTTCAATATATTCTTCAAGGGTAGAAATCTCTAAAATTAAAAGGTTGTAATATATTTCCAGCGTAAAGTTTTATTCGTTAACAGATTAAATACTTATTTATTATTCAGTATAAATATCCTAACCTTCGAAAAATTTAATATCCGTGTAAATTAAATGGATCCTACCGTAACCATTAATTTTTATAATATTACTATCCTTATATTAATTTAAATTAGAGGCCGGAAGTATAATACCTAAATTATTATAATTTAATACGTTATCATCTAATTTAAATCCTTTATTCGAATCCTAATTCGCTACGGAGTACCCGTTAACGGTTAGGATCTCCTATTCGAACCTTCCCCCTAAAATAAGGTAACCTCTTTTATAATATTAATAGATTTAATAATAACCTATACCCTAATTATTAATTTAACTAATTAACTGATTATTGTTAGTAATAACTAAACTATTAGTCGCTTACGTACAGCCGACGACGCTTGCACCCTAATTTAAATCCTGGTAAATGACAATATCAATTTAAATACTATTTATTTAATAACTAATTAGCCCTATAATAAACGTTACCTCGTCGATTATCTTAAATTTATTAATTAAAATATTATTAAGTATTATATTAGCATCCGCGTCTATAAGGACTATAATAACTTAGAAATATACGAAAGGATATTAAAATTATTAAACGAATTCGTAAACGTTTTTTAGGACTGGGGCTTCGCTTTGTTTCCTAAAAATTAATAATTATGTATATTATTAAAATCCGAGTAGGAATTTAAAATCTTAAAAAAATACTGTATATACTCTGTAAGATTAAAGGAAAAGAAAATAATCTGTAATACCCTAAAGAAGCTCGTTAAATAAAAAAGAATATATAAAATAACAAATTAAGTACCCTTTTCGTTCCTTATTTCTATTATTTAGCGTAATATTAAATAGAATTTATAATGGCCGAATAATCGTCAATATTCGCAGCTTTAATAAAATTATCCTCTTTAATTCCTATTTAAAAAGTTCCTAAGAAGATATACTAATTAATATTAACGATAAATAGTATATTTCTATATACGACGCTGTTAATTTCTATTATCAATAGTGAATATATTCTAATTTAATTCGCTATTTACGATTACTATATTGAAAGGTCAATATACTTTCAATTATTTAATAATAAAATTCAAAGGCAATAAGTTTTTCGTTTAATAATAAATAGATAATATTCTTTATAATATTCTAATAGCCCGAAAATATTATAATAATATCATTATTACGTTGGTAATTATTAATAAATATATTGAAGATTTACGTTGGTTATGTAAGGCCTTAAAAATTATAAATATTGGTTTTAAACATTCTAAATCCTTTTCTAATTTTCTTAATAGTATTGTCCTTAGTTGAATAGTAGAGTCCTTCGGGTTATTTACTACCCTTAAATATTTTAATGTAATTAAACGGTTATAATTCCCCCGGACTCTAAAGGATCATAAATATTTCTTTGGTTTTACTAAGTATTTATGTAATAATATATTTTTATTTTTAATATTAATTTCGCCGTTATAGGAATGTAAAATTAAATTAATTAAAAATAACGAAGGCTTTAAAAAGATATAATTTAAATATATTTAAAAAGCTTAGGCCGGTAAAATTTACTTCGCTAATATAATACCTTTTTAATTATCGTCGACTATAGAAAAGATAATATTCAAATTTATTAAAAATAAATTCCTAAATAAAACGATATTAATTTTCTTTTCCGTTGACCGCTAATTCTTTATAGATTTCGATATTTCTAAATACAGTATCGGGATATAAATCTATTATATTAAAGAAGAAAATATCTCGAAAACTTTAATAGACGGAATAATAATTGTCTATCTTCCGTATATAAATATTTAACTTATTGCCTTCCTAAATTGAATATTATTGAAGACGGAATATAAATACTAGCCTACCGAAATAGAAAATTTAGAATATATTTAAATAATAAAGAAAATCTATTATTAAATATAAGTTATTAAAAAGATCCCCGTCGTATTTACTAACTATTAAATTATTTTAAGATTGTAAAAATAATTTGATATAATTAATACTTTAGTAACTAACGTAAATAATAAAAAATTCGTTACAACCTTAGAATATATTAATTAATATAATTTTTATATAAGTCATAAACTTAGTGAATATTATATTGTCTTAAACGCATTATTTAAACTTCTAACCGACTTCGGATTTAATAATAACTTTAATGCCCTTAGTAGTTTTAATATATTTCTTAATAATTGTAAAGAATATTCATAAATTTATTTCACCGCCTTACTGGTTATATATTTAGCGTTAATTAGAGATGAATTAGAAAGTAATTTCTAAATAAATTAATTTATAACTAATATTAAAAGGTATACACTAATTTAAATATCCCCTAACTGCCGTCGGTAATTAATCGTCGGATATATATTAGACCCGAAATTAAGTAGGATCCTTAAATAAATACGAAAGAATAAATAATTAAATTACTAGAATTAAACTTAATTCCTTTTCTAATTGAAGAATAATTTGCTTTAGTAAGTAATCGAAAGTAACCCGGATTGCTTATATATACCGTAATCTTATATTAAAGAAATCTTTAATTCTATTTATAATGGCAAATATAGCGGATATACTAAAATTAATGAATACCTCTTATTTTATTTTATTATCGACAATCTTAAATTTCTCCGACGGTACTTAGCTAATTATTTAGAATATTTCATTTTCGAAATAAAGTAGTATGAAATATATAGTAATTTTTAACCGATTTTAAGACCTTCCTATCCTTTTTTGTACTATTATTATCAATTTTATTATCGGTCTTCCGACGTCCCCCGAAAGGTTTAATACCGGTTTATTTATAATTTATAAATTTAATAAAACTATTAAAGTAATTCCTAATAAAAATATTTGGACGGCGAAAGAGTAAGCGATAGCCTTTCCAAATTAATTATCTATTATTAACTAGGATTCACTCAAAATTATTATTAGTAATAAGGATTCCAAATTCCTATTTAAATTCTAGAAAGTCTTATTTAAACGCTTAAGAACTAATTTCCTATATAGTACAGTATATTACCCTTAAATCAATAGTTAAAATAAACGGACTAATTTTATTAGTAAATTAACGCTATAATATTATATTAATGTACTAAAGGACCCTAATCTATAACCTACTATAATCCTTACTTTAATTTTTAGTATTAATAATATTCGAATATCGGCTACTAATATATCCCCTAACGAAGCTATTATAAGATTTACGCCAAACGTTGTAACGGATTTAATTTTAAGAGCCGTAGATTTTAAAATTTAGGATCTAATTTTACTATTAATAAAAATAACTATCGATAACGTAATTGCAACGTCGGCAATATTAATGAAAGAATATTTTAATCGAGGCCGATTACTGAAATTCTTTAATATTAGCTAGAAAATCTTATTAAAATTCTATTAAAATTATATTATCCTAAAGGCAACAATTTTTTAAAAAAAGGTAAATTAATAATTCGTCGGCCTATTTAACGTTATTGAGAAAATCGGTCGATCGGCGTATTATTTAAATCTACTGAAAGACTAGAAGATTCATCCTATTATTAATATTAATTACTTTAGACCGGCGCCGCCAATAGATATTTTTAGTAAATAACTACTATATCTTAGCCTAATCTGTCTCTCCAATTATCTTTATAACGTAGTAAGCTATAATAAACGGAGGAAGAAATATTTAATAGTATACGAAGGATTAGGAATAAAGTATTACAAATAAAAAAAGCTAAAGAAATTAGTACTAACGCTATAAAATATTATAAAGAAAAGATATAACGAAATAGCTTTATTATATAAGGAATAGCGTACGTAATTATAATATACTAGGAGCGATAGTTTTAAATAGTTTTCTTTATCCTCTCCTATCTATCTTATTTTTATAAAAGTATATTTAATTAGACTTCTTTCTTTTATATTTTCTTTACGACGAGGACGTCGCATTTTTTCCTTTTTTAGGAGGTATTATTAGCGCTTACTAAACATGCACATATGAGGCAGGCGCACCCTGTACTCTGTGCCCTATATATATAGCCAGCGCATCATGCACTTTGTGCAGTACCTCAGATTCTACAGAATACATCACACATTGCACACACAGGTTGCTTTCGCCTTGCTTATGCCTCTGGCATTGACAATTGCTCATCGGATTGTCCTTTGTTCGGTCGCAACTGCCAACGCTCAACTTCCACTTCACACCCATCTGTTCCCCCGCCCTGCGTTTCGTCCCCCTCAGCTTGCAACTTCCATCCCTCTCAGCATAACCCCATCTTCCTCGATATCTCTCCTTTCCAATACCGGCAAGTATCCATCTCCTCCCTTCATCTGGCAACAGTCCTGCCTCTTCCAGCTTCCATGAGAGCATCAACTAATTCCGTCTCGCACATTTCGCCCAGGGCACTTCTTCCAGCTCAATTCATGCTTCCTTGATGCAACCCAAGCACCCGCAGTACTCTGGATGCACCAGCCACCCTGTCTCTTTCTCCGCCTCGACCCCTAAGCGCTGAAGGATGTCCTCCCATAACTCGGACTGAGCACTCGGGGTGTACTCGACCTCCATGGAGTGAACAGAACTGGTGGACAGCAGATCGCTAGGACTGTATTCGACCTTCATGGAGTCGCAAGAACCGGTCGACGGAGTACCCGCGGTAGTCAGGCTGGGAGTACTACCACATCCCCAAGGCGAGTCGAATGAGATCGGCTGATCAGTCGGATCAAGCTCCACGACCATCGAACCGATCGACGTGTTGGAGACCGTGCTCCCACATCCCGAACGATGAATATCGCTTGGGCTGTACTCGGCTGTCATGGAGCCGACAGTAGTCGTGGACCGATCACTCGGATCGTATTCGACCTTCTTGGAGTTGGCAGAGGTGGTGGACAAAGTGCTCGCGGTGGTCAGGGGTGGAGTGCTACCACATCCCCAGCGAGAAATATCACTTGGGCTGTACTCGACCCTCATGGACTCGACAGAGCTTGTGGGAATGGTACTCGCATTCGTCAGGGCGGGAGTACTACCACATTCACCAGCAAGAGAATAATGATCCATCGACTTTGTTTCAGGCGCCTTTCCCTTCGAGGACTTTGATGCTCCCGAAAGTTGAGACGCTCTCTCCTCGCTGATGTCAGAGAGTTTGTCGTGGAAGACATGCTCGTCAAGCAGCCTCTTCGTGTCTTCGCGGGATAGACGACGGCGGAGGGGTCGGGGCCAAGGAGAGCTCAGTCGAGGTGCGGGCTTGGGTTCCGTCGCCTTTGGTAGCTGTTCGTCTTTGGGAAAGGTTGGGAAAGGGACATTATTGTTGCTGTGGTCCTGGTCACGGGCAGTCCCCTCATCGTTCGCGTCGGGTGGCTGAATGCGAGGGGCCGAAGGCTGCTGGCGCTTCTTCACTGTTCCTGTCTTTGGGAATTCTTCCTCGAGGGGCTTCGGAGCCGAAAGAATCTGGATGGTGTGAGCCCCGCCTTGGAAAGTACTGATGCTTTTCTTCGCTTTCTCTTGCCCCTGCTTCAGTTCTCTCTTTGGCTCTGGCTTCGGTACTGGCTTGGGCTCTGGCTTCGAAGGCTTCTCTTCCCTTGTGGATTTCGGGGCTGAGACTTTCTTCTTGGTGTTTGCCTGATGGACGACGTTATCATTCTTCGTCGGCTCTCTTGGGCGCCCAGAAAGGTGCTTCGAGGTCACAACCGGGATAGTACCGCCTGATGGAGTTGCCGTGGCTTCAGATTGAGACGGTAGCGACTCGGGCTTCGGGACAAGGGGGCTTGATGAGAGTTTGGGAAGCCCTTGTGCGGTGGATTGGGGTTCTTTGCGAAGGGTGGGCCCAGACACATCAGTCTCAGCGACTTGTTGAACTTCTGGCTGTCGATATCCGCGCTGTGTAGTTGACTGTTTCTCTGCCGCTCTGTTACGATCCAATCAAGGATCCCTTATGTAAGCTAGATCAGATAGAACCAACGGGACCAATCAGGTAGGACCCGAAGGAAGGACCCGAAGGCCCGGGTCCTTAGGCCGGGTCCCGGGGACCCGATACGGAGGTTCGGGTCCACGGGTCCGGATTGACGGGTCCATGAAGGCCAGTATATAAGACGGCCTCCCCAGGCCTCTTGGATACCGGCTCTTCAGCAAGCAATAGCTTCTGCAATCAATCAGTACCTTTCGGCTACTACTACCGTTGTTCTACCTATCCCAGCGATATACTCCTGTGCTTGTAACGGTTCGTCACACGCTCCTTCCTCAACCTCTCCCGCTTCTTTCTCTACTGTCTTCTTATTCGAGAGGGATTTGGAGGTAGCTCGGTGGAGCCTCTCACTCTTTGTCTTCGTCTCTTGGGACTGGGATTCGTAGAATTCGATGAGGTCCGAGAAGACCCGTGATCTATATAGCTTGGGGTTGTCCTCCAACGGGTCCTCATCACCAGAGGCTTCCTCGTGACGATGGCTGGTGCCCAAGTGGGGACCGCGGTAGCGGGTGCTGCGAGGAACTTCCAGGGGGTTTGGATAATCGCCTGGCTCTGGTCGAGGGATTATTTGAACCCTCACCCCCGTCTCACTTTTCCCATGTTCGCACTCAATCAGCGTTTTTCCTTCGATGTCTTCAATCGCCACCATGATTTTCTCCTTGTCCTTACCGCTCTTCTGTTTCTTCTCTTCTTTATCCTCCTTCTTGACATTCTTCTCGTGGTACTTCTCTTTCTCGAGCTTTTTGTTTTCCCCAAGCCATTTCTTGATTTCGAGCCTTTTCTCTTTCCTGGATCTTCTCTCCTCCTCGAATCTTTCCTCCTCGAGTCTTTTCTCCCTTTCAATCTTCTCCTCTCTGAGTCTTTCTTTCTCAACTCTCTCCTGCTCCAGCCTCTCTTGTTGGAGCCTCTCCTTCTCCAGTTTCTTCTCCTCCTCTGCCTTTCTCTTCAAACCAGCTTTTCGTTCCATCTCGCCCCTCTTCCGCGCGCTATCGCCTTCCTCTGCCCACTCCAGAGTCTTTAGTCTTATATCCTTGACTTTTTCCAGCCTCGATGCAGAGCCACCGTCGCCCATGTCCATGCCAATGATCTTAATCACTTGCTGAAGCATGACCAGCTCCTGTCTTTCGAGGCCAGAATCTGCTGCTCGACGGTTCGTTCCACCACCGCTCTTCGAGTCTTGATGACGGAACACATACTCCGCGGGTACCCGTCCCGCTTGAACGGGGAGACTCCATCTCAATCTGTTCTTGTACTTCTAGTACGCTAGAACAACGTTGTTGGACCTCGTCGGATTTTTGAAGTCCTTGCCGAGGGCTTCGGCGGCATACGCTTCGTAGTACTCCCGGCACTTTGGACAAAAGCCGTATTCGACCTCGTGAAGGATGGTTGCAAGTTGCCGGCAAGATTTTGAGCTTGGGCGAGTCTTGGTGGCGACAGGCTTGAGTGACTTGAGACACCATGTCAGAAAGGCGTCTTTCACTTTGCTTCCTGTGTCGACAGCTGGAGGCCATGGTTGAGGGCTGGGTTTCTTGGGACTGAATGTGGCGACGTCGCAGGGGATCTCCCGCTTGGTGACATGGCCGCATACGGAGTGCAGCTGGCGCAGTTGGTGGCACATCGCGATGTTGCGTCGGTGGTGTTGATGATACCTGTTGGCTGATGGGTTAGCGCACGATTTGAGATGAGGTAGATGAGGGTATTGCTTACGGGAAGCTGTGGGCTAAGTGGTGTTGTCACCATGTAGTTACGATTGTCTTTCAAGCAGCCACGATCAAATGTTGGGTCTGATGTGATGGGGTTTAACGTGGTGATGCTCTCGGAAGAAGAAGACAGTTCCAAGTTTGGCGAGCTCACCCCGCGAGATATACCATGCCAACAGTCGCCTGCGTGGCAAATCTGTTTGGTCTGTTGATTCCTTGGTCGCTATATTATGGTTCCTGTTTTTTTTTGTAAGTATATACTGTGAACAGCGATGCTGTTCGTGGTGTTGTGCCCAGGGTTCGGGGTCGCATGTTGTTTAGGATCTGAACACTGAACTCATGGACAGTGAGGCAATGAGATAATTTGACTACGTGGAGGGAGCAATAGGGTAAAGCGATATGGAAACCTTGATATATGGCTTGTTCATAGCATGGAACTGTGATTTAAGCAAAAATATTCCAGTGTGTAACCGTGTAAGAGGGAGGATGAGAGGTGAAAAAATTATTGCTTTCCACATGCTTGATGATAGAAACATTCCTATCTGAGTTACGCATGTTCACCTGCCTCTGAACTTTAAGAACACATCCGCTTTACCGAAGATACCTATATATTGAAAAGGGAACCACTTCCTTATGTTCAGTTGAGATCTTGACTACGGACCAAGATGCACACGGGTGAGGATGGTGGATGAAAGAAGCCGGAGGACGTGCACTTCCATAATCCATCTCAGCATCATGAAAAGTCTATATTCTGCAATGTCAAGCTTAGATGCGGAGAATCTTCAAGACCGAGGTGAGCTAAAGTATCAAGGTGCTACGAAGGTGTCTGGTATCGGACATATCTGCGGGTGAGAACAAACGCATTGTCATTTGTCACCAAATGGAAGAGGGAGATTCATCTAACAGTTTGAGACAGCAACAGATACACACACTTGGAAGCTGTGAAAGAGCTCAGAGTGCAGTTCAGTTGCAAATAACTTCAACATCACTGCTGAAGAAAGCGAAAAAGGAAATCGGGAAAGAAAAAAGTGCCAAGGCCCAACTGTGGAGTAAGTCAACCCTCCTCCTCACCAATCAAAACTCGAGGGCTGTGGCCCGAGGTCTAGACCGTCTCGGTTCCGGGTTAGGGTTTCGAACGACACCTCAACAGGTAAGGTAGATACTGACGCTGCCCCCGTCTCTCCCGTTCAGCTTTGAGCCTCATTGTAGAATCATCGCGAAGATGGACAGTCACTACCTAGTGGTGTGGTGAATCACAGGCCATTATCGTCAATCCATTCTGTTCTGATCAACTTAACTTGCTGGGCTGATAAGATTCGACCCCGTTGGAAATCACGACGTGGAAATCGACACCTGAACCCCGCGTTCGGCCCGAGTCAGGAGCGTTTCACTTCTGTTCCTTCCATGCCATTTGAACAGGCATTCATTGGAGTTTCTGGAAACGACAATGAGTAGTTTAAAGGGTGTGGAAAGTACCTCTACGTACTTCTGGCAGAGTTTTGGCTTCCTATACCAGCTCCTCAACCTTCCCCACGAAACACGCATCCTCTTCCTCGATCCCGGCATGAGGAATGCTGGAATTCTGACCCGACCCAAGTACAAGCTTCGCTGCAAATCCTATTTTCCACTCCGGCAATATCCAACAACTCAACAGTCCATGCTTATCCGTATCGTCACCTTCCACTCTGTCGACTTTTCTCAACACAAACAAACTCAAGCCCTTCTTCCAAGACTCCGAAGGCAAAACGGCGTTGCCTTGTGCATCGATCTTGCTTCACGAGAAGCTCGGGACGAAGCGGGCCCATTCGGCAGTGTCGTATACCCCGTTTGGAGCCGCCCGGAGACTGGAGAACATGATTGCAATGAGCACAAGCCGAGCAACCGTATAAAAGATCGCGCTAATTATGTTGAGGAATCTTGAGAGTCTCTGTGCCTGAATGTCGCGATTCTTCCCGAGTTCTCGGTATCCCTTCTCCTCATCCGAGGGAGCTGGCTGGGCACAACGTGAGAGGATCCAATGGAACACTCCTTCGGGCCCTCCATAAGGAAGCCCTCCTAGGTTTCCATGGAGTGATGGGTGCTTTTTTTTCATCCAGCCCTGGTATTGATCTCTGAGGCCATAAGCCTGGTCCCTTGGGTCCCTCAACTTGCTGCAAATATCCCAGATAATGTTGATTAACCTTTCTGCATCCCTGCTTCCATACTTGATGGGCCTCAGCTCTTTTAGGGAACTTCGGAGGTTGCTCAGCTTCTCAAGTTCCCACTCTAGTCTTTTTTTATCTTTTTTCATTTCGGCATCGGCATGCCCATCGATCCAGTTTTCCCACTCCTCGGTGTTTACTGCAGTTGTGAAGGCGTCCCACCATTCGTGGTCGGCAATCAGTAAATTGGTACCATACTCATCAAATATGTTTTTTACGGCTCCTGTCACCCTCCGCTTAACGTCTCGAGGTCTGTAGCGTAGAATAGAGAAGCTTCCAGCCAAGGCAAATATGGGTAAGGTCGTTGATACCAAGGCAGCCGCTTGCCAGGCATGCTGCTCCACACGCGTCGGAAACCGGAACGACCAAGCTATGCAATGGATGCCTCCGAACACAAGGCAAGATCCTGCCATCAGTGACCATGCCAAAGTTGTGGAGTTTCTTTTGCCTATCCACAGCTCATCGTTTGTTATCCGATTGCCTGGGGATATAGTGTCCGCATAACGATGAGGAGGGGGGCTAGGGGACCACAAGCGAGCGAAGAATGGCTCGGTTGTGCGTTCAACCTGATCTTCTTCTGTGCCTTGATCCACCACAGCATGAATTGCTGTTGGCTGCGTGATATCTTTGGGCTTCCACCAATTGATCAGATGTGTGACTATAGCGAAAACTGAAAAAGACGCTGTTGCAATTTCAAGTTGTGTAACGGGTTGACCACCCGCACCACGCGTAATGAGATCCAAGATAAGCCGTCCAATTTGAATCACAGCAATTGTCTTGACGATCCAGTCCGCTTTGCTTTTATCCTTGATGTCGTTTGCTGATAGTCGAAGTTCTCTGAGTGGATGACCGAGCCCCCATGTTTTCAAACCCGAAACTGCGTGGTCGCCCCGTACGACTGAATACGAGTGAGTAAGATATGGCTGCCTTCCTTCCTCAGTCCATTGTTTCATCCGCTTCAGCCCGACTATTCCACCCATGTTGACGTAATATGCGTGTGTAAGCGTCCATTTCTGAACTCTCACCACCGCAATTCCTCTGTCATAGAGGTGCCTGTCTCTGTCTGAGAAGCTCTTATTGAAAAATGTCTTCAAATTCTCAGCCATCTTCCCCTCGTTGTCCAGTTCATGTACCGATCTCGATCCGTATTTCTGATCCATCATTTGTTGACCCGGTGAGAGATTGTCCACGTATGGTGAATGCTGCAGTAGTATTTTGTATAGCATGCTCTTCACTGGTTCAAATTCGACGGTCCATGCCCAAATAACCCAACAGGAACGGCCATTTTGGACTTTCGCCTCTGACACGATTTCGAAGGAGTGCTCTGGCGAAAATGTAATGCTTCGGTACATCTTGTCAAGCGTGTTGTATAACGCAAATCGAAGCTCGCAAACAGCTTTGGCGAAGATGAATTCGGGAAAGAGAACTGTAATAGCCATCCATTTCACTTTGCGTAGAACCCGTGTCTTGGTGGAATCGGTTATAGCAGGAACGTTGAGGTGCAAGACGGTCCAGGTGCAGGCAAAGATTGTCGTCAAACATTCAATAATGATGGTCAAGGTTCCTCTCCTTTTGGGATTGCTCACCCACCCTACTGTGGCCTGCTGATTGCCATCGGGTAGGAGTGTTGATGTCGGTAGCTGGGCGGTCGTGTCTTCTGCACTGATAAGGACACAGTACCATAAGATGAGAGAAAGGGTGAAGGAGAAAGCTGACGAGCGGGAAGTCATGGCCACCACCAATCGACGGAAGGCGTAAAGGGAAGGCGGTATAGGTAGAGGTAACAGAGACCAAGATTTCGCTGGCGGAACAATTCGGTTGCACTGAGTTGACGGAGATTTTGGATTACAGAGTGATGCAGCGATTTCTCTTTGTGGGATGTGAATAGAAGACTGTAATGAAGGAAGCGACAGAGGGGATTACGGAGCAGAAATAGGGCAGCAACCAAATCAGGACAATTTCGCGAGAGCAAATGCAGCTGAGCTTAGAGGTAGCCTCATTGACTTGGTACCTGTACCCAATATGTACCACAAGGACAAAGCAGTATCATTGCTAGAGGTAAGGAAGACCTGCCAAACGAGTGTCTAGATCTCTTCACTTTCAGCCGCACGATAACAGAGCTATCCAGCACATCAGGCCCATATCCAGCACAACATGCAGAAACTACAACTGACTTGCGCTAAGAACACACCCGTGACACCTTCACGACGTGGTGCTAATGGACGTCTTGAGCGTAACATGCTTGACTTCAGAGCCTATCAGACTTAACGAAATGCCCGCCTTCATACGTGTCAGCGCCAAGAACCACTTCTTTTCATGATGAATTTACCTTATCAGGCGCCATCATTGCTGGACAGATTCAACATTCATCAACCGGAGACTTTCATCCGCACTTTCGTTGCCACTCGTAGAGCCTGACTTGCCTCGCATGTGGCATCAAGCCGTCATAAAAGCCTTCGAGAAACGGACAACTCTATTGAGGTACGTTTAGAAAGAAGAAATGATATTCGGCTCACGGTACGCGTCCTCAAGTCTGTGGCACTCACCCCTCCTCCTCAAGGTCGGCACTTTCCCTTTGCCTGCTCTCTTTGCTTTCTCACTTTGCCCCCTCAGTGACAACTGGACGTAAAGAACTCCACATTAAGCCTCAGTAAGGTCCAGAACCGCATAGCCACAGCTGGGAGCCTGGGACTGGTTGATACCACAAGACGGACCCTCGCTGCAGATAACCTCTAGGTCGTAATTGGGCTCTTCTGCAGGACAAAAGTTCCTAGCTCAACACCAGCCTAGCGCTTCGTGAGGTATCTATCTTTGTGATTTGATGAAGCGGCGGATACGTGGAGGTGGCTATGATTGTCCATGCGAATGAGACCTTCGTCGAACTTGCCAGGAGCGAGGTCGTTTTTCCCAATCGCGGGGAAGGTTGAGGGGCCGACATAGGGCCTGATCGGTAACGGGAAGTCGAGTCGGCTGTCCAGGTTTTTTTCGTACCAAAGTCCTTTTTCCGACCTCGCTAAACTGGTTTTAGTAATACTTTAGCGCGTCAAACTATTCTTAAACCTTCGGATAGTCGGAATAGTCCCACAAGGAGGTACTACGCTAGATAAGCCCTTTTGAAGTCCACAAATTCCCTTATATAATTTAGACTCTACCATTTCTTAGCAGTTAAACAATCGAAATAACAAATTGAAAATCCTTCCTATCCAACACTCCTATCTAGAAAATTTAATAAATCAACTATTCGTACGTACTATTACAATTCATACTAATACTTACCTTAATGATAATACTTTAATATTATACTCTATAATACTATTTTATTGATGTAAATAAATAGTTTTCGTATATATTATTATTTTAATTATACGTATAATATTAGTATATTATTCTAACCGTTTAATTGTACTAGTATATTATAGCCTAATAGAAATTAAAATATTAGCGGATAAATTATATCGCGGGTCAATAAAATAATTTCGAAACGAATTTCAGATAAATTAAAATGTCTTCCATAAATTAGTAAATTAGTTAAAAGAGAATATTAACCTAAAACGTACGGAGTACCAATCGGTTAAATAGAAGGTTATAATTGTATTATATATTTTAATATAAAAAATTTCCTAGTAAATTACTTTATACTTTTTATAAATTAACTACAGTTTTATATATTTAAATTTAAATAACATATTTCAACGGTTCGTTGATTTATACAAAAACTGTATTCATTTACCAAAGAATAATTAAATTAATCCCTATATCGAATTAAATCCTAAATATAATAATTTTAATAACTATATTAGCGCAATCGACGGTATTTATATTAGCGCCTTTATAACATCTAAATACTAAATCCAATAGCGTAATAAATATAATCGTATTACGTAAAATATATTTACGGTAATTCAGTTTAATAAATTTTTTAACTATATTCTAACAGATATAGCAAATTCGATTAACGACCCTTCGTTAATATATTAAACATTTATATAATCTTTTTATATACTACAAAATCAATATTACTTTATTAATATTAAATTCACTATACGGTAGGGGGTAATCGTCCCTTTTATAAATATTAAATACTATTTATAAAATTAGAAAATAAGAGGGAAAAAACTAAAAATCAGGAAAGAATTATATAATTTACGTTATACCTACTTAAAATCTATCGTTGAGCGTATGTTTAAATATTTTAAAAGGATATAAAAAATTAACCAAAAAACTTAAAATTCGAATATAATATAAAGTACTAGAAGGATATTATATCTACTATAATTAATATCCATAATTTCTTACTATCTTTGAAAAAAGAGAGGTTAATTAATAACAAAACTAATAAGGAAGCGATTTTCAATCTCGCTCGCGACCGCGCTAACTGGACTATTAGCGAAAATAATTCTTATCGCATACGCTATATAGCTACGTATTTAAACTAGGATTATTAGTAGTAGTAGATTTGTAATAATAATAAAGTTGATAATAACGACAATAATAACAATAACGACGATAATAGGGTAAATGAATAAAAAAGAATATAAATAAAAAGGAAGGAGGTGGAAGGAGGGGATGTTAAAAGTTTGAAGCAAATATATATAAAAATCGATTTATATAACTAAAAATTCAAACTACCTTTTTTTACTAGTTTTACTAATTTTATTATATAGAAATCAAACTAAGCATTTTTTATTAAAATCTAGCATTTTCACACACACACTCTCTACCCCTCTTTTCAATCCTCGTCTTCTCCCTTCCACTTTTAGATATACAATCACTTTACCTCACTATTACAATTATTATATTTAACCGCCCTTATTAGCCTCCTTTCTAAATAATTTATTTTAATTATTATCTCTCACCGGGTAATTTTACTTATAAACCTCTTATTAATATCCTCAATAAGTTTCTAGAAGTCCGCAACGCTTAATAGACTAGCGAAAATAACCGCCGCATTTACTATCAATTCACTCAACTCCGTAACAATATTAGAAGCGCTAACAACGCGCAATATCCTCTTTACTCTCACTAATACTAAATCTTTATAATTCCTAAAAGAAATATAATCTAAATTATTTTTACAATTATATTTCTAAATAGCAATTTTACAAACGGATCTATTATCTTCCTCCTAACTACCTTCTTAACTACTTAAACCGTTATTAAAATTACTAGAGCCATTACTAATTTAATTTCGAGCACTAGGATCTTCATCCCCGCTATTCTCTCCTACTTCTAAAATACTATACCCGGAACCTTCTCTCTCTAAAATATATCCTTATATATTTCCCTCTTACTTAAAAGGGTACTATATAGCTAATTATAATTCTTAATCTCAATATTTCTATAAAATAAGAATTTATCCTATACTTCCTTAAAAATTTAAAGTAAATTGATCGATTAATTATACGTTATACCTGAAGTTTTAATAACCGCTTTCTAAATATAAAACTTCCCTCGCTTAATATTATACTTATTTTTAATAATTTTAATAATCTAGAGGTTTCTAAATCCTAATTATTTTTTGCAATATTTTTTTAATACGTTAATTTATACGTTATTATAATTGCGGAGGTTATTAAAAAATAGGTTACCCTTACTCTTTTCCTTTTAAAACTATTTTATTATTTAATCGGAATATAATTAATACGAAAGGGTTTAATTTAATTCTATGTTTAAAATTAAAATTAACGACCTTTCTTACGTAGTTAACTAGCGGTTTAGCAGGGTCGCTTCCTAAGGGTTATTATTTAATTAAGCTAATTAAATTAATTAGGTTAATAAAAAGTAGCGCTTTATTATTAATTAATACATCTATACTAAATTTAATACTATTAATAATTTTAAAAGTATAAGGTTTATAAAATTTAATAATATTTGTAGGGGGATTAATAATTGTACTAATAAGTATAGAGGTATAAGGAAGTATAGCCGCTAGTATAGCTACAGGAGGTTAATTCTCCTCTAAATCGATTAGTAGTATTTAAGTATTATACCCTAAATATTAACTAGGTTATTAAGAGTACTAATACTAATTGGGCTCGTATTAATTGGGTTCGTACTAATTATACTAATACTAATTGTACTAGTACTAACTAGGTTATTAAAGTTCTATAGGGGGATCGCTAGTATAAAGTAGAGGGTCGCTTTAATAATCCAAATACTCTATAATTATTATACGCCGTCTAGCCGCCGGTACTACAAATAAACTAACCGTCTCCTCGTATAGATTATTAGTATTTATATTATTAATATTATCAATTTAATTATTTTAACTGGTAAAAAACGTCATTGAATAGTAAAATAATTAGGATAATTATAATATACCGAGGTATATATCTATATCGAAGGCGGTAAAGCGGATGAACGCCTGCTAACTGAATTTGTACAAATCTACTAAGTGGGCCTCGTATGCGGTACAATTGCTAGATCAACCTGCAAGATCCCCTTATTAACCCCCAGAAAAGTATAGAAATCGCTAGAAAGTCGACTCGACTTTCCGTTACCGATCACGCCCATAGGAAGGTAAAGCCCCATCGGAAGTGCTTTCTGCATCCTTTCGGTTACCCTTTGTTACTCACTTCCGCTACATGTAGTTCGTAAGAGTGTCCAATCGGTGAAGAAGGGACAGAAGTGTTGTGCTTCGCACTCGGGCCGGGTCGTGGCCCGTGGGGTCTGGACGTCGCGATATCCATGTCGATCAACTTCAAGTACAGGGCAAGTGGTTTTGGGATGGTGACCTGTTCAGTTGCGGATTTGGAGGACAGCGGATCTAATGATGTTAAGCTCACTTCATGTCTACTCCGGGTTGTATCACAAATCTTCATGCACTTTTCTCAAATACCGCAGCGGGAATATAAGGGGCGTAACAGGCCTTGTTGAGCGTTACAGGGAGTAAGGGTAAGTTGAGTTATCTCTAGCGCTGCCTCCATCATGGTTCCCCCCCTCTCTGACATACTGCTCGTTCAACTCATGTACCAATTTTCATTGGTTTGAATGTATTGAGCCTAAAATGGTCAGAGCCTTGTAAAGGCACGCAGATACCAAGTTTTGAGAGTACCTTAATAGAGGCACTGAGAGCAAGGGAGACATTGAGAGCAATGGGTGGCATCGAGAGCCAATGAGAGACATTGAGAGCAATGGCAGGGAGGCATTGGGAGTAATGAGAGGCAATGAGAGCAATGGGAGGCATGGTCCGGAGTAGCTCAGTCGAGAGAACCATGTTTGGTGCCTACGCCATGATTGCCACACCGAGTACCTTATCGAGAAGCCAATTATTCACATACTCCGCCCTATGGATGGCCACCTTTTGGAATGATACGTGCCGAAGACATAGGGCTAAAAATCCGGTGCCATCTCAAATGCCTGCATCACTGGCGTTATGTCTACTGGACTTGGTTGCATGGTAGGACCATAGATGGATATTCACGGTGTTATCCCATATCGAATGTGCCTGGGTTTAAGCCACCGGCAGATCAAGATCACTTCAGCGGAAGCCGGGGTTACAATGATCAGAAGGTTTCAGAGGTGGCCACAAAAGCGATCTTCTGGTGGTCCTGTGACCAGGTCGAGCAAGGGTTTGAGGATACTCTTGTACCCTTCCGTTCCTCTGGCCGTGCACCGCGAGATTCTCCCGAACGCCAAGTCGATAATGAGGCCATTGATAGATGGCGTGAGGGAGTACTGGGGGAAGCTGGGACGTCAAGGGTAGTTGGTAAGGGTTCGGAAACCGTCGATCCGGTTGATGCTCACACAAGGAAGAAAGAGGAACAAGGCAGGATTCCGGATTAGCTTAATTATGACCATCTGACCCTACACTTTCTTAGCCGGACTGTTCCTTCCTCCTCTTAGCAGGCGCCGGTATCGTGACCTTATCCATGCGTAGCGACTCGGAGTCGGCCTCCGACAATTCCACTTGAATTCCAAGGTCCTGGGACAAGCCGTTCGACTTGGAAAGTGCTTGGACCTCAAGGTCCAGGTTAGGCAACTGGTCGATGGCCGAGCAGATTCTCTTGAAGTGGTCGGGCATCCAATTGTCGTAAATGTTCTTGACAAATCGGTATGCCGTCCACTTCTCCTTGCCATCCATGGCCGTAAAGCTAAATTCATGAATCGGATGGCGGTAGTATTTGATGTCCTTTCCATCGATGACCGGATAGTAGCCGTAGATTCGTACCCAGTGATGGTCGTGTGAGACGGAGAACGAAACGATCTGTCGGTGGACCTCGTTCTCCCGCCCCACATTACGGAAGAGCTTGACGATTCCTTGTGCCGCGAGAGCCATGCTGTGGGCGTTCTGGCAGTCCGCAACATCCAAGTCGGATGATGCAAGCCGGCACTTTACCTCACAGGTGAGGAAGGGGAAGTACATGTATTTTGTAGCCATAAAGAAGGATTGGTCGTCGGCGAGGGGGTCGCCAACAAATGGCTTCAACTTGGTAAGTTGGTCGTTGGTGAATGCTTTTTGCCGAAACCCAACGGAATAGTCTGGTTGCGGACGAGGGATTCCAGTTAGGGGGATCGAACTGCTCCATCCCTCATTTATACTCTCGACCAAACACTTGAGGCCGGCGGAGCCGTTTGCTGCGAGAATTTCCGCCGGGGGGACGATTAAGGGCAAAATATCCCGCACTACTCTTGCCTCATTCCTATTCGCCGCGTTTCGGCATGTTTCCTCAAACAATTCGTCTCGAAATAGCGACTCGGTTGGAATCGTTTGCTCGGAAGTGAGCAACGCCATGTAACAAGTTTTACTCTCAACCGTGATCCCATCTTCGGACTTATCCATGAAAACACCTTTGGTTTCGAGCAGTGGCTGAAAGCGCGAGTCTCGGTATTGTGCACTCTTCACCTCGCTCGGCGTCGTCAGCGTCGTCGGCGAGGACAGCGCGGAGTTCGATCGCTTACGTCCAAGTGAGGGGAAGGACCGCCTTCGTGCTCGGTCGTCTTCGTACATGTCGATGTCGAACTCGAAAAGTTTGCGTGGCCAGACTCCTTCTCTTACCCAGAAACCGATTGGATCGTTTGGGTCTCTGTGGCCTGTTTCCTCGGCGAACGTAGTATCCTCAGCAGACGGTGTCGATGTTTGTCGTCGTTTCGAAGAGGGCTTGGGACTAGGACCACATGCGTCTTCGATGGCTCGCTTCCGGTCGTTGCCTTGGATTTTCTTGGACGGCGTAGTATGTGTTGTAGTTGGACTATCTTGGCCTGTTCCTTGTTAGCCATGCCTCTGTCGGCGCTTCGTAAAACATACCCTGATCCTCTGAGATACGCCTCCCTTTGCCGTCTTCCTGGGCTCGAGATTGGGCTCGAGTTTGGGCCATGGCGACGCGATAGAAGTTGGGGGGGGAGATGGATAGATTTAGTATGTACACGTGTAGCGACTGAACGTCGGGAAAGGAACAGGCAACAATCCACGATGACCAACCATTACGCGCGCACCGCGATCATTTGAAGCGCCGCGCCAGAATGCTGCGTGGAGAGAGACCATCAGAGGTTAGATTGTGAAAGTGAGTGGCATGGAGCTAAGATCCTGGTAGGCAACAGAAGTGGCCCAAGCGTTGTGGGCCCGGTCCCAAGCACGGCCTCACATTTGTTATGGGTAGGGAGTTAGTGCTGTTTGCGGGTGGTCCCCATACAAAACTCCACACACACTAACCAAGTCATAGTGTACGGCCCAAAAGTGCACTTTCCGCCAGCAAAAAAGGTGTTGGACCTAACAGAACTTTGCGCTTTTTCTGTTAGTGCACTCTCGTCCAAGAACAACGCGTTCGCCCGCTTCCTCACCACCAGATATCAATATTTATACCTCGATTTCAAGGCAAACGTTGGTGCAACCCAGTATCCAGCTTCTACACAGGCCACAACCCAGGATCCAGCCTTTCATCGCCCGGGGATGGAAAGGCTACTTTGCTGCCTCCTCGAATACTAGTTCCTCCGAGCCAATCATCCTTCGCCGCCACAACTGCTTACACTACCTCTAGATGCCATCGTACCGCAGGAGTCAAGGTTGTGGTTTATAAAGGATCGGGCTGCCCTGCGAATATGCTTCATGGACTTGCCCTAAAAAAACGAACCAGAGTTTCCTCCCCTCTTCAATGACTCTTCCTCGTCACTCTCCAACACAACATGAAAACCAAACCGTCACTATACAAAGACACCCCTTCATTACATTCCACCCCCTCACTCCTCTGAATCATTGCTAACCGTACTCGTCCCACCCCCCTGCGCCTCCGAAATGACCTTGGTCCTAACCACCTTCCCCTCCGCGTCCACATAAATCCAGCTAATCGCCTCAATACCTGGGAACGGCTTATACTCGTACTGCAGCTCAAACTCCTTCACCTTCCCATCAACCTCAATGCTCCTGTTATGTCCATTAAAAGTCATGTCATCCTTATAATACCCGACCACCGTCCTCGACTGCTCGTTCCCGTCATTATCCAGATACTCATCAAAGATCTCGCCATTCTGATCCAACCGGCGATTGCGATGTCTGTTTCCCTGATAGTCGTTGACGGAGTAAAGGATGTTGTGCTCCAAGTTGTAGTTGAAGGGATCGTGGTCTGCTCCGGAGCTGTGGCCACCGGTGGCGGGGACGCGCTTGGATAGGTCATGTTCCGCCGCACCAGCATCAAGCGGCACATCCCTAGCCTGCACATTCCCAGCAGCACTACCCGCCGCATCACCACCACCACCACCACCACCACCACCACCACCAACAACATCCCCAACCCCATCCACAATCTTCCCCACCCCTTCACCAAGCGTAGCAATAATCGGATTCAAATCAATGCTCCTCAACACATCATCCACCATAGCCACCACATTTTCTAGTCTGGCCTCCAGCTCGACCTTGGCAGAGACATTCTCAATCCTTAACTTGACTCGATCAATACTCGCATCCACGCCCGCGCTAAAGTGCAGCAAACTCAAAACCTTGGCGTCCAGGTTCACTTTGGCCGTGATGTTGTCCACCTCAATGTCGATCAGGCCGACGGAGACGGAGGCGTTGAGGTAGACGTCTGGGTCCTCGGGCAGGATCAGGTCATCATCGGAGCCCGTGTTGGCGGTTTCGTAGATGGCGGACTCGGGGTCGCCGCGGTGGGTGAGGCGGTAGCCTATGTAGCCGCCTTCGTCGGTGTCCTTGTCTTCGTCTGTGTTTTGGGACAGGACGGAAGGGGTGAGACGGGAAAGAGCCAGGAGGAGGGCAGATGCCCGGAGGAGGGAGAGGGGCATGGTGGTTTGGGGCCGCGATGCGGTCTTGGTGAGCGATGGAGTGAGTGAGGAGTATCGAAGCTTCAGCTCAGTGGGCAGGCAGTCCTGACTGGCTGGATACCGTATGATGCCAGCTGCGTGAGCTTTGGTTGGGTTTTAAGAGCTCAAAGGACCAGCGGAAGTGATGGAGGCCAGAAAAAATGAGATCCAGACCTTCGAGACAGAAGGTTGGAAAAGGAGATGCGCCGGGTTGAAGTCGTGAAAACTGATGAGAACCGGGATAACAAGAAAGATGGATATCACCTGCAATCACGTCTCAAATCCGGATCATGATCGCGTCCATCACCCAAATCACGTCTCCATTGCCGACTGGAATCGCATAAACAACACGAACCATTAACACCTCCCTCATATCGACGAGGTTATTTCCAAGGCAGTTCGCTATGGTCGTTCCACTAACCGTTACTCCACAGACGCTCATTGCCTTGGAAGCAAACCGGCATAGTAGCATCGTACCGTTCGAGAATCGGCCTAATGGGGAAGTAGACCGGGGTTGACGATCATGCAACCAGTCAAGGTCAGTGCCAAAACAGGAACAGGTAGGGACGGACAGGGGCAATCTGGGGTCGGATATAGAGGACCCCTGTCTGATATTACCAACCTTCGGACACGACGATAACCAAGGTCATTGTCAAGATCACCTTCTTGGGCAGGATGTGATTCGGTTCGCGTTATATCTCATTCGCTTTGGGAAGAAAGGACTGCCTGTGATTCTTGCGTCAGCTTTGTTGAGTCTTGAAAGCTCTCTCCCAGCTCGTCAAGTTCTTCTTTCTTCCTCGCTTCCAGAGGCGGGTGGACTTGCTCTTGCTCAACTCCTCAGTGCTCATTCCTCTCTCCATCGGAGTTGCTCATCACCACTTCAACTTCACTCTGATCCCGAACAACAAACCTCACTCACCTCAAGCCCACACTCGGGCGAATCAAGACAACATCATGAGGTCCCTCCTCACCACCACCCTCCTCCTCCTCCTCTTCGGGCTCCTCTTCACCCTCTCAGCCGCCCAAGCCCAATCTTCGCCCTCCTCCGCCGCCAGCGCCGAACCAACCTCAACAGCAGCCGCCACCTCCGCCTCCGCCTCCATCCCACCCACCTCCACGTCCTCCACCCGCCCCTCCGGCACCACCACCTCCTCCCGCCCTTCAGGCACAGCCACAGTCCCCGGCCCCTCCGGTACCAACTACGGTCCCAAAGGCCCTCCGGACGTGCTCCTCCGCGTCCCCGAGCTACACGTCGGCCGCATCGAGCTAGACGTCGACAACCTCCGGGCCGAAGTCAACTTAGCCGCCGAAGTCGCTTCTTTGGTGACGCTCAATGCGGGGGTGCAAGTGGGGATAGATAAAGTGAACATCACCATCGCCGACGTGGACGCGCAGCTGGACTTGGTAATTCGATTGGGGAACTTGGTGAAGGTGGTGAACAGGACGTTGTCTACTCTCGACTTAAACCCGGCGCTGGTGAACTTGTTGGACGGCGTCGTGGATGCGGTGGACGGGGTTATTGGTGCGGTGGATGGATTACTGGGGAGTATAGTGCAGGGGGATAGTAAAGTCAATTTTCTGATTGATAACCTGGGAAACATCGTGCAGGAAGTAGCCGGCGTGGCGGGCGAGGCGACGAGCACCATTGTGGGAAGTTATTTGAAGAATATGACGTTTACGGGGGCGATTAAGGATTTGGGGAAGGGGTTGACGCAGAAGACGTATAAGTATGATGCGCTTGGGAGCTTGGTGAACGTGGTTACGAATGCGTTGGGGCAGGTGGTGCAGGCTGTTGTTGTTGGTGCTGGTGGGGGTGGGGGTGGTGGAAGTAGTTCGAGTTCGGCGGTGCCAAGTTCGACGAAGGCGGCGAGTTCGACGGGGACGGCGGGTGTGGTGCCTACTTCGACTTCGACGGCTTGAGATGGGATGACAGATAGGAGAGTTATTAGATATGGGAAGTAATGTGAGAGCTGATCAGTTGATGATAATCGGAATCCGATGCGTGAGCTCCCTTCATCATGAAGGCAGCGGAACCTCTCCTACAATCTTCCACTCCCCTGTCCCTGCACTCCCACTCATCCTCGCCTCCACAAGTTTCCCCCCCTTCTGGAAGAAACACCTATTCACCTCCTCCGAGTCCTCCTCAATCGGAACCTCGTTCCCATTCTGATCCTTGTCGATACTCGCCATCAGCACACAGCCGATTTCCGTGTCTTTGTCCAACCCCTTTAGCGCTTCTGGCTCGGACGTCTTCCACGTTACGGAACCGTCTCCGGACCCGGAGAAGGAGGTGTAAACCATCTGGATGTTAGAGTTAGAGTCGAGGTAAAGGATGTATGTGTTGGGGAAGTGGGAAGGAGAGGAGGGACGACTGGTGACCCAGGCGGTGAGGGGGGCGCCGTTGGGAGGGTTTATGTTAGAGGGAAAGACTGCGCCTTGTTAGTACCAGCAGAGGAAGAATGGATGGAAGGACACGTACTAGAGCTGTTGAACCAGGGGCTAACGGCGTCCACCCTAGAATCAGGACCAAGATTAAGGACAGCAGCGGCCAAGCGACCGCTTGGCTCCTGGTAGATCAGGCCGTATCCTCCAGATGCTGAATAGTTTGCCCAGCGGCTAGAGATGGGCGCCATGGCGAGTCTTGTGCCGGGAAGGGCCATTATCCCCGTCATCCTATTGAGCCAGTGGAGCATTACCACTCGGGCCTGGCCCAGCTCACCGCTCGGATCTTGGTATACCGCCGCGGGGAAGTAGCTGGTTGTGCTTGAATTGGCGAGGGCATTAAGGGACAAATTGTTGAATTCATCGTCGTTACTGATAGCAGGATTATTGTTCTCGTTAATCACCCTTCCCAGTACTGTAGGGCCGGCACCGATGTAGGTAAGGATGACATGCGGCTGGAGACGTGTTAGCAACTAGAAATGGTCCCGGCTGTGGTGCTGAACATACTCTTACGAGGTTGCCTAGACCATTAAGAATAATGGTGGCGGTTAGATGGGTGTTTCTCCTCAGACCAGTTATGGTGTTGACAGGCTTTCCCCACGAGGAACCGTCGTACTTGATGTAGTAGACATCGTTGCTCTTGTCCTGGTAGAAAAGATAGAGCCCAACGTTGCCCTTATCATTCCGCCAACTGGCGACGGTCAAAGGTGAACCTGAACGAATAACTCCGGCGACAGCAGCAGCAGATGTTGAAGTGGCCCCTCCTCCCGTCGTTGTTTGTGATGGACTCGGTATTGTGATCGAAGAGCCGCCATCACCACCGGTATCAAGACCCGGAGCCGTGCTTGATTTCGAGTCCCTTGCTGCCTTACTCCCAACCACTCCGCCGACAACAGCAGCGACTATGACGATAACCGCAAGTACACTCCCCAGTATGATCCATAATCGCTTTCGGCTCGGCTTGGCGCCGGGTTGAGGGTCGGCGACTTCGGGTGCTTGACCAGCATTGTATTTCCACTGGTTGACCAGAGCCGTCGTGGGACTGAGTTCCTTGCCCACTTCCTCCTGTCGAACCTCGGGCCAATGTTGTGTATGCTTGAGTTGTTCCTGTGGTACGACCTCGAGACCGTCGGCCCAGTTTGGGGACTGGTCTGGCCCGGGTTGCCCCTGCGCATGTAGTTGTGGTTGTCCCTGGTTATATGGTTGCTCCTGGGGATATGGTTGCCCCTGAGCATATTGGTATGGGTGATGGGTAGCATGATTCGGGACGTAGTAGCCCTCGCCTGGTGGTGGTATTTGATGGGCCATGGTGTTGGGCCGGTTAGTGGCTAGTGTCTATGCTCTGAGCACGGTGAAACTGTCGAGACATGGAGAGCGAGAAGAGATCATCTGGCTGGAGCGCGCGCGAAGCTCTTGTGGGGAGTCGCCATCTTAAGGGTTGCTGCCGCGCTGTCGGAGACGGGGTCGATGAGCAGTGTCTCTTGGGTGGTGTTGGGTGGTGTTGGGACTGGGGTTCGCCAGATTAGCTTCATTTTAGCGTCTTTTGGGCGGCCGGCCCCAGTAAGCACTTGTCCCCAATTGTCATTGTGGTCGTGGTCGTTGATGTGTGCCGCAGGAGTGCAGTACCGAGGCGCGTCGAGACTGGAGGTTGTTGGTTCCGTCGTGTCAAGGGGGATGTTGGGAGTCCATGGGAAGAAAAAGGATGAAGTTGGGAAGAGAAGCGAAGGACGAATGACGACGGGAAGGTGAGGTGACACGGTCCCTGGACAGGTGCCATTCAGGGCTGTGCATTGCGGCACAGGTGGCGGCCAGCTGAAGCGCTACGTTAGCCGCGAGTGGCAGAGTCAATTGGTCTCGACAACAGCAGCAACTGAATGGAAGATCAGAGCTCAGCCCTTTCAGGCTTGTTAGCCGCCGATATGATCCCTGTAGCTCCACCACCCATGCGCTGTAAGTCGGTCTCCACTCGCGTCCCCTCAGCCAAGCATTTATGTGGGCAACCGTCATCCTTCAACACCAACGGCCTGGGCGGCCCAAGTCGCGATGAAAACAGGTTCATCCCATCATTTTTACCCCCCTGGCGGGCCAGGTATAGACAAGATGGGATGACGAGATCCTTGCCTCGGCTGTCTTGGTCATGATCACAATCGCAAGTTTTGGTTGCGCAACGTCCCCTCTATATTCTCTTATATTCTCCTCTAAACGAACAGTTCTAGCGGTATGTCATCAATCCGGTCATGATAGTCGTCACTCATTATTTACTTCAACTTCATCCTCCTCCTCCGCCGTTTGTCTAAACATCCGCAATGAAGTCCGACCAAACAGTTGGACCATTTCACTCCATCCTACCCAAACGATGACGGCGGGTATGAAGCATTACCCCACGACGACGCTCCCGTCGCTCCCGTCGCTCCCGTCGCTCCCGTCACCGACATCGTAGACTGACCCCGGCCATAGCCCGTCCCAAAACCTCCCGTAGTCCCTGTTCGCGCCGGACCTGGCACTGCCCCTTGATTCGTACAACTAACGTGCTGTTGAGCCTGTTGACCCTGTTGTGGTGGCCACTGCGCATTCCCCCCCTGGATTCCACTTTGGGTATACCCCATACCTGGCCCTGGCCCTGCTGAAGAATCTGAATTGGACATGGCGTTCGACGGTAACCTCGAGGCGATCGTCGGCGACGCGGAAGTAGATGGCAATGACATAGACTGCGACTGCGATTGCGCCGTCTGTCTCCTCGCGGTCGAGGTTGATCGTCCGTTGAGATACCCTCCGAATGCAACTCCGGGTTGCTGATGGTGTTGTTGGTGTTGGTTCAGCGGCATACCGGGCGGAGAGATTGTTAGTGGCAGTGGCGGTGGCATGGGCGGCGGGACTGTCATGCCTGGGCCGGAGGTCGCCGTGGATATGGGGACTTGTGTGGTCAACGGTGGTACGGCTGATGGTGGCAGCATGTTCAATGCGTGTCCTTGTCCGGGCATCCCCGGCCCCGCTCCGGGTCCCGGGCCCACGATTCCCGGAGCTGGTCCCGGTCCTGGTCCTGCTCCTGTCGGCGACCGCCCCGTAGAGCCCATCTGCACTGGACTATGCGTGTAATTCTTCGCTTCCGGATCTCCGGTTCCCTCCCTCATACCCATTGTCATCCCTCCGGGCATACCCAACCCGTGCTGGTGTTGCCCCTGTGCTGGAAGTATCCCGCCACCACCCATGCCCACTCCCACTCCCATTCCCATTCCCATCCCCATCCCCATCCCCGTCCCCGTCGCAACCACCGGATACGATCCCCCACCCCCATGCCTCCTCCCATCCCTCTCCCTCCTCCGTCCCCCCTGCCGACTCCCAACCCTCAACCTCCCCACCCCCATCCCCAAACACCTTTCCTCAACCTCCTTCACATCCATCCCCATCCGATCCGCCAACCCCTTCCACAGCTCCTCTCTCATCCTCACATACTCCCCCGCTATCCTTGCCAATCTATCTTCATCTACTTCCTCTTCTGCTTGCTGTTTTTCTATGAGGCGTTCGTGCCGCTTGCGGCATGCGTTGGCGGTTTTGCCGGGGAAATGTAACCGCTGAAGCTCGGACCAGGGGAGGTGGGAGGCGCGGGAGGAGAGGAGGAGGGAGTCTTCGCGGGGGGTCCAGGAGGTTGTTGGGTTGTGGTTTGGAGAGCCGGGGCGTTGGTTGTGTGTGGGTGGATTTGGTGAGGCTTGCGATGGTTGGTGGTGGTGGTGGTGGTGCGATTGGCTTGGTGGTTGATGTTGTTGTTGTGGTTGCGATTGCGGTTGAGGAGGAAACTGGGTTGGGTGGGGGTGGGCGGTGTTCTGGTTGGCGATAGTGGGGCTTTGGTGTTGTTGTTGTTGGTGTTGGTGTTGACGGTGATGCTGTAACGATTGGTGCTGTAGCGGCTGTTGCAGCGGTGGTTGATGGTGCTGATACCCTGTCAGCTGAAAGTTTGGCGCTGAAGAGGGGCTGCTGTTGTGCTGATTCGGCCCCTGCAAAGGCGAGTCAAAAGACTGTCCGTAAGTCGACGACGACGACGGTGATGATTGTTGACCGAAATTCCGAGGTATTGTCCGTGGGGTCGATGTTGTCGTTGTCGCAGGAAATTCGGACCCATATTGAGGGTTCATCATTCCCGAAGCTCCGGGCCCAGACCCGGTGCCGATCCCGGTGTTCGGACCGTACCCAAAATTCTGCGGGGCCGCTGATTGTTGTTGCGCCGGTGGAACCCCGGATGTCACCCCCGCTGTGCTCACTGACCCGGCAGGGTGATACATCCTCCCCGTACTCCCACGCCCACTACGGCCGTGATCTCCACCATGGTTGTTACCGCCACCGCTCCTGTGAGCACTGCTCAGATACGGTTCCGACCTCGCCACGGCTTGGTATCGAGGGTGTGATGGTGGCTTTGGCATGGCAGTTGTTCTGTTTCGGGACCGTCTGTGGGGGGATGTATGCTGAATCTGGGCTGCTGTAAGGTGATGCTATGCTATGCTATGCCGGTGTGCCTGGTGATTGCTTGGTGCTGATGCTTGCTGTAGTGTAGTGCAGTGTGATGACATCGGCAGTGCCAGAAGGGTGGTCCAGGTGGTGCAAGCACAAAGCACAAAAGGGGTGTGACTGTGATGGTGATGAGTTCCAAGCCGTCTCAATATTCCGATTCGCCAGTCGGATAATAAACGTTTGTCTGGGACGGAAGCATCCCTGCTGTGCCTTTCTGTCTGGAGTTTTGAGTTTGCTTGTGTCCTTCAAAACGGTCTGCGATATGCGACCAACTTGGCGACCGGAGGATCAAACACTTTCGTACGGGGTAACGGCGGCCAGGGTTATGACCGTTTTAGGTTTGAGGGTGTTCCCGGTTGAGGTTGAAAGAGACGATAAAGCTGGGGTCCAAAGTCAAAACCTCGTAGATCCGGGGAGGGAGAAGACAGGAAGACACAAGGGTTGTTTACTCTCATGAGATAAAAGAGAGCGTCAGCAGATCTCGTGGACAACAACACCAACCCGACTCCATGGTCCAATGTCCACCGGCGGCAACGAAATGCTCCCAAAACACATCAAGGGAAATTGAAAGTGTTTCAGATATCAAGTGTTTCAGATAGTTGGTCCCGGGATTCTGCTTGGGACAAGCTACGATATGTTGAAGGGACCCTATGAGGCAACCGCCATGTGGACTGCAATGTGGACGCAGACGCACTTCCCACGCACATGCGAGCAACAGGTGGCATAAGGGTACACCGCATACAGGTGGCATAAGGGGTTGCATTTGTTGTACATGTTGCGGTTGAGAAGCCATCTCAGCCTATGATGTTGATCAATAACGCTACTGCATCGTGAGATTTGAGACATGCACCGCACCGTGGCAGCATGACAGTTGGCATCCCAAGGGTCATTTTACTCTGCAGCAGCGGATGAAGCGATGGTAACCTGATCTGCATGTACTGCTGTTAGTGAACAGAGGGGTTGCGCAGCCGTTCACTAACAGCCAAACATCACGGCGCTATCGACACTTGACGACACTTTTCGGGATGCCAACCGCGACAGGGACAAGAATCATGATCAAGATTATCGCTTGAAGAGATGGATTGGCTGACAAAGCAGGGGAAACATCACGCAAGACTCGATTAAACACAAATGGGGACCTTGGTTCATTCGGCCATCTAGGTATACCGGCAACGGCGTCGACGTCAGCCGCAATGCCCTGAAAAAGACCACCGAACTCGACACTCTATACCAAGTCCACGGCTGTCTCTTTGACGCCCTCGAACTGCTTCCCATCCTGCACCGCAAACCAGCCAACGCGGTGAAATTTGCCCTTTCCATCACGGGTAAGCAGTAATCCTTCATGCGTGACAACGAGTAAGCACCAAATGTTCGCCGGTCTTGGATCGCTGGGAAAGTCGAAATATCCAAGAGCGATATAGGTGGGTTTCGCCGTTCCACTTGTCGCTAGCGCCGGCGCCGGTTTCGCACTCGGTGCGGGCTTCATTGACTCCAACATGATCCCCTCCGGTCTCAGTCCCGTCTTCTTCACCACGTTCGTGCAGCGAACTTCAACGGCTCTGCCGAAGATTTGTAGCTCGAGCGACGGCATGTACAACACATCCGGGTTGCCTACCACCTTACCCGCCGTCCACAACCCCTTCGGATCACGCGGTCTGATGCAATTGTTCTGTGGGTCAATCCACTTTGACTCGATGCGCGGGTTGGTATCCCAGAATACCTGACCGGTCACATGTGCCCAACTCCATGAAGGTGCACGGATAACGGGCTTGCCGGGGGTTTCGCCAGGGCGTTTTGTGAACGGGGATGCTAATGGCTTCTCGATGGGTAGAAAGTGTTTGCGACTGGTATAACTCCATCTAGACTTCCACAACAGTCCCCTTGGCATATCGCATTCCCATAATCCGGCCAGGTGTCTTGCCTTCAGGACGCCGTGCGTGATCAGCGCAACAGACACGATGCAAGCAAAAATGTCGTGCGGCTCTGTCAACGCTCGGGGAGTAAAGCTAACAAGCATTTGATACCATCTCCTCAAAACTTCGGGTTTGGTGCCTGGATTGAGAAAGGTGAGGGATTGTTCCCGCTTGGAGGTATCGATATCTACACATCCGTCTTCGTACCGCGTGTGTAAGCGGCATTGGTATGACACCTGATCTTCCCCAAAAATAAGGGAGCGGTTGGAAAGAAGGGCTTCTTGGAAGCACCAGCCTCTGGTATCTACGGGCCCGACAGATTTTCCGCGTTGGATTGTTAGGTAGACAGTTCCGAGATCTGGGCCCTCGCCGGTATGGAGATGCGGGCCGGCTTTCATGGGGACTGGCTTTGGGTGTTTTTTGGTGGTCAGGTAGTTGTTGGTAAGGAAGCCAAGCCCGCTGTCGGCAGACCGGCCGGCGATGATGGTCAGTTCGGCGTTGCCGTAGACGGAGGCCATGCGCTTGGATTCAGATTCCCAGTCTTTCTGATTTCCTTGGATGATGCAGAGGGCGTCTATCCAAAGGTAGCGGATCCCAAGGAGACGGGTGAGGTCGATGGCCTCGATATGGGTCTTGCTGAGCTTGGATTCGGGGAGGAACTTGAGGAAGTCGGCGAAGTTCTTGTCGCTGAGCATTGCTTGGGTACCTCTGCCCCAGCAGTAGGACAGAGCCGTGTACGGCTGCGGCTGCTTGAGGTCCTTGGTCAAGACGATCCGAGTGACCCTCTTGGACGCTGGCAAGGTCTGATCTCCAACGTCGATGACCCTCGTAGGCATCTGTCTCGCCCCAGGCGGGCATGCCTGATTGCAAACTCCATGTCCCTTGCGACAAGCCGCCAGCGTCATCTTCGCAAAGGTTGCATGATATTCAGGGTTATGGGAACTGGTGCTGTATCTTCCCGCAAACAAGGCGCCTGCGGGGGTGGCAGGGTCAGCAAAGACGGCCACATGGGTTTGCAATTTGGTTGAAGCGTCATGGCCAGCGGCTGAGACAAGGACGCCGCACGAGAGCCAGATCTGGTCGGGGACGCTGGCCGTGCCTGCAGGATGCCATTCGCCGCGAAGGTAGATGTTGAAGTCGCCGTTGTCGCTGGATTTGGTTGCGTGGGCGGGAAGCTTCTTGGCTTGACAAGCTGCGATGTCCTCTTTGCTGCAGCCGCGTTGAACCTGTGTCCACCACAAGTTGCAGCTCTCGCATTTCTTGGCCGATTGGACAAGGGAGTTGAGGTCAGGGTGGAAGACCACATCGTCATTGAAGAGATCATGGAAGCTCAGGGTCGAGCACTTGGAGCAAAGGGTGAGAGCCATCGTGTTGCCGTTGATGGAAGCCGGACAACCGCAGCGGAAATACGGCGGTTGTTGAATCGTCTAAAAGTCCATTGTTTTTCTTCACCTTCTCGCTAGGTGTGATGGTCATCGATGGTAGTCGATATGCACGGGAAGCTGACGGCGTCGCAGCCCAGGTCTTGATGGTTGGTAGCGCCGAGCGCGGCCGCGTCTGGCGTCTGTAGCTGCGCCTCTGACAGATGAGGTTGGCTAGCCCAACGCGTCGCGCCTCTCTTATCGGCCATCATTCCGCGGTTGTCTCGCTTCCGGTGTTGTCTTCCATTTTCTCGGGGTCTTCGTACCAGTTGTTGGCCGGCAATTCTGAAGTTGATTTGGAAAAAGTTGAAGTTCAAGAGAAAAGGGTCGACGGGGTCGGATGTGGGGCAGATGCACTGAAGCGGGCGCTATGACAATCTGAGCTTCAGCGCTTGAGCGCTATAAAGTGCTCCACTTTCCCCGAACGGGCGGGGTACGGGTACCTTGATGGTCAGTTCGTCCTTTCTTTCCTTCCTCCCAATTTTTGATGCCAACGAATTCTTCCTCTTTCTCTTTGCAACACCCTTTGTGTATCATCCATCACAGCCAAGTATCCCCATTTATAAGCTGACTTTCCACGATGGTTCACGATGGCGTTTCCCCAACCCAACAATTGGTCAACCGCATTCGGCGTTATCGATCCCTCGGCGTTTTGTCCCCTGCTCACCGATGATCGCCAATCGACAGCGCCTCGAATCGCTAAGTGCTGACGGGAGGACCTCACTGATGGTTGCCTGATACGACTATCAAAGACAGGTACAGAAGTACAGCCAAGTCCGACCCAAGTCCCCAACTCCTGTCCCATCGTCTTCGTCTTCATGATTGTTGTTGTCAGCATCATCGAAATACTAATGATGCCTCGCAAAACAGTCCTACAGAGCCGACTGGCATGCGACCGATGCCATTCCCAGAAACTGAAATGTCCACGACAAGACAAGACCACGAAAGATCCAGATGGAACATCAAAACAACCAGCGGCATGTGTCCGCTGCGAGCGCGCTAAGGTGCCCTGCGTCTTTAGCCCACGCCAGCGCCGAACCGTGATTCCAAAGACCGCCGGTGCTTCCAAACCACCACCCAATCGCGACATTGCCGACAGTGCCGATGCTACGCCTGCCTCCACTGGCCCGGCGTTAACCAAGACAACTCCAACGGGGCCTGAGAATGGGGCAATAAACTCCGTGGAAGGGGAGAGCGCGTCATGTAGACTGGAGAACCCCCTACCCAGCACTACTGCCACACCCACCGACACCCAACCCTTTGATGCCACCAATCTGGCCCAAGAGTTCTATGGCTCCTCATACTTCGACAACAACCAGCTCGACTTACAACAGTCCTCAACTGGCTCCTGTACCGATCCATCAACCACCTGCACCGACCTCTGCTCTCTCTCGCTTGACACCACCACAGGCATAGACTGGGACAACCTCCTCCTCCCCGACCCTCTTCCCCCACCCTCACAAGGCTGGTGCCTCTTGGATATCGACAAATCTCTCCTCCCTGCTCCCGCTCCCGACCCACTTTTCCCGCCTCATGGCCCTCAACTTCCTCTCGACCTCATGACCAACTCAAGCCCCAGCGACGACCTAGACCCCATCCTCTTCCAACCCTCTTCCTCGGCTCCCGTTGACTATTCGAATCAACAAGCCCTCACCCCCTACTCCCCCGTCCGCCAACTAACCAACCTCAACGTATCCCTGTACGAACGCCTCTGCCTTATCCCACAAATCTTCAGCAACTGCGGCTTGCCAACCCTCACACTCGTCGTGCGCATCGACGTCCTGGAGAAGAGGTTACTAGCAATCGACCACATCTTCCAGCTAACCCAAGAACTCATCGACATCGTCGGCAAACTCTACCCGCGCTCCGTCCCAGTACTATCCGGCGACGACGCCCCGACCGTCCCTACCACGGGAACGGGAGTGCCGCTGGCCCAAGACCAAGCCACCGTCCTCTTGCTGCTGTCTTGTGCGCAGAGGGTATGCGACGTCTACGACCTGATGCTCAGTCACATGCGCAGATGCATGAAGAAGAACTCTCTTCCTCACTTCCCTGAGGAGCTGAAGCCGGTTAGGTTGCCGCCGTTTAGAGTGGCGGGGGAGTATGTGCCCCCGACGGACAAGGCGGTTACGTTGCATATGTTTATGGTGATGATGATGGCTAGTAATCTGTTTGATCAGTTGCAGGAGGTTCTTGGGTTGTGGAGGCATAACGAGCAGGGACCGCACGCTGGGCTTGAGCTGGTGGATCTGCAGTATCCGGACTTTGGGAGGGAGGCGAAGGAGGCCATCAGGAAGAAAGCGAGAGACGTGACCATGGAGATTGTGAGTATCAGGCAGATCATCATGTCCTTCCCGGGGATGGGGATGGAAGAGACGAGACAGGGGATTTTGGACTTGGGGTCTGGTGGTGGCTCGGTTCGGAATGGGATGGGGAAGGTATTAGGAGAGGCTCGGAGGCTTGCGCTTGAGGGTTGTTCGAAAGTTTGGGACGGGGAGTGTATTTGAAGGGTCGAAGGGCAGGGCTTTGTAATACTCAACGAATCTCTTCTCTTTTGTATGACGACCAGTCACAGCAACTCATCGATGTCCATGTCCATCCCACCCTCACTGTCTCTGGTTCAGCTCAATCTCCATCCCTCTTCCCAGTTCCCATCCGAGCCACCATCTCCCGCCAAGGTCGCACCGCACCTCCTCGCTCGCACCCCCAATCCCTCCCCTACTCACTCCAACACCTCCTCGCAAACTCCAAAACCTCCCCATTGAACCTCTCCGCCTCCTCCCAAAACAACCAATGTCCACTCTCGTACCAGCTAACCTCCGCCTTCTCATTGCCGCTCCTCCTACAACGTTTCACAACCTCCTCCATCCCCTCCAAACTAAAACACCCGCTCCTTTTCCCGCCCATCACCACCACCGGTTTGGTAATCCCCTCGCACGCCTCCCGGTGGTCGTACCGCGTGTGATCGGCGATGAGCCTGGCTAGCCAGGCGCCCGAGGGACATTGTGCTGAGATGGCAGTGAAGAAGGCCTCGTCTCTCTTCTTCTCCTCTTCTGACACCTGATCGGTAGGCAGTGGGTGGAACCGGTAGCCCAAGCATTCATCTAGCAATGCTAGGTGTGTAGCATGTCGGTCCTCAGAGGCCTTATTCCATGCTGCCTGCGCACCCAGCATCGTTTTCTCATCATAACATCCCTTATTCGCCTTTGTCTCGTCCCACTCCCCAAACATACTCCGGTCCTGCAAAGGAGCTTGGTCAACAAACACAAACCCGGAGAAATCCGCGTCCGTAAAAAGCTCGACGTATGTCCACAGTATCGCGGCGCCGATGGAGCAGCCGACGCCTACTATTTCCAGCGGGGGCTTCGGACCCTGACCTTGACACCCACCCCCAGCGCCAGCGTGGCCGACTCCAAGCCCGAGGCGGGAGGTCTTCAGAAAATCGAGCATGTTCTTCAAATCCACCGCCAGGCGAGCGACATGATACCCCCCTTCGTAGCTCTCGTACTGTCCCTCCCCCTCAACTCCCTTCTTCCCCCTCTTCTTCCTCCTCAGTCCACTCCCCCCATGCCCCCTCATATCCCAAGCAACAACCCAATGCCTCTCCCCCAACTCCCGAAAGTTCCGCTCAAAGTACTCGCTACTCCCCGAAAAGCCATGCAACAACAAAATCAAGCGGGAGTAATTCGGTCCCTCCTCTGCTATAACAGAAGCTTTGGAGGCGCTTCTCGCGCGAGTGCCGGCGGTGGTGGTGGCGGTGGGGCCCGTGAAGGTGAGGATTGGGGAGGTGGGGATGTAGGAGGGGTCCGGGGAGGAGATGGGGAGGGAGGAAGTGAGGGTGAGGAGGGCGCCGTCGGAGGCTGTGAAGGTTGTGGTGTGGTGAGGGCGTGGCATCTTGATGGGTTTGAGATCAAAGGCGGTGGCTGCTTGCCCGGCGAATTTGTTGTTTTGGTGAGGTTGCTGAGATCAAGTGATGAGTTTTGACGGATAAGGACCGGGAGTTGAACGGACGGGGGAGCGAGTTAAAAGAGCCGGGAGCAATGCCGGAGCGAGCAGGGCGGGATTGGGATCGGGGTTGACCGGTTGACCGGCAGGGCAGCGCCGGACGAAAGCTGAAAGAAATGCGGGATGCGGGAGATAAGATAACCTGCAAATGCGCTGATTGTGCGGGGACCGGTGACGGGAGTTACTCGCGCAAAGGTCGTTGATTCCTCTATCTCAATGTGTCGTGAAACCCAAAGGATCACGGCTTGTTTGACAGAGGGTGATGTGAGCAGTACAGGTGGAAAAAGAGTTGCACGACGTCGAAAAAAAGTTGCGACTCCATTCCCAAAACTGGAGACATGCGGGGAAGTGGATAAGGGGTAGGGTTAGCGCAGGGAAATCCCTCACAACTTTTGGGGGTTGCTGTGGAACTCTGATCGGCACAACAATTTGTGCATCAACACCAACTGGTTCAAACTGTCAAACATGAGAAGAACAATATCGATGGAGGCCAGTCAAGTCAGTCTTTGGTCCAGTTCAATGGGACTCAAATCGGGAGCAAGTATGGCCTGATTCAACGATCAGGTAGACAGTTGTGTGACCCGCAACGCAGCAACGCTTCTCGCTGACCAGAGCAAGCAAGCCGCTTCTAACACCAGCATCACCGACGACAATGCTCTCGGCAACACGAGAAACGCGATCGGCACGAATTTGGGTTACAATGATGGTCATTTGCATCTTCATTCATGGGTATCTACAACACCTTCTCCCTTCCCTTTCGCAAAAACATCGCAACGCTTTCAATGCATCCTTATGCTTCTCTTCCTCCACATCCCCTCCAATCCCTTCCCTGCACCGGGACTTAAAACGTCCTCCTCCCCGTGACCAAATCCGCATCCTCCGGCCTCACCCTCTTGGTCTTCTTAAACACCTTCCACCACCCAATGTTGATCAAGAACACCGGAATGCCAATGTAACTCGTCACGAATTTGTCCACCTGGAAGTGCGGGAAGAACGCGCCATATCCGTTGAAGATAATAACCAAGATTGTCAGGAAAAGCGCAATCGGCGCGCCCCAGGGCAAGAGAATATTCCTGTACGGCATGGCCTCGCGGGGAACGCCCTGCACCTTCATCGCCTTGATCATGAACAGGTAGGAAACGAGGATGGCGACCCAGTTCAGGGCACCGAAGACAGTGACGAGAGAGACAAAGTACCCGAAGACGGTCGAAGACCCCTTGGTGGCGTTCATGTAACCCAAAACGATAAACAAGGAGGAGAGGATGACTGCCGGGATGGGCACACCGCGCTTGTTGGTCTTGTTCATGATCGCAGGCGCCTGTCCATCCTTGGCCAGAGCCCAAAGGGTGCGGGAGGCAAGGTAGATATCCGAGTTGGCAGCGGAAATAGTGAAGATGAGCAACAGTCCGTTAACCGCGTCGTCGAGCTTGTTGATACCAGCGTTCTTGGCCGCAATGACGAACGGGGAAGCCAGACCGCTGGTCTTCTTAACAGAGCCGAGAAGGGGGTCAGTGTACTTGACGGCCATGCCCAGGACGAGGATACCGCCAATGTAGAAGAACACGATGCGCATGAGCGTTTGGTTGACGGCGCGAGGGACGTTCTTGCGGGGGTTGGGGGTCTCGCCGAACGCGACGCCGACGAGCTCGGTGCCGAGGTAGGCGAAGGTGGCCTGGACCATGCAAGCCCAGACACCCAAAAAACGGCCGGTGGCACCCTGGATGACGACTTTGTCGTCGCCCGCGGAAGCGGAATATTGGGCAAAGGCACCGGGATCTCGCCAGAAACGGAAGCCGGTCCGCACGTGGTTGGGACCGCCGCCGAGGGCGATGATGAAGCAGAGCAGGATGAGCATGACGATAACGAGGGCTTTGATGAGAGACATCCAAAATTCTGCTTCGCCGAAGAAGGCAACATGGATAAGCTGTTTCCTGTTAGCTTTGGTCCCGACTAACACAAGGGAAGAGAAACGTACGTTAACAGCGATAATAGCGACTCCAAACACCGTGATCCACACAGACACATTGATATCCGGTCGCCAATACTGCAAAATAATACCCGTAGCCGTCAGGTTGTTGGGTAGCACAATCACGTATTTGAAAAAGTAGTTCCAGCCAGTAGCGAAACCGAAAGCAGGATCGACGAAGCGTGTAGCATAACCGGAGAAGGACTTTTTGTGTGGTAGCCAGGCGCCCATTTCGCCGAGCGCAACCATGACAATGTAGACGATGATTCCCATGATCAGGTATCCGATGAGCAACGAGCCGGGTCCGAGTTTCAGCGAGGTACCGGTACCGATGATGAGACCGGTTCCGATGGCGCCAGCGATGGCCATCATATCTGGACAAAACGCATGTTAGCGATTGTTGTGGCATGCTGGACTGAGGAAGAGAGAGACTTACTCAACTGGCGAGGCTTCATGCCACGATGGAGATCATCAGGGCCCTCGCCCTCGCCCTCGCCGTCGTCGTCGACTCGTCCATTTTCGCTGCTGTAACTAACGCCGCGTTCAATTCCGTCGTCTTGCCCATAGGCTGGAGTTGTCTTTTCGTCGCTCGACTTGAAGAAGTTGAGCTTGGAGGCCATGGTGGGCCAACTTCGTCGATGCTGTTTCTGACGTTGTTGTAGCAATCGGCTTGAGTAGACTGCGAACCGAGGTGATATATGTTGGGTGGGAGGGGATCCGACCAAGTTCAAATCCGTGGTAGGAACCGGGAAGAACAAGAGACGGGACGGTCAGAAACTGAGGCGCGTGACGGAAGGAGACGAGAGTCTAGACCGAGGAAGTGACGACCATGGGAACGCGGGAGAGGTTTCAACTTATAATCGTCGGCCGAGAAGCTTACATGGGGAAGGAAGGAAGCTGCAAACCAGGTAGCATCCCATGTCCCCATGTCCCAATCCATGTACCGATCTGGGCCGCCGCTGGGCGTTATCCGGGCAGATAAGACGACTCCATTTGTCCATATCGTCGCATCCGGATGGAGATGGGGGGAGTGTCCAGTGGATAGCTGAGGCGGCTCTCTTTTCCTGTCCCAGTTTGTGTTACACAAAGAAAGACGAACTCGGTGAGCGAATGGGAGACACGAGTGCGGGTGGCTGACACTCGGAATCTCCAATTTGTCCAAGTTCTCTGCGGGGAAGTCCAACAAGGGACGAACGTGAGGAGGAAGGCCTCTCATAGTCAACCCCCAACCTGAACCCCAAATCATGGGCCAAGCAGCCAGAAAGGGAAGAGATGAACAGGGTGCAATTCCAGAACATCACCGAGCGCACGCGAGGGATTGGCACTGCTCAACACTGAATGGTCAGAATAATCAAGAGCTGGATGGCGTCATGCATAACGGCGGCCCCACTAGCTTCTTCCGGCGACCGAAGGAGTTGACAAGTGTAAAAGACAGTGACTTCAGCGCCATTGTTGAATTTCCTTCCAACGGTCTGAAAAACTTTCTGTCGTATCAGCATCTCGTTGTCTTATCGTGGCTGCGTACCTAGGAATAACGCCGAGATGTTGGCTGATAATGATAGTGATATCCTGATAACTTATTCTTGGTATCATTCCTGATTGTGGATTGTTGCGGTTATCTGTGGATGGCGTAAGCTTGCGAATTTCTCGGCATTCGAAAAGTCAATGGCTGAGCCAGGCAAGAGAAACACATGTCTCGCCAGGTGGAAAGGCTCGGTCACCACAAACATCGTCTCGGTTTGGTGCAAGGCAGATTGGCAGCCATAGAACCTGCACAGCCCTGGCTCTGAATGGCATGCCACCACCGAGCACCAAACTCGGTCCCTCGTCAACACCAACACCACAACAACATCACAAGAAATCACTAACAACCAGGAAGTTGAACTGACAACTGAAGAATCCCCAAGCCGGCCGGCGCCACGGAAGGCAAAAATCAAGACGGGATGTTCCTTGCCCAGACGGCTTGATTTCAAGATAAGGGAGGAGAACAAGACATGCCCAGCTCTTGGCCTCGTCTCGGCGTGATCTTGGCATCGAGTTGCCGCAAACGCTCAGCCGCCGCCAAGGTGTTGCCAAGGTGTTGCCAAGCATGATAGTGTAGGACCAATATTGCAGAATGAGGAAGGTGGAAACTCTGCAAATATTGACCCGAGGCACCCTCGCCGCACCGACGGAAGCCGCTGTGAAACTGAAAGGATTGGTAACGAAAATGTGACATGAATGTTGATCGACGTTGAAGTTGAGGTTTTGGCATCATTTTTGAGGAATCTTCAACTTTTCAATGTCGGAGCCGCATCTTTTTGTGTGTCGTGGTCGGAATGATGGTGTCGGTGTTGGTGTCGTCGTTGGCACTGGAGACAAAGCTCCGTTTGCCCAATCAGAGACCTTGACACAGGCGGGACCCATTTTGGCTCGAGATCAACACCAGAGCCTATTTTGACGACATTCTCAACTCGACACCCCGCTAGAGTTCAGCTCGCACGCTCGACGTCTGCAATTTCTTTGAGATCTTGAAGTCAAGTGGCCTTCATGCCTCGATTGTTCCAGGGAAATGCCGGGCGACGGACGATTCGTGCGCGGCGCTGACTGCCCTAGGACAAGATGGCAGCTGGATGGAGTGCTGGAGACTCGACGGTTCGTTGACACCCGCAGGTCGCTGGTCCCGGAGGCATGCGGTTGCTCCCAGAACAGCCCGACTCCGAGCAGTCTTCGCGATCCTTCTGCTACTCGATATCAGAAGTATGTGTCGAGAGTAAGAGTGCGGATGATCGAAGGCGTCGTTGGGGTAGACTCGGAACCGGTCAAGGGAGGTGGACCGGGTCAGCCGGTCGCATTGACATCGTGAAGGTGTTCGTGTTCTCTTTCGTGGGATAGCGTCGACAAGAGCAAGATCGTGCAAGGGCGATGGAACCTGGATATATCGGCTGCGTGAACATTCCGCGACGGGTGGAAGGCGCGAGGAGTGGTTCGGAACCGATTGAGGCAAGAGAGAGGAAAAGAAAGGGAAGGAAGGGAAAACGAGATGAAAAGAGGTTGTTCAAAGGAAAGAGCGCCTCTGCAGAGGTATGCATCTTGATGGTGCGAGTGACAGCTTCCACTCCTCTCTCATGGAAGGGACAGGAAGCCGCAGTTGCCAGCTGGCAGCATCCAGGGCACTTTACCCTCATCTGTGCCTTCATCCAAACTTGGTGCATCTCATTCAAGTTCCGCGAACCCCTACCTGGCCACTTCAATCTTCTTCTTCTTCCTCTTCCTCTTCTCTCCCTCCGCTGTTCGTTTTCCATCGACAGACACATCACGATCCACCATCCTCCATCATGCACCTCCTTCGGGACCACCATCAAGATATCATAGATGGGTATTGGACTCGGGAGATTGGCCAAGTACCATCGGGCCCTACATCCCTAGAGGTTCTTTGGCCACCGGTTAAATCGGGAACGGCCTCCGATTCGCGGCGGTCAGAGTTGCATTTGGCTGTTCACCGCCGCATCCAGAACGTTTCCGTTCATCAGCTCGCAATCATCACTTTTCCTCATGAACAACCATGAGGATTCTATCAACACCAACTTGGTTCTACTAGAGGAAAAGGGCGAGTGTCGTCGGTTCCGAAGGTAGAGCTCGACACGCCGTATTCTTCGAGTCATCCCACGCTAAACTGCCGGAAACGAGACCGCGCAACTAGTGCGAGGCAACATGGTGGGATTCTCACATTGTTGGGTGGCACTGACCTGCTTGAGCTGGGTGAACAGATGTCGAGTTAATATACGTGCCGTCCCTTAGCTCCAGACGGGCGTAAGCGAACACTGAAACAGTAGTAGTCACCACCATCCCACAACTCAATGGGCTAACAGTAGGTTCCTCTCGTCCAGTGCAGTTCTTCTTCTAGTACTAAGAATGACAGGTTGAACGACGACTGTCAAAAATAGGTAGAACGGGCAATATATTACCTCCTTCGGGCCCGTCCCGCTTCAGACTTCCCCGAGGGTCAACCATTCCAGGTGTTAGTGTCACCACAAGACGCTTCTCGACTCGGTCAAAGGGACCAATGCACTCTGCCCTGACACTCCCCCAACACCAGGTCCAGCCTTTGAGTCTTTCGCGCCACGAACAATGGTCCTAACCAGATACTCATGCGAGAGATGGCGTACCCCGCGTGAGCAACTGCAACCCTCAAATGGCACGTTGTTGCGTAACCGGGATCGCTCAGCCTCAGCTCTGAAGGTTGTAAAGACCCAAAGTCTGGGTCGTGGCTTAAGACACGGTTAGTATTCGGCTGCCCAGTACTCTCATAGGCTCAAGTGAGGTGAGCTCAGGCGTCTCTTGTCCTTGGCTTAACCTCACCTTGCTGCGGCGCATGCTAACTTCTGGCTTACAGACTCCAGCTCGAGTAATACGCAAGTCTTCTAGAAGAGCGAGCAAATCATCATCCAGGTTTCCGAAATATTGGTTCCTATGTATGTTGGCCATGTGGGCAAGGATCTGCGGCCTTCCCATACTATTATCCCGTCTCTGCATCCCAGCACCAATATCAGGCTTCACCACGGGAAGCTGTCAGCAGAGAGGGACGAGGGCGGTAACCATTATTCAGATTTCCAGGAAAGAAAGACGCACATGCCGAGAGGGATACCACGAGCTAACATTGTGTCTGATGAGGATGGGAAGCTGCAATGTGTGAGCACTCCTGCGGCCCATCTTGATGGGACGCCGGCCAGATGAAGCCCTCCGGATCATCGCCTGTATCGGAGCGGGAGAACTATAAGTATCACAGGCTTGTTCGTGAACATGAAAGGGAAGACGACTTGATCACCAAGCAACTCTGGCAAGCTTTAGCCGAACATCTTTGCAGCCGGCTCTCCAACATGCGAGGACTTCACTCTCGACTCTTCTCGCTCACAGCATCCTGTGCTGTGATGCTCCTGGCAGCATGCTCTTTTGTCTTAGCAAAACCTCTTGACTCTACACCACATCAACGCAGTGTACCGAACCTGTTGCCCAAGCAAGTGATTACACCTGGAGGGGCACCATGCGGTCAGAACAATGCGAAAAACAGGGCGTGCTGGAAGAATAGCTGGAACATCAACACAGACTATGAGGTCACCAATCCGCCTGCCTTCAACACAGTCAATGTGAGTGCGGATTTGCAAACACTTCACCTAGGAAACTGTTTTTTAACAGTCATGGTCTCCTAGGTCGATCTACACATCACAAACGTCACCAACTGGGTTGGCCCAGATGGGGTTGTCAAGCCTGCTATGCTTATCAACAGTGAGTCTGAACCATGTTGGGATGGATGTTACCCGGGCAGACGTAGACTAACAAGCTCTCCTCAGACCAGTTTCCTGGACCAACAATCACGGCTGGTTAGTGATGGCTGGGTTTCCGCGAGGATAGCAGACACTGACAGATTTTGAAAGATTGGGGAGACTACATCCAAGTGAACGTGTATAACGATCTGCAACACAACGGGTGAGTGTGTCCAATGAGCCAGTTTTAGAAGCTCGTCTGACGATATCCCAGAACTTCCATCCACTGGCATGGCATCAGACAGTTTGGTGAGGGTAACCAGGACGGAGCAAATGGTGTCACAGAATGTCCAATTCCACCAGGTTCCATGAAAAGCTACACCTTCCATGTCACCCAATATGGCACTTCTTGGTAAGGCAAGCATTTTTCTCCATATATCGACCGGCTGACTGACCTTTAAACAGGTACCATAGCCACTACTCCAACCAGTACGGTAACGGAGTGGTAGGAGCACTCATCGTCAACGGACCTGCTTCCGCCAACTATGACATTGACCTCGGCCCGTACATGATCCAGGACTACTACCGCCAAACCGCGGATCGTCTTCATTATGTTGCTGAGCTTGTCCAGAACGGTCCTCCACCTGACAGCAGCACCATAACCTTCCGCGGAAAGAGCATTAACCCAACTGGATCCGGCGGTTCGTACGATCGGCTGGTTCTTACCCCCGGAAAAAAGCATCTGCTGCGTCTCATCAACGCCAGCGTGGACAACTCCTTCACCATCTCGCTCGTCGGCCACAACTTCACCGTCATCTCCACCGATCTCGTCCCCATCACACCCGTGGTTCGCAGCAAGCTCTTCATGGCCGTCGGGCAGCGTTACGATGTCATCGTTGAAGCCAACCAGGCAGTTGGCAACTACTGGCTCAATGCCACGCTTGAGGCCGCCGGCAACTGCGGCACCAGCCAGAACAAGTTCCCCGCCGCCATCATCCAATACTCCGGCGCCAGTAGCACCGCCCTACCCACCAACAAGGGCACACCCGTAACGGCCGCCTGTGCAGGCGAATCCGGCTTTGCGCCCATCGTCAAGCGCACCATCTCCTCCTCCCTCTTTGCCCCTTCCACTCTTCCTATCTCCCTCAACACTCCCACCAAGCCCCAGGGCCAGGTCTTTGAGTGGCGGATCCGCAACACCCCCATCGTCGTCGAATGGGACCATCCCGTGCTCGAATACATCCTCGAAGGGAACAACTCCTTCCCCGCAGCCATCAACCTCGTCGAGGTTCCCTCCGCAGACACCTGGACCTTCTGGGTGCTTCAAAACGACTTTGCCCTTCCGCACCCCATCCACTTACACGGGCACGACTTCCTCACTCTCGGCATTGGCACCGGTACGTTCTCCGCCAGCACTATGCTCAACCAACTCAACTTCAACAACCCCATCCGCCGCGACGTCGTGCAAATACCAGGTGGGGGATGGCTGGTGATGGCCTACAAGACGGATAACCCGGGGTTGTGGTTGATGCATTGTCATATCGGCTGGCATGTGGCGATGGGATTGGGGATCCAGTTTTTGGAGAGGAAGAGCGAGATCAAGCAGTTGATGAAGCTGGATCAAATGGAGCCGAATTGTGAGGCGTGGCGAACGTATCAGCCTCAGAGTCCGTATTTGCCCAAGGTGGATTCGGGGCTGAAGAGGGGGTTGGGGGATGGTGAGGGGGTGAGGCTGGTTAGGGATGGGTTCAACTTTAGGGAGGTGGGCTTGGAAGCTAGGGAGCCGGCTGTGAGAAGGCTTTGGTAGGGGGGTAATGGGATGGTAAGAGTTTGGTTTTGCGTGTTGTTGTTTCCTTTTGGCTTGGTGTTTTGCTTCTGTTTTGTCTTAGAGTGTCAAGCAACGAATTCAACAGACACGGGGTTATATATCTGCCCGTACGCCTCAGCTTCATCGTTCTCCTCTCAATTTCACGCCCAGTAGCTCTACCATTATCTACCACAGATCAACGTCTGATCCTTGAGATAGCCTGACTATTAGCCCAGCGATGAGGATAACTCAAGTTGCCAAGCCAAGTTCAAGCAATCAAGCAAATACAATCAATCAAATCGAGGCCTCCCCTCAAATTAACCAATTAATTACAAGTCGTTAATTTAATTAACCTTAATTGGCCGCCCGGCAAAATCCTAGGGTTAGGGTTCAAGCTAGCAAAACTAATACTTTTTTACCCCTAAAAATTACTACTATCAGGCTACCCCCAACTAGCTAAATGTATACAAATACTAGCATAACTGCCTAGCGCTCAAACCTACCCGCATTTCGAATTTTTTAGTGTTTAGAACTATTCGTATTTCTAGTACTTTATTCGTATTTTTAGTACTTTTTAAAATTATATCGCTAACCTTCTACCTTATTAGTTAGTTCGCCTCTAAATTAATCCCTATTATATTCAATTATACTCAATCGTTTGTAATACCTATTAATTTCCCTCTCCCTTATTACAAATTAATATTAACTTCTACTTAACGTTATTAATACTATCGCCGCCACTATTACAATACCCGTCGTCAAATACCCTAATACCTCGTCTACTATAATTACCGCGCCGAACGTTTTTCTTAATAATTCGCCCGTATACGTTATTACGATCGAAATTTTCGATAGGAAGCGTCGTATCCCTATTGCGCGATAAATATAACTTTTGAAAAATATCTACCCGAACGACTTATTTAAAGCTATTATTAATATACTAAAAGTAATTAATAACGAGGATTAATATAATTTAGAGAATTAATTAGTAAAACTTTCTAAAAGAACTTCCTAAATCGGCGAATATAGTACGTATTTAATTAAAGTATCGGGTAATTATCAATTCGATAATTAATAATGTTATAATTATTAATAAAAAATTTTTACCCTCTTCGCTACTAATTCGTTTTTCTTCTACCTCCGCCGCGTATATTCTATTAGGGAGACATCTAATGATAATTTTACAAACTAACCCGAATTTAAAAAGACAAGATCGGTTGCCGAATAATTTACTTCATCGAACACCCCTATTATCAAACCTATTAGCGAAATTTTTCGCGAACTAATAGTAAATATAATTATTAGCGCACGCCTCCTATACTCCTTCATCGAAAACAAAGCATTTTAATCCCTATTAAAATTAATAGACCGTATTATAGGAAGTAAATTGCTATAAAAATCGCGTTTTATAATAAAGGTATAATTCAAAAATAAATATACATAATATTATGAACGTTTTAAAATTCGGCTAGCTAATATGTATTTTTAAAAGTATATTTTATTCGATTTCCAAACTTCTCTTAATAACCTTACCGTCCTCTCAATTTTTATTTATTATATACATATTTCTAGAATACTCAAAAACGACCTACTTAGTCTCTTTAAAATCTATAGTAATTATAGCAACAATAATTTAGCAGCTTCAATCCTTTAAATTATTAAATTATATAAATTTAAGAACGATGAAATCGGTTAATTTTAATATAATAATATCGATTCTAATAATCGCTATATTTGTTACGTTCTTAAAAGACTATACCCTACTATAACCTATAAATAATTCGATATCGAACTACCTTATCGCCGCCTTCGCTACTTCGGCTATATTTTAAATTTAAAGGTAAAAGCTACTATAAAATTGAGTAGGGCAGCTACCTCCGACGTCGACTATCCTTTTATTCGTTTATTTATTATTTAAAAAAATCCTATTATCCGAGAGTAGCATAAAAAGGGGCCGGTTAGAAAGTTTTATAATATTGTACAATTTATCCGTCGAAGCTCTTAAAAGCGGGCGAAATTTTAAGAAATTATTTAGTTCAGCTATTATTCTAATTTTAACGACGATTTCGACCCCCTTTTAAATATACATATAGATAATAAGGAATTCTCTCTAATTATTAACGTAATTTTCAATAACGTAACTCATTAGAATTTAAATTATCGTATAATATATTGCACTTAGCAGTTACGTAAATATATTGATTATTATATTAGCGAGACCGTTACCTATCTTAACCCCTTTAAATGGCTCCCTAAAGACGACTAGTTAAATAGTAATAATTTGGCTATTCTTAGCGCTATTATAAATATAATAGGGCACTTTAAAAACCTTATTAAGAAATTTAAAAAGCGAAGACCCCTCTTTTTAATTATGATTCCTAGTTTTTACCGCTTTATTAAAATTTTTAAAGAAAAGCGTATTCCATTTAACGGGAAAATTACTTTTAATACTTTTAAAAGTCCAAATATCCTAAAATTTAATATTATAGTTTTTAATACCTAGCGGCGTTATATACGTACTTTTCAAATTAAACTCTCTTTTTAATTCCAATCCTCCTCTTCTTATAATAATAATTCCCCTATTAATTATAATAATAATATAATTAATAAGGGTATAAAGTGTATCGGTTTAATATTTAATAGAATTGTTGCCAAATTAGTAAAATATAGGGATTTGATAAAGGAGTACACAATATATTAAATTTATTATATCCTCTACCCTAATTATCGAAATAAATAAGTAGCTAAGTATTTCAATAATAAAAAATACAATTCGATTATCGCCGACTTCCAAATTATATATAACAAAAATTACGCTAACCATTTAATCGAAGACCTGCTAATTAATACTAATAGTTAATAAGCAAGGCGAGCTAACGAAGATTGGTTTATCGACTTTGATTTCTACAATACTTACCCGTTATAGCTAAAGAAGGAGGATAAGCTATACCGCTACCTCAATATCGAAATATACGCTATTAATAATATATTAGGGTAGTAGAAGGCAAATGAAAGTATCTACCTCCGCTTATTATATATAGTATTTAACCTCTACTCTATACTTTCCATAGTAGATAATTGTAAACGCTCTTTTAGTAGCGCTAAATTAACTATATCGGACTAGAGGCACTGCTTAGTAGCTAACTCTATTAATATTATTAAGATTGTAAAATTCTAGTTGTCTATTGAGTTCGATAGGGAGGATATGGATGACAATTGACGACGATAAGGTTCTGTATGGGGGTATAGGGAGGTTTAGAGAGGTATAAGGAGGTCTAGAGAGGTAGAGGGAGGTTTGGGGAGGCTGTAGATATAAAGAATTAAGAGATTACGGTTCAAAAGTACTAAAAATTATAATTTCGCGACTTCAATTATTTAATTAATTAAGCAATTAATTAATTGAATTCGATTACTTAACCCACTCAATCAACTTTAAACTCTTGTTTGATTGAACTTGAATTATCCTCATCGCTACATTAGCCTTTAAGTTGTACACTTCTATATACAGGTACGTTTCTCATTCCTCATTCCTTGGTTTCCATCGTTACCCCTTTGCAGTTGATCTAGGCCTAACAACACAATATCCGACCCTACCACCACAACTGGGCCACCACTCTGGAGGAATCTCCATGACATCAAGATAGAATCCACCCTGGCAACAGGTGATGGGACTTAGTACCTCCCACCTTCGCCGCTTCGCAAAGATTTTATCATTGACCGCTTGCTGGAGAATGCGCCTAGACTTCAACCGACTCGTGTTGGGTATGTTAAGGGCTATGCTTCGGATGCCGAAGCTTCAGAATCTTTCGATTGCTTTTCGTATCCAATCGGTGAAGGCGGTTAAGGACGAGAGAGGGGCGAAGGTCCCGTCAAGACTTTGCGAAGTGTTGAGGTATGAGAGGGAGTGGTTGGCGGATGCCGACTTGGATGTTCATAGTGGAGGATGTGGTGTAACGAGGTATCTCCTCAACGAGGCGTTTCTGGATAAGGCGGATGACTTCAAATGGGTTGGGTCGGAGGAGGTGCACAACAATCTTGTGGAGCTCAACCACAGGCTCAATGGCCGTTCTATGTTTCCATACTAGGTACTAAATTGTGGCCGGATTCTATTATTGTTCATTGGATGTACGTATGTACCTAGAGGTAGGTACCTCTAGGGAGCCGGCGGTGAGATGACTTTGGTATGAGGTGACGGGAGTGACTGGAGTTTGGTTTTGCGTGTTGTTGTTTTCTTTTTGGCTTGGTGTTTTGCTTCTGCTTTGTGTTTACGTGTTTCCGTCCCCAATTAAAGGGACAAATCTTTTGGTGTTCATATCAAGCGACGAGTTCGTCAGACACAACAGAGTCATATATCTGCGCTTCATGATCCTCATAGCATCCTCACTATTAATACATCTGCCTTCGTGTACCACTAATCACCTCTCATTCTTGAGAGACCGAGACCGTTCCTCTTGCTGCTTCACACCTCTATATACGTGTCCCTTTCGTTTTTATTCCTTTAACACCGTGATCTGGACATAGGGGCCTCTCACAGAGCCAGAACCCGAGCCACCCGTGCATGAGAAGCTTGACGGCACATGGCACTTGGTGCCAGCCGTCACACCTGGGGTAAATGTGGTAGGTGCGCGTCGAGAGCTTCGCACGTTGGTTTTCCGGTGCCTCAATCCCTCTTCCTGTCACCATTTGTTGAGGGGGGCCCTGTCACGTGCCTCTATGCCTTCACTTGGGTGCCTATTTCACCCCTCCACACTGCCACCTTCCTCTTTCTCTCTTTGCCTCTCTTCATAGCATCACAGGAATACAGCCCCTTCGTCCGTCATCGCCTTCCAACTCCATCAGTACTGCTTACCTCCCGTCATTTCCACCATGGATCGACTACCCCAGGAGATTATCGACGCAATCGTCGAAGCATTTCCGCAGGATCTCGAATTGCCACTGAGGCAGACCGCAAGTTCCAAGCGACGGAAACTCGAATCTTCCCCAAGGAGATTGAGCGAGTTTAGTACCGTTTCCAAGGGGTGGCGGCGTGCTGTAGAACGGCGGCTTTTCAACACAATCGACAGCATCGGCTCCGGCGCTTTCCAGTTGTCCTTCTTCAAAACCATCCTGGAAGGAGAAAGCAACGAGAATCGTCGAGACTCGGTCAGGAGTTTTACGTACACAACATATCTCGCATTCCAAGGCCAGCAGAGCATGACGGACTTCGTTCGCGACGGCCAGCTAAGGCTATTCTATGAGTTCAGGGAATTTTTCACAGTCATTAACGACATATGGGTAAGCAGCCCGCAACCCCTCCGTCCCCATACCTTATCTCGTAGAGGTATCTTTGTTGTCGCAAGTTATGCCATCTAACAAATGAATAACAGTCCACCGACCTGGGAGAGATCAAGAGGCGGCCATTAGCCCTAACGGTCAGTATCGTCGGGATTGGACATTGGGATCCCGAGTGCGACGAGAACGCCTTTACATTTCCTCAGGCGGCAACGAGGCTTCCACTCGCTCCGGCAGTTACCTCCCTGAAAATCGTTTTCGATCAGGCATTGGACAAGGGACGTAGCCCCCGGCGATTCAGGCAATCAGGCAGGGGCAACCAGGTACCTCCGGCATGGATCTTGCAACCGTTGATGGCCAAGCTGCCATCGGTTGACAAACTCTCGTATGAGATGTTTGACTTTCTCGGCAAGGAACAATTTCGGGACCGTTTGTTCACAGGTACATAACAGCCTTGGTCCCATCGGGAGAATTTGAGCTTTGTTGGTGATCATTTGCTAACTTCACGAACTTTCAGAGACATTCCATACCCTGACGGGCCCATTGGCTACCAACTTGACCGAGCTATACCTCCACGTCGGTCCGTTTGGCTTCCGTACCTTTAACCAACTTCCCAGCAAATACTTAGCGTCTATGGCTACGACCCATGTGAGCAATAAAAGCGGCGAGGACGACCACAGTCCCCGTTTCAACTCGGCAGTGAGACAGCTTAGTCAACAGCTCAGTGTCCTCCACGTCACCGGGCTATTCGCGGTCCATCCTGACCTTTTCTACCCCAAGGAGCTCACGAATGGACGCGTCGGAGTCAGTTTGAAGAAAGCCAGTCCTGCGACGAGCCAATACCAGCCACCATTTTGGCCACACCTGCGAGAGGTAAAGATCGAGTCGACGCTCTACACAGACGGTTGTAGCTAGTTCTTATCACCGTCGTCAGGGCTCCGAGAACAATCGCTCGGACGAGGTCTTACAATCGATCGGTTTCTATCACGAGACCCAAAGGAGCTCAACGATCTAGCTGTCAGTGTGTCACGCGGCATGCTTTGCATGCCAAAGCTTGAGAGTGTTGAGATTGCCTTCCGGGTGGAGTCCCAGGACCTGATCAGAGGCGAAATTGGAGGTCACGGTTATTCTCAGAGAATAACGTATCAGAGAAAATGGCTTGCGGAGACTGTGTTGGATACCTCTGCCGAGGGAGGCACCAGTGCTACTTGCTACCTCTTGAATGACATCGACCTTCGCAAGAATCATGCGTTCAAGTCGGTGATCTCGGACGAGGTGGAGGAGAATCTAGTGGAGTTGAGTCGTAGACTCAGGGGCTTGTCGCTGTTTCCAAGCTGGTGAACAGCTGGTGGCTTATATCATCACTACCTCTCGTTGTCAATACTACCTTCTACTGTACTTCATATACCTCTACCATGTGCTATCATTGTAGTATTATCATCCTTCTTTGTTTTACCTTCTCGCTTCTGGCAGCTTTAATTGCCCACTGTCTTACGAACTGTTGACCTGGTTGCCTGCCAGGTACCTACTAGGGTGAGTCCGGCTTTTCAAGAGCTTTCTCCTTTTTTCGTTTGATAATAGATCTCGTAATCTGACTATTCCTTCTGACTCACCACATCCGTCACTTTGCCATCATCCTTCTGTTCAGTCACGACTTCAACACAAGTCCCTTCCTTCTCTTCGCCACCCACGCGAAGTTTGTTGACATCCCCCCGCCATCGACAGCGAAAGCTTAGGTTCTTTACAACCATGGATAAACTCCCCCAAGAGGTCATCGACCGGATTGCCCGCCATCTCTTCCCAGTCCTATTCACAGCATGGGATAACGCCGCTACTCTTAATGCAAGAGAGCAGGAAGCAACACGAAGCAAAGGGACTCGTTAAGTGCGGCCACCTACGCCACCATCTCACTTTTGTGGCAACGTGCCATCGAGAAGAAGGCCTTCACACTTGTCAAGATTCGGTCACCGGAAGATGACCTGATGTTGAGGCAAATCATGGTCCGAAACCCCCACCGCCGTGAATGTGTTCGGTTCATCAAATACAACATCGACCTCGACCGCCCAGAGAGAGTCACACATTTCCCCTTTGCCAGAGACCGATATCTCGTCTCCAAGGTTCGGAATATCATCGAACTTGTCAACCTCATCCGGGTGAGTGCAAGGAAGCTGATGATATCTGGTTCCAGTACTGATCTGAGTAGCAGCCGAGTTTCATGGGTTCCTGGCGGCCCGAGGCACCGTTGTTTCTACAAATCAACATAATCAACATGAAGGAATGAGGAACGAATAATCAAGCGCTTACGGTAGCACCGTCGGAGATCAAGGATCTGCCCATCTGTCCGGCTGTAACACAACTCCAGATCACCTATGACGAGGACATAAACCTGCGGTTGACAAGGCCACGCAGAAACTTTTACGCGAAACCGTCAGATATTCCACCAGTGTGGATCGCGGGGATTCTGCCCAAGTTTCCAAGCGCAGAGAACTTTGTATGGGAATTGCACGAGATCCTGGACCAAGGTCAGCAAAGGACCCAACTTCGCACAGGTATGTGGATGTGTTGCATGGTTGCAAGGCAAAGCAGGACCCCGCAGCTACTGACTCAAAGATTTGCCTCTAGGTATATGCGAAGCTCTTCGTGGCCCGGCATTCAAGAACTTATCTTCCCTCTCCTTGTGGATCGGACCTTTCAACTACCAGTCGTGGGCTTTGTTGAAGTTCCTGATTCAACCTCAAACCCAACCCGAAAGAGAACCTGAAGACCCTCTCAACGTGGCAATCCGCACCTTATCCCAACAGCTGGATTCCCTCCAAGTCATTGGGATCTTCACGGCCACACCGGATCTCTTCACAAGCTACAAAGTACAAGCCGGCGATAAACAGCCCTACTGGCCTCGCTTAGAAAACCTCTATATCGAATCAACGAACTGGACCTACAACGGAAGATGGTACATAAAAGCAAACAATCTGACAATGCTCTATCATATCAACGACTTCTTGCGCAATTCAACCCCAGAATTCAACAGCCTGATGGTGGCAGTCTCCCAGGGCATGCTCAACATGCCCAAACTCCAGAAGCTCGACCTCAGCTTCCGTTTCCCACGCTTTGACACAGGTGGACCTATCGATAAGTATCTGTTCGAGGACGCACACGGCGATTATTGCAATTCGCTGCTCTTCCACGTCATTCGTTACCGCCGGGCTTCAAGCGAGTGGTTGGAGCTGGCTGATTGCAAGGCAGCTGGGCAAACGTATTGCAACCTTGACCTTTTTAACTGCGAGCGCCGCCATAAATATGGACCCGGAAAGTTCGATGTCCAACCTATTTATTGGCGTCCTTTTCCTGACCAAGCGATCAGGAACTGGAACACGTTGCATAGGAGGATTAAGGGCTTGACTCCTCTGCTGGAATGGAGGAGCCCTTATGCTAACCCGGAGCTTCGCGAGGTTGAACCGAGAGAGGGAATATGGCCCTACGCGGAGAAGGAGAAGAGAAAGAGAAGCGGGTTGCCATGGTGGAGGGGAGTGTAGATTCAGTTGATAAGGCTGGTGGAGTCAAGAAAGGCTAGGGGCTACGGGGTCGGTAGGTGGAGGCAAAGGGACGAAGATAGTTGAATGAGAAGACCATACCGTTCGTATTCTATATCTACCTATGCTCAAGATCATCTCGGAAGTGGGAAAGAGTGAGATATCACATATGTGGAGGTTACCGTGCTATAATGGTCGGGAAGCATCCGGGCAGACGTTACCTATTAGGCAGGCGAGCCGTCGTAAGAATGAGCCAAACGCCGCTGGTCCGATACTATGGTCACAGCAGGTCGCAATGAAACTTACAACTACCTTACGTATAGAGGTACTTTTCATACACCTGGGTTTGAAAACGCGGTAATAGAAGGCTGTTTGGTACCTACCTTACCAACGGGCAGAACTCCTCTCACCCCGCCTTTAGCTACGGGTACCTTGTTTTTTACTTAACAAACCACCTTTTGAAAATATTGCATATTATATTTCTACCAAACTCTATCTAATACTTACTAGGTATTTCCTTTATTTAAGATCTTTAATCTCGTCCTTACTTCCCATTAGGCTATATCTATCTCCCAACAGGCTATATCTATCTCCCAACAGGCTATATCTATCCTCTAAAAGGCCTTCTTTGCCTCCCAAAAAGCTATATCTACCTCCTAATAAGCTATATCTAATATCCAATAGGCCTTTAAGTTATATCTTAGTTAAACCTCTCTGATAAGAAGTTTAAGATTTAGAATCCTCTATCTTAGAGCTATTTGTTTTAAACACAAAGCACACTATTAAAAGCCCGAGGTTTCTAATACTATAGCTAGTAGTTGTGTTTGATAAATCTTTTTCATTAAGGTTGTGTTTGTTCTGGCTGTAGTACGGTAGAGGAGGCCTTGCATTACTGTACATAACCCGCAGCTGCACTCCCTGTACAGTAATGCAACGGTAATACAAGCCAAAATATTTTACTAACCCTTCTTACTACGTTGTGTTTGTTGGTATTGGGCTGTAAGAATAGGAGCGCTATAATTATAGGGGGTTTGGGAGGTGTGGTGCGCTAAAGAGGGCGCTTCTTGCAGCCTTATACATAGGGTCTGGGACTGTTAAAAATGTTAAAAATCCGGCCATTTCAGTAAGGAATCTGGGCCTCTGATTGGTCAGATGCATGCCTTGCATAGATTTGGGGTAATACAGCGACTTGCATATTTTTACTAAAATCCAGCCGAACACAAAAAGTGCAGCTGTAAGACTACACCTTACAGCCACCAAAACTGGGTTTTCCCTACCGTGGCACGGCCGGAACGAACACAACCTAATTTAGCATTGAGGTTATTAATAGCTCGTATGGAAGCGATTGTATAGAAATAACAAAACATGTTGGAAGATAAGGTAATTACAAGGGTATGAGATTTTCTACCTTTAATAACAAGAGAGGTCTCTAACCTCGTTCAAAAGATGCAAGTTGAGATGGTGTAATTTTACCAGTGGTGAAATCTACTCGCCGTTTGCGGTTCATTTGTACGACAACTTGGCAGGCAAGGTACTAAAGTTGAGCTTGGCCCATGGGGCTAGCGGCAACCGGCGGCAACGTGGTAAAGCTGGTTGCTTATAAGGTGAGTGCAAGTGAAGGTGGTTGCCCCACCAAGTGACCAACTTGCTCGTCTTGCTCTTTTATCCTTTCCCTTCTTAGACTACTTCCTCGTTTGCGTTTACATCATCGACCACGTCGAACAACTTCGAGCCACACGCAAAGACATTGCAGTTTCCGCATGTGCAAGACAAGATACCTCTACCTCTACTCGCATTCATTTGCGCCATTTCTCAAAGGAACTCACCTACGGCTCTATGTCATCTACCCATCTACCTACTCACTTCCTCCTCGTCAACAGACGAGCCCCGCACTCATCGCGATGGACAAGCTTCCTCAAGAGGTGGTCGACAAGATCACAGGATTCATGTTTCCGCTTCTTGCGAAAAAGACAGACGAAGAGTACGACCGGCATCCTCACAATAAACGCTACGCCCCTTGCAATTATGAGAGGGATGATCTCAGCGCGGCACCATACGCCACGTTATCTCCGGTTTGGAAACGTTCCATCGAACAGTTGACATTTTGGATCTTGAAGATCCGATCCCACAGCGATGCCTTGATAGCAGAAGAGGCCATGTCCCGCGACCTGCATCGTCGCAACTCTGTACGCAGAATTGCGTGGACTATCAACCTGGATGTTGAGAGGACTTCCAGTTTTCCTCACATCAGGGATAAGGTGATCGTGGTCGAATTCCGCAACATGCTTGAGTTCATCAACCGCATCAGGGTAAGTCCTTTGAGCCAGCAACTATGCCTCTTCTTGAACCGTTACTGATCGTACTACCAGCCACCTTCCGACGCTCCCAAGCTCCTCTTGACTATCAACATAGTCGGCATGGGCGCATGGGACGCAGAGAGTGGCGAAAGTGCTTTTACTGCACCACCGCCCGGCATCCACGAGCTTCCTGTATGCCCAGCGGTCACCGGGCTACATATCTGTTACGACGTGAATATCCCCTTCGACATCTCCGAGCCTATGTTGGGAAGGAAGGTTCCACCGGTCTGGATTGTCGAGATCCTCTCCAAGCTCCCCTCAGTAACCACTGCGGACTGGGAGTTCTACGACTTCCTCAACCGACGCTCGGAGAAAAGAGCTCTCTTTCGTAACGGTATGTGCTTTTCCAACATTCAACCTCTGTCATGAGTGTGTAGTGTAAACTAACACAGCTGCTTGTAGAAGTCTGCAAAGCTCTGAAGAGCCCGCTTTTTGCCAACCTCCAGGTCCTTTGCCTCTACATCGGCTCATACCACTACTACAGTGGGGAAAAATCGAAAGACCTGGAAGAATACGTAGCGACCCCAAGGGTAGAGCCGTCAGAGAACGGCGAGGATGGCCTCAATGCCGCATTGCGGACAGTATCACAGAGCCTAGTGGAATTGATCATCCAAGGCACATTCACCCTCAGCCCAGACTTCTTTCACAAGAGAAACGGCGAAGCCCATGAGCAGCCCTCATGGCCTCGCCTAGAGTTTCTGGCTATCGAGACGACAAACATAACCTGCACTGGAAACTTGTACCTTCCAGATGCCAACGAGAGCACAATCACTTGGCATGAATCCTTCTTCATCGACGACATCCTCCGCAAACCAACCAATGACTTCAACGAGCTCATGCTGAGTCTCTCTCGCGGCATGCTCAGCATGCCCAAGCTCCAAAGACTCGAGATCCTGGTCCGCTGCAACCCCAACGGGATCTACTACCCACTGCCATATGGGGCTCGTGACAGTTTGTCATTTAGGGATATAAAGCTTCACCGTCTAATCTACTACGATCGGGAAGAAAACGAAAGTGTGCCGCTGGCGGAATTCCCTCCCAAAGATCTGTGGTGTAACCTTGGCATCTTTGATAGGGACTACTTCAGACAAAGGTACATCGAGGTACCCTGTCAACTGCCTTGGACCGCTTGCCCAGAGGAGGCTCTTAGGAACTGGAATGAGCTACACTTCAGGATCAAGGGCCATTCAATCTTGCCTGAATGGAGGAGAAAGATTGTTGAGAATGGTTATCAGGAGGACTATGTTGGGTATCCGTTCATTCAATCGGCCAGATGGGTAAAGCAGTAACTTGAGGGGCGTGTGGGAGCTTAAGCTTGGCGTAGAAAGCATTTTACTATGCAATTTCGCTAGAGGTACCCATGTATTAGTTCTCTTGTATCTCGAAGTATCAAACAGGGGCCGTATGCTATCTTCCCATTGGACTATATCCGTCCTTTTCAATCTCGGTATCAAAAGCCACCTTGTTTGTTTCCTCCTCAGGATACCTTCAGTTTAACCTCCATCTACCAGCCCCGTAAAACTGTAAAAGTGAGCCCCTTGTCTCCCAAAGGTACCAGGCTTCCTGCTGTATGCGTAATAGAAGCGAGGTAACTGATATAAGGCATAGAGAGGAAACAGTTAAGTAAAAAATGCACTATTGTGATGATGGATCGGGTAGGTACCTACCTAGGAACCGGCAGAAAACACCCGTCTTGCTCGGTATAAACGTTCAAGTCTTCAGCATTAGGCCACCATACGTGCAGTTGTTCGTTATCATTACAATTAACTCGACAAAGATCTCAAAGCCAGAATAAAGCCAGACAAAGCCTTCGTTGACGCCCCAAGTGATGATCTTGTTATCCCGCCTTGGTGAGAGCAACAACCTACATGCCGCCGAAAGCAACCCGAACGAAGCCACTGAGGTTGTGGTTGATACGAGGGCTCTTGACGTCAATGGTCTTCTATCCATGCGTGTCCTTCAAATCCCCCTTCAAGACAGCCAAATGCTATAGCCACCTACATCCGCCTCCACTCCTCCAACCCCGACAACCCTTTGATGCTCTTATGCAACTCATTCCAATTCTCCACCGCCTCCTTGGGAAACGGGCGCCAGTACAACTCCTTGTTCCTCGAGATGAACCGCTCATTGAACACCGCCAAAGTGCAAAACCGGTTGCCCTCCGCTGGCTTCTCCCTGATTCCACCGGTCCACTGGGCCATCTCCCTGCTTTCGTTCGCCTCCCTCACGTACCTCACAAGCTCGTATGTCTCGCCAGGTACATGTGGTGCATTCCCAATCACCTCGCCGTTCCCGGTCCAGTTCCCAGTCCAGTCCATGTCCTCGTCGTCCCAGTTAGGTTCGGCTGGACCGACCAGGAAGTCCAGCGTGAGAAGCTGGAGGCGGGGCATGGCTAGCATGCCGTGCGAGAGCGCTGTCATGAGCTTGTTGAACTCGATAGTGCCCGTGCTCAGGGTTGCGTTGATGGTGAAGGGACGGTTTTCTCGGGGTCGGAAGCGATGCGGGGGGATGAGCCACTTGGAGCCGCAGGGGGTGAGGAGGGTTGTGGTGACCCGGAGGACGCGGAGACGCGGCCAGGATGGTTGGTTATTATCATCGGCTCTGTTGATGAAGAGGTCTGGGCTGAGCGAGAAGAGGCCGTTGATATGCAGCTCTTTGAGCTGCTGGGACAGGGTCCGTAGGACGGAGTTGAGGGAGTCCGTGGGGCGTACGGGTGGCACAGCGGGATACTGTTTGTTTGAGAGGAACGCTTGCAATGTGGTGGATGAGAAGTTGTTGGGGCCGAACCAGAGGGAGAGGTTTTGGAGGTGTGCGAAGGCGGGGCCACCCAGGGCGTTGCAGAGTTCTGGATTGAGAGGGCAGGAGGGTTAGTGACTGGTTCTCGACGCTTTCTAAGAGTTGGAACTATGTGTCCCAGTCTATGATGGAAGTCTTGTACACACCTTGTTGCATACGATATCTTCTCAAGCCTCGCCTGATGAAGTTGTAGATCTCATAGTCGGCCTGTTGAGCCGAAGGGAACTTGGCCAGGACGTTCATGATCCAGGCAGGAGGGACCTTTGTGCCATTTTGCATGGCGATGTCGGCTTCTCTAGTCTTCTGAGGCGCGAACGCCTCGTCCCTGGGATGGAAGTCTCTCCTCAACTCCTCCTCAAAATATATGGCGAGGGAAGTAACTGCCGGGCATAATGGCAGCTGGTTCAGGGTGCCTGGCTCCTGAGTAAACGCACTCTGATCACAGAGTAACGCATCCCACTTGCTGTAGCCGACGATGCTGACTACAAGAAGAATGGGCTGGGTGTCATCAACGGGGTCGTTGGAAGTTGGCTGGTGAAGATAATCCGGTCAGCTCTACCTTGTCTCGCTAACGAACCTGGGATGTTCCCGACGGCAAAGGCACTTACCCAGATCTCGTTAATGAAGTTGATAAGGAGGCGAAACTCCTGCACGAGCTTCTGGTCCCTCATACGATGGAACTGTGTGTCCCTCGGGGTGTCATCAACCTTGACGATGAAGTCAATCCTCTCGACAGAGGCGCGCCGATGGGGGTCGCTGCCCAAAAGATACTTCGCATCAGGAATGTCGTCGCGTGACAACACCCCAAGCCGGCGAAAGGTCATCGCCTCGATCGTCCTCTTCCACGTCCTGGAGATCGTGGCGCACTCTGCCGGTCCTGGGCGGTCTTCGAGGAGGCCATACTTGCCACCGGACGCCAGGCGCGGAAACAGATACCCCGCGATGCGGTCGGTAACCTCCTGTGGAAGCTTGTCCATGGCTGAGAACGGCTGTGGTAATGAGGGTTGATGTCAGTAGACTGTTCTGGATGTAAAGCTCAAGGTTCTGGTGATCGAGCGCAAATACCTGTGATGGATGACGAGAGTTTGAGGATGGGAGAGTGAAGGTGGGAGAGTGAAGGTGGGAGAGTGAAGGTGGGAGTGAAGGTGGGAGAGTGAAGGTGGGAGAGTGAGGCTAGGAGAGTGAGGCTGGGTGAGTGAGGATGAGAATGTGAGACACAGCCACACGAGAGGGGTTTGCAAAAGCAAACGGGAAGTGAACCTGACCAGAAGTAGAGACGGAAGAAGGGAGAGAAGCTGGGGCTAAGACCGTGTGGCGCTTCGCGCCCTCGGGGGGAAAGGAGAGGGCAGAACTTCTCGCACCGCCACCTTTGTTTACGGGTACCGTTTTTCACCTCGCCCACTTCGTTATCAATATACCAAATATTATACTTTCCATTCAATTTCTATTATTTTGCTTATTTAATCCGATCTCTGCCTTCCCAACAGGCCATATCTGCTCCCCAAAAGGCCATATCTAGCCCCCAGAAGGCCATATCGAGCTCCCAACAGGCCTAGTCCTTCCCCCAATAGGCTGTTATTGCCTCCCAAAAGGCTTTCTAGCTTGGATTTGAACTAATATTTATCAAGTTTAGTAGAAACTCCTGCAAGATCTTCTTAGGGAGAAGGAACTTAGCTAGTGAAAAGAACGAAATTAGATACCTTACTAGCTACAAGAGAGTGTCGAGCCTATTATACCTATTGTGTTGTATATTATAGTGATTAGAAGAAAAGGAAGGTCTAGAACTGAGGGCCTTACTTACAGGTAGTTTAAGTAGAAGTACTAGGCTGGCAATGAGATTGTAATAAAAGGCCTTAACGAACTAATTAGATAATCTTTTTGGATGCCAGCAAGTTAGAAACTTAAGGCTTCTAATATTATGGCGAATAGTTATATTCTACAAGTATTCCTTCAAAAAATGACGTAGGAATTAGTAGTAACTATTTCGGGAGCGAGTGTATAGAAATAAGGAGGGGTGCGTGAAGGCAAGTAGGGGGGTGCGAGAAGTTCCAGCGTTGTTACGTACTAGGGAGAGCCGGTCTCCCATCTAGCCGTTTGCTCTACCGCCCGAAGTCCGGCCCGGCAGGCTACCATCTGCCAACGAGGGGTCATCAGGCTGCCTTACTTCTTCGTGTTCGTTCTCCTCTCCATAAGGTACCTAAATGCATCCCTCACACCTCCCTCACTTGGTGATCGTTCTTGCTTCCACCATCCACCACTTACAACCTTTTCGTTTACAAAAGGCAACCACAGCTAGCAAGCACTGATCATTTTCCTCACCATCCCACACTGCCGTCTTTTGAACCTTCCCATCCAAATATGGACAAGCTCCCGCAAGAAGCAGTTGACGCCATCGCGGCCTACCTGTTCCCATTCCTGGCAGCGGAACGTGAAGCCAACAGCGTTTGGTTTTCTTTCGGTGACTCGCCGCAAAGGCGGAATTCGTTCAGCGCAGGCCCCTACGCCACAATATCAGCGTCGTGGCAGCGCGCGGTTGAGTCCCTGACCTTCCACAAGCTAACGCTCCTCACGCGAGCTGACGTCTTCTACGCAGAGGAGTGTCTGAGAGGCAACACACATCGCCGGTCGCGCGTCTTCTACATCAGATACGACATCAACATCGAGTGGTCAGCGAGAACAGCGCACCTATACACCTGGAGAGACCATCAGATTGCATATGAGTTTCGCAAGATGATTGAGTTCATCAACCGCTTGTGGGTAAGTCCGAGCATGGTGGCTTTCCTCTCAATAACTCGGGTATCAACCCTCTAGTATGAGTTCCTCTGACTGACATGATGGTGATATCAGCCAGCCACCACCGACCCTGCCCTCCCAGTCTCTCCTCTTGGCCTCCTTGTCAACCTAGCCGGAATGAATCAATGGGGCGACGTGAATGAAGACCTGGAACGTGGTCTCACTGAAGCACCATCAAGGATGAAGGAGCTACCAGCGTGCCCGGCAGTGACCTCTCTCGACATTATGTACGAGAAGAACACAAACACCCGGGGGGTGTGGAGACCGGGAGTTGATACCTATCATGGTATAGGAACAACGAGCGTTCGGCCTACATGGCTCGTGGAGATTGCGCCCAAGTTTCCTTCCCTTCGCAAGGGAGCTTGAGTGGGTGTGGGTTTGACGGAGCGGAAAAAGATTCACAGGACGGAGACAGAGATGAAGCGGGATATTGTGAGGCCGGGGATGTATCGAGATGAGGATAACTGAAGAAGGATGAACGTCTCCAAAGACATTGAGAAAGTGGTGGTGATCTGAATACCAGACGGCGGGGAAGGGGAGGTCGCGTATTTAAAGCAGTTGCTGTGAGGCACATAAGGTACCAATATGACTGTGACAGCTCTGTTGATTCACTCCTACAGCTCCTGCATGCAGCCACAGCTATGTGCCTAACATGATTCTTGACGCATATGCTTGATCTGTAAATGTGTATGTATCCTCTGACTGCACATGTCATGTCCAGGGTGCAGATCCACGGCGGTTGTGCAATACGGTAGTACCTGCAGATTGTAGCGGGCATTCACTCGGAGATATTCTGCTCCGCCACCCGCAGAAACAAGATTTCGTGACACGGAGCGAGCCGAGGCTCAGTGCCCCGCCAAACCTTGAAGTTTTCAGATTCCACAGTTCTTGGTCGGTACATGTTCAGACACTCATCAAGATACCGTCCCAAGGTCCCACCACCCACTTCTTGTTTCGCCCCAGCACTTGCAAGCCATTTCCTAAGCCATGCCCAACCTCTTTCACTCTCCCCCGCCCTTCCTCAACATGGAGATTGCTAAAAGATGGATAAGCAACCCAGGAAAGTGTTGACAACTTCGTCGGCAACTTCTTCCCGGTTCTGCCCAAGACACACGAACAACTTGTGGCAGAAGCCCGTTCAAGCACACGTCCTCTCGACCGCTCCTACGAGTTACGCGCCGCACAATTTGCCATCAATCTTTCCTCCTTCCAACGGAAGTCCGATACTGAGAATCTGACACTGGCCAGGTTTGAGCTCCATGTTCGTGATGACTTGCTCATTGCGAGTGGCGGTGATGATCACACAAGAAGTCGTCCAACCACGAACTCAAGAAAGAACGCAACGACGAGTCAATCATCGGATTCACAGCTGACAACATCGAACTATTTCCGGCTCCGGGTGGGACGCCGACCGACTAAGCAGAGAGGAGATCGACGACGACATGAAGGGTGTTGGCAAATCCCAGGACATAGATGCCCGGACTTCGTCAACAAAACGGACTACATTAACAAAACGGATAAACTGGCCAATGAGAACGACGTCAAGAACCTCATCGTGAAGAGAAAGAGACATCAGAGACCTTATTGCCTGGAAGGAGATCGATGACGGATTCGCCACCAAGGCGTATGTGAGGAACTAACAGTTGCCCCGTGCCTGACGAGGAGAAACGAGGGCTTGGGGAGAGGAGCGGGAGTCAAACGCAATTGAGACGGCGATACCGAGCAGGAGGCCGGCAAGAGACAACAGCGGGAGGAGAAAACCGACACAAACGCCGGCGGGTCAAGGACCGTGTGTGGAAGAGTTTACATCGAGGGCAGACTCACGATTTGCAGGAGATCCGATGCTTGTTGGCTCGGAGTTTGGACAGCGAAGATTCCTGGAAAGGTTGGGTTTGTCCTTTTTGGATCAGGGTGACGGGGACTTTCTGTTGAACCATACGGAGGAGGTGATCACGTGAGACGACGAATGTGGTGGTGAATGTCTTGATTGATTGAAGAGAGAGAAAGAGCAAAGGGAAAAGGAGGACAAAGTACGACTTATATACAGGGTAAGCATGTGTGGATCGTATCCACTTGTGCCAAGAATGCCAAGAACTGGTGATGGCTTCAACACTTTCGGTGCTGAATCTGGGACTCTACAGGGACATGGAGGAAATGGGGCCAGAACTGTTCAGGTGCACTCCATGCCATTGCCTGTGAAAACTCTAGGCACGGGGAGGGCCCGGAGCGGGCTCCGGTGAGGTTGTCTTGGGTGGTGTCCTTCCATCTATTTGTTCTTGGATCCTTCATTCGTTGAACGTAGGCAGTGACAATTTGTGGTCAGAATGGGGAGACCAGGGAAGGGGATGGGGTGAGGAGCCATTCCGTGTGCTACGTAGGTAAATTGTTGAAGCGCAACAGGAGAGTCCCCATTGCAATAACTTGTGGGTTATGGTCTCTGAAGTGGGCAAGAGGGTACACCGCAAGTATTGCAGAAGGAAGACAAGAGTGAAGACTAATCCGCCGGTGTTGGCTTCTGAACAGGTGATAAACAAGTGGAACAGATGGCGATGGGGAAGGTGTGCTTGCTTGTTTGTGGTCTTAGGTTGAGATGAAGGGGAAGCGGAGTTACGTTGCAGTTGGACGGGCAGAGATAGGCGATTTGAAGTTACGAGTGAACGGGAAAAGGGGAGTGAGAGAACCCTGGTTGGCTAGGTACCTACCAACATCTCCGTTTCAGAGCATAGCATGAGCGACGGGGACTCCCGGGACTTTGAGCTGAGGGAAATCATTACGTGCGTCTCAAAGGGAAAGGCGAACCAAATGATGATGTGGTAATAAGGCCAAAGCTGATGCACGTTGACAAAGAGAAAGACGCTCCTGCAGCGTCGAAATAAATGGGGGAGAAGCAAGAGAAAAGGTGAACTGCGCTGTCCATGAGTAAACAGCGTGGATTCCTTGGTAAGACGAATAACATGGACTGATATTGCGCAAGGACGTTCCGGTTTTCGGTCAACATCAGGAACCGGTCGATGTTCGTGCATGCGAAGACTTTAGAGCAAGAAGGAACGAATAAGGAGTGTGGAGTGTAAGATCTGGCTCACGGCACTGAGTGCCAGTTGTGTTGTGCTTGGAGCTTGCGCCGAGGTAGTTACAACCTGCTTCGATCGTACGGAAGTCACCTCTCAGACGGGCGGCAACTGACTGCTCTAGAACTGGTGAGGGCTGGCAAATGACGCTGCAGCTGAGGCCGGCGAAGAGACAGCGGTTGGAATAGGCGGCTGATCTGGAGGTGTAGGGAGAAAACGATGATTGAAGAGAATGTCTACCTCTATGTATCAAAGTCTATTGTTTTGGGTCATATTTGTCACTGAGCTCAACTGATCTGCAACTGTTCAAGTGTAGTAGACATACACCCTCGTGACCGCGTATTCGTTTCACCACTCCTTTCTTCCGCACATGTACTTCCTCCCTTCCCATCCACATCCATACCACTCCTCGGAAGCTCAACATCCACCAACCAAGGCACGAACCCCGGAGCATACGGGACTGCGGCATTCACAAACAGTGTCTGCTCAGCAGCCCCCTCCCTTTCCGGGTACTTCAAAGGATAATACCCATCCCGAACAATCCTCTCGACCCTCTCCTCCTTCTGCTTCCTCTCCTCCTTCGAATCCTCCCACCCCTCTTCAACACTCCCCCGATCTACCAACACCGTCATCTCCGCTCCCTTAGCCTTATGCCCCTTGTGCTTCCCATCATCACCTTCCCATCCTCCCGCCAGAGCTTGTGGCCACTTCACAACCGCCGCACCCCACGCCTCATGAATATGTCCAAATACATGCAACCTCGGCCTCACCTCCTTCACCCGCTCCCACAACTCCACACTCCCGCACGACGTCCTCGTCAATCGACTGACATCCAACACCCCCCTCGGCGGCCCATGACTGATTACCACATCTGCTTCAGGCGGGACGTCGAAAACGTGTCCTTCCTCTTGCGTGTACTGGAACCCTTGACTTCCAAAAGCCGGCGTAGCCGGTGATGCATACACCACTAGCCTCGCTCCGTTGGCCAGCTCAAAGCGATGCGTTCCCTCCTCGAGATAAAAAATCCCATCCTTTCTAGCTTCTTCAAGCAATCGCTTCGCCTCCCCCACCTCCCCTAATCCCTTCCTCCTCGGTAACGTTAACTGCCCCATTCCCGCAGATTTCGATTGCGCTTCAACACGCTGGCTGTACACGGGTAGATCCAATGTATAGTCATGGTTGCCGGCTATTATCAGCTTGAGAGGGGCGTTAAGTTGGCGCAGGTAGGACAGACAGAGACTGAATTCGGAGAGCTTAGAGGAGTCGGTTATGTCGCCTGCGTGGATTACTATGTCTGCGCCCCCGGGGATGGAGGGGACGGGGAAGGGGAGTGGGTTCTTTGAGCGGGAGCGGATGTGGGTGTCGGATAGGAGGAGGAGGCGGGTTGGGATTGTTGATGGTAACGTTGATGTCGAGGTTGATGTCGATGCGCTTGGGTCGGGTGGGCTGGTGGTTGATGTGGTCATTTTGTCGTCGATCGGTTGTGTCTGCTTGTATCAACGGCTGCCACTGGTGGGAGTGATGAGCTCAGGGTAGTTGCGAAGTCTGAGGTCGTATCGTAATCCGGCGTGATGATTTATATTTTTTGAGATGGGTGTTGATATCGGAGTGTCAATTCGAAGTAGTGTTGTTGACGCTGTGACAGATGGTCGTTGTCGTGTGAATCGGTCACACACCCGGATGAGCTGGATGACGAAGGGTTCCACCGTTCCTTGCGCTTGTGGTCCACTGTAACTGCTGTGTTTGGACCCCTGAGATGTGCCTGAAGCCCTGAGGCGTTGTTAGGACAACTAGAATAGTGTACGTGGATGTCGTGCGAGCAGGCGGATATTTCGAAATCCAAAACGTAGGTACTGATGGTGAAAATTTGACGGTCTTCGGAGCTTTCAGCTGAGCTTCGCTTTGTCTCAGGCACGTTTTGGGTTTTGGCGCCTTCAGGGGAAGTGGCGAGGTTCGAGAACCTGGTCGAGGTCGGGACGTCCCCATCTGTGTCGGTAACAGAGGGTTAGGGTAAGTGATGCTGTACAATGAACCCTCGATGGTTGCAGATGGTTGCCCGTCTGATCACGCGGCGTTGCGGCTCAACATCAAAAACCCGCCGAGCGGGAGGATTGTTTCCATTGCACAAAGGACACCTGTTTCATTCTTTTCAGCTTCGTCAATGTTTGTTTCAGTGAGCAAGCAAACACAAACCCCAATGGTACTCGTCCCATCACGTGCATTTACCGGCCCGTAAGTGGACATTCACGGCCTCTGACGGTCCGGCACAGCTGGCAGCTCGCACGGAAAATCCCCCAACAAAACCCAGCTGGAGACCCCACAATTGACATGTCTAATCTCCAATTCTGGCGCCCGCAGAACAAGGACAGCAGCAGAACCAGCTCCGAATTCAGGCCCCGACACCGTCAGCAGTCACCGACCACCACCGTCGCCCTCACCTTCCAATACCGTCAAAATGGCTGCCGTTGTCAAGGCCCTCAATGCCAAGATCAGGAGCAATCCTGTGGCCAACTATCTGTGCTCGACCCGTATGTTGTTTACCTCTCCTTTTGGTCGCGTGCTCTCTGTTTACCCGCATGCTGGTTGCCCATGGTTTCCCCGGCAAAATCTGGCCCGATGCCCGATCATCGGACGAACTCTTTTGCGGCCACTCAACCTGCATCTCACCTCACTCCCCAACGTCACCACATCACTCAATGCTCAAAAAGGCTTGAACCCTCACCGGTTTCACTGCCCTCATCTCACCACTTTTGCGTGGCTCGGAAAATAAACAAATCCCACCGGCGATCCATGGTTCCGCAGCCATGACGTCCAGACATATGGGGGCCGTCACATCTCATCCAACTGCTCTACCAACCAACCGCGGTGCTATCTTGCATTCGGAATGCGAGCTCACAAACTTTGTGTAACCACTGACTGATCCTTCTCATCTCATCTAGACTTCTGGGGTCCTGCCTCCAACTTCGGTATCCCCGTTGCCGCCGTCCTCGATACCCAGAAGAGCCCTGAACTGTAAGCATCTCCCACGACCTTATTGGGCACCGAGACTGACCCTATTCACTACAGCATCTCGGGCCAGATGACCGGTGCCCTCACCATCTACGCCTTCGTCTTCATGCGCTACGCCCTTGCCGTCACTCCCCGCAACTACCTCCTGTTCGGCTGCCACTTCGTCAACGCCGGCGCCCAGCTCACCCAGGGTTACCGCTACCTTGACTGGCACTACTGGGGTGGCAAGGACAAGGCTGTCGAGAAGGCACTCACTGCCCCGGTTGCCGCCGCTGCCGTTGCCAAGTAATGGATGCCAACAGTCAACCGGGATCATCAAGATTTGCACCGCCGGCTAGGACGAACCGGAGGACCGCCGTTAGTCTGCGTGTCCTTTTGGCGACGGCCAGCATGTAATCTAGAATTTCCCTTGCTCCTTCTCTCGGCCTATATCCATCATAGACAAGGCACACATATACAGGCACACCACCTTCACTGCCCAGACAGGAAAAGAAGAACCAACAAGATGAGACATACATACTCGGCATATGCTACACACATATTGCACATGTACGAGATATCACGCGCTTCTCGAACCAGACACATGCTTTCTTCGCTTTCTCACATTTGATCTTCCATATCCTCCGCTCATCCCAACTGCTCTCAGCTCCAAGGGTTGCATCGGTTGGCCCCACATGTTTCCCTCCTTCGACTCTTGCGAGTGTCGGGTCGTCCAGTCAATGTTGATTTTTCCCATTCTTGGTGTCCGGCGTGTCTCACCTGACAGTGTAACCAGCAGTTCCAGCCAGCTTCAGCACTCCATCAGCGCCTGTGGCCCAGCTGCCAAGCCGGTGCTATTCCCGTCCCCAGCTTACGGCCCCGTCCGGCCCCAACCGGTCAATCAAGTGAACACTGGTGCGGATACCCTCCACCGTTCCACCGTTGGAGATACACTAGCAAGCACTGCCTGTTTGGTAGGCAATGCGGGCAATGCACAACATGCACGGGCGATGAACCGTGAACGGAGTGAGATGTCGGCGTGTCCCCGTGCGCCCCGACCCTTACTAGCTGCCCATCAATCATCCTTCGGGTCATTCCGTCCGCTTCCGCGGGTCCGCGAGGCGCGATTAGGGGGGCCGTGGAGCGCCCCCCATGCAAGCCCGGTTAGCGGATCAAGAAGGTGATAAGCCCTGACTGTCTCCCTACTGTCACTTTCACTGTCACCGTGCTCTGGCCATGGTGCAGTTCTAACGGTAAACGGGGATAGGCGAAACAGGCGAGCCAGGCCGAGAAAAGCATATGATATCCGAGCACTGACGATGAAAGACTGGACTGGATGGACCCAGAACTTTCAGATGCAAGTTCCAGGAAATTAAACCCAGCGAGAGCCTTGACTCCCTTGAGCCGTAGTCATGCAGTTGGCTGATGTAGCATCCAGCATCCCACATTATCATCCGCCCATAGTGTCTCCCCACTCCCCTAGCCTCCCCTACACTAGTTCGGTTCTCCATGTCACCGGGGGTTTCATCCCGGCGGCCCTTCCATCGAATCAGGAGACACAAAGGGACCCGACAGTCTGGAGACGAATCCAACGAGTGGAACACTGGCTCCTTCTTTTCTTTCCCTTTCTCTCGCGTGAAGAACGGCTCGACCCACTGAACGACAGGACCCGCACCGCAGAACGGCGTTGGTTACGAATTCGGCGCCTGCCGCCGCTTCCAAGTGTCTCCACTGTTATCTGATGAGCGCTCGACCGGTTCATCTGCCCTGCACATCGACCATCGACCTGCGAGCGAAGCGAAAACTCTGATGTGACGTTAACCGGTTGACCGTTAAATGGGGCATATCCGAGCTTTTGGCAGGCTTAACAGGCTTGGTAAAAGTCGGGCTGGAACCAACCAGGGGGGCCAGCAAGAAAAGAAAAAAAAAAAGGAGAATCGGCTTCTCCAGTCATACCTTACGCAAGATGCAAACCGGATTGGGGTCCGCCTATGTCCATGTCCCGGCCCTATTTGCGATCCCCGTGAAATCCTTCCCGGCTTGCGGGCTTGGGGCAACATGGGGACTGGATGGACTGGACAAGGACTGGACCCGAAATGTCCGTGACCCGGCCCCCAAGTTGCATCTTTAATCTGCATTCTGCATGCCCATGGATGGAAGGTCGAACGACTTGGACGAGGCTCCATGTCTCTCCAGGATTGCCATGTTGGTTGTAACCGTCTTTTTCTTCCTTCCTTTTTTGTGCTGATGCACTAGGGGGTAGATTCTCCGAGCTTGAGGGAAGATCCGGTTCTTATATCCTTACGTTCCGGCCCTCCGACGGGTCCCTCGTTGATGTCAATCGATTGACATTGTCGGAAGAAACGAAAAAAGTCTTACTTCAACCACCATTTCGACCTTCAACTGGATAGAAACACGGCCAAGCATCAGGCAAGTCCCACACGGCCCCGTCACCCCCCAATCCATCAAACTAACGTCCCGTCTTCCACAGTCTTTGAACACCAGACCTCGACTGCCATCCTCCCACTCCATCACCCAACATCACACCATCGACCTCAAAACCACAACAACAATGTCCCACCCTCCACACGGCCCCGGCGGCCCGTCCAATTCCAGTCCCGGCACTCCCCCCGGCAGCGGCGGTCTCCCCTCCCCCTCCTTCCCGGCCCCCACCCAATCAACACAACAATCAACAACCGACCGTACAGCAACCGCCCACGCCGCCACCTCTCTCCTCTCCACCTTCCCGCCCTACGCCCAAACCGACGCCCGCATCGCCCTGCTCTCCGCCGAACTCGACGCCCTCAAAGCCCGCCAGCGAATCTGGAAACGACTCGCGCACGCCGCCGTTTTGTTCTCTTCCGACCACGAACTGCGCTATTCGCTGTTAGACAAGTGCAACGATTTGGCGGAGTGCATGAAAGTGCACCCCCGACTGCGGGAGGAGGTGGGCAAGATGAATGAAGTGGAGTTGCAGTTGTTTAGTATAAGTAGTACTGCGAAGCAGTTGGTGGGCGATGTGGAGTGGGTTAGGGCGGAGGATGTGAGGGGGTTCGTGGAGGGGGTTAGGACTCAGACGCAGGGGCAGGGGGAGGGGGGGCGGGTGCAGGTGCACGGGAATGGGGATGGGGGACAAGGAGGGCAAGGAGGGGGAGTGGTGCAGGTTAGGTTGGATAGGGGGAGGGGGGATGTCGGGAGGAGGTTGAATTATTTGATGGTTACTAGTCAGACCCAAGGGACGCAGGGCGGGACACAAGCTGAAGGAGGAGGAGGGCAGGGAGGGCCGGGAGGGCAAGGAGGGCAGTTGATGGGGCAGGGACAAGGTCAAGGCGGGCAAAGTGGACAAGGAGAAGTGATGATGGGAGAAGGAAGTTCAAGGAGGAGCTCAACAACAGCAGCCGCGAGAACAACGAGAGGGCAACCACAAACACAACCACAAAGTCAAGTACAAAGTTACATCGCGGCTCAAGCAGTAGCGGCAGCAGGAGGACACCCACAGTCACAGCCACAACAAGAGGAAACAACATGGAGCCCAGCAAACGCCAGTGCGGCATCAAGTGCCGGGCGAGCAAGTCCAGGACCAAGTGAGGGTGAGTCTGCTCTGGGTCTCCAATCTTTTCTAGACTTTCCGCTAACAAGGTGGAAAGCAGGTAGTTCAACAGGCCCAGGCCATGGACCAAACCGAGCAAGATGGTGGGACACAGTCATCACGGACTCGGACACGGATCAACGGAGGAGGTCAGAGAGCAGTAGGAATGTACGAGGTCGTGATGCTGGGTCGGATTGCGAGATGGAGATATAGTGTCACTTGTAAGAGTTGCTTTGGGTTTTGCGTTGTTGCAGGTTATTCGCTTCTATTCTTGTATTGCGTATTGTATCTTAGCCCATACTTGGTTCGCTGTTAATGGGGTCTGCTTGGAGACGACGGGTCCCATGTTGGAAAACAGAGAAGTGTGTTGCAAGTTTACACCCCACTAGCCCAGTTGTGTTCTTCGATCAGGGTTTGAAGTTCGATGTCCTCCTCCAAAGAGTCATGTTCACTGGACGCTTCTTCGTCGGCGCCATGTGTTGTAGCTTGCTCTTCCTACTCCCCCCATTCCTCATCCTCTTCCCACTCCTCCTCATTCAAATTGAGGTACTCATCATGCTGGGGGCCCCGTTCTTCCTCAATTTACGGTTTCAGTCTCTGATAAACCCAATCTGATAGCTTGTTGATTCTTTCCCACTCCAGAAAGCCAGAGAGGCCCTTGATCCTCACCACCAATTCTTTGAAGTTCCGGTCAGCTTTCCAGGGATAATTGATCCATTTGTTAGGATCAATGGCCGGGTAGAATCCTTCGTCTGTCTCCTTCTCGATATTTGGGGTTGAACAGCTGTAGCTTGAAAGGCTCTTCGGAACTGGATGTAGGTATCTCGAGAAGGGTGTTAGGCTGTCTGTGGTACTCGATGATGGGAGTTGGTTCTATGTTGAAGTTCCCGTGTGAGATATAACGCCAATTCGGGCGCGATCCCAGAAACGCAATTTGCAGGTATAGCAGCTTGGGCATTCTTAGCATGGCTCGTGAGAGACAGGTGATGAGGTCATTGAAAGCTTCTGTGGCGGGGTTGAGCAGGTTTTCTACATCCAATCGGCGGTCGAAGTTGTTGCCTTGCTGAAAGTACTACCCTCCAGCAGGAGAGAAAAGCGTTGATTCGATTTTGAGATGCTCCAGGCGTGGCCACCTTGGCTGGTCGGTGAATGTTTCGTGATTGTCGACAACAAAAAGATACCGTAGTTGCTGAGAGATGGTTCGAAGGCGAGCGGTCATGACGTCAACGTCATCCGGCTGTTCCCATCTTCCGTTCAGCAAATACTGATGAATGTTCATCTCCAGATCATCTTTCGGAGCTTCTAGATTCCACAACTTATATCCACATGGTACATGATGCAGGTTCAACACCTGTAGGTTTTGCATCAATGACGGTTTAACTAGTACTAAGACCCTTCGTCAGTACATCGTCTCAAAGCTTTGACCTACCCAACCTGGGTGACCAAGTAAGCAGGTAGTGTACATACCACCAGGACAGGGATGCGTGATCCTTTTTCCGATCACAACCGGAGACAATTCGAATCCAACACTCGTTACAGAAGGGGTACACTCCACGCACGCCCAAAAACTCCCCAGGTACGCCCTTCAAGTACACCCCCTTAAGACACTCAAGAAAAAAGATTCCGTACTTCTTACATTGGCTTTTGTCTTCGATATATACTTTCCCGTCCATTCTCCGAGACGACTTGACGTTATTCTAACTCCTTTGGCCTTGTCGAGGATGTGTACTAGGGTGTAGCTGAGAGTGCACCATTTGAAGTCGAAGGAGCGGTAGGCGAGATCGAGGAGGCGCTGGATATAGGAGGGGATTAGAGGTAGCGAAGTGGTGCGGTAGGAGAGACGGGGTGGGATAGGCATAGATCGAAGAGATGTTTGGCGATTTCGTCTATCAACTCTTGTGGGAGCTTGTCCATTTCGACGGAAGCTTGGGAGTAGGAAGTCGGATTGGAAATAAACGCGAGTGTCAATGTCGTAACGGATGATTTCGTAAGACGTGCCTGTGCTTGAGAACTCATATTGACGCCGTTGGTAGAGACGCGGTGGAGAGGGTGGCAAGAGAACAGAAGTGCAAAGTGGAAGAAGATCGTGCAAGGAAGTAGATTCGTCTTTGGGGAATTGACTCGAGTGTTGGATCTGTTGTCTGCCAGAGGCGGCGGAGGAAACAACGTTTACCTACCTCTAGGAGAGGAAGGAGAAAAGGATGGCTTCTCAACACTTGCCCCATATCGTCATCACAATGATTCGTTCCTGCGGAATCAGCTTATCAACTGCAATTCTCGCTTCGACGGAACAATAACAGGAAACAGCGACTGTGACCCTCGTCTGCCACTCCAATTCCCAAAGGCACCTGCAACCATTGCTTTCATTGTCAGGTCATCACAACAAGAACCCGACCCATACCCTTCTCCTTCCAAGGCACTTCGTTAACAATGATGTCCCAGAAGCAACGGTCAATTCTTGAACTCGGTAAGGTCAGAAGTTCAGTTCTTGAAGTTTTCATAAGCCTCCTTTTTTGGGCCGTTGAGCCTGCGATGAAGGCGGTCTTCGTTGGAAAAGCTGATAGTGTATTACTGCGGTAGAACGGTGTAGCGAGAACAATTGTATGATGTCGCGAGAGGGTAAAGATGTCGGTATGGACGAGGAAGCGAAAGCATTAGACAGACTAGGCCCCCTGGCGTTCTGAGGAAATTCGGAAGATTGCTAACCGGTGATCGGAAGGGCTTGAGCCCTGGGTGTTACGAAAGCCTGGGAGGCGCAGTCAGCATTGGAGACGAGATGCAGTTGCATTTAACGGAAGTGAGGAAAGTGCGATTGGCACCGCAGGACTGAAAGTGCCTAGAAATCATCATGGTCATCGGAAGGAACGATCGGCGACGAAGTACGACTTCAAACCAATCATAATGTTGGGGGACGATACCTTCGAACCATGATCACAGGCGGGTCTGGCTCTGAGAGAACAGGACATTCATTCTATCCAATCTACCGTTGTTCTCAGCTCCTGATTCATTCCTCACTATCACAGTACTCCCCATGTCCCCGCTGCCCCCAATACCCCGTATGCCCAGCCGCCGGATGTCCATACCCTCCTCCACCATATGCATCCGGAACACTCCCCGCCATACTCACAGGCCTCGGCTTCCCAGTCCCGAAGGTCTTTGACCTCCTTGACGACAGCGGTGGCGCCTGCGTAGCATCTCCTTGCCACTGGCTCAGACCCGCACCGCTCCGTCTCCTCATAGCATCATAAGCCCCGTACCCCCCAGTTGTCCCTCGATGTTTGCTCTTCGTCCGCCTCGGCTTACTCTTATCCCTCGGACTTCTTGCGACTGCTCCAGCTTCTTTGATAGTCTCAGTGGTATCGCCTCTGACCCTACCTCTCGATTTATCCCTCAGCTCTCTAGCCTCTCTACCACGCGGCTCGCGCCCGGGTGTAGGCGGCTCCCGCCAGTCCAAGGGAACGTCACGGATGCGACCCCGTTGAGGTTGGGAGGGATCATGCTCGCTGCTGTGGTCGAACGAGATGTCTGTTGGTGTTCCGCCTCTGTCTTCTTCGGAGTAGTAGGGATACTCGTGATCATCGTGCTGATGTGAAAGAAGAGAGTCCCGGGATGTGTCCCAAGCACTGCCACGGAAGCTGCGGCTAATGGGAGATTCCCTCCCTAGTTTGCTGCCGTTCATCCCAGGTATTGGCATGGGGCCTGGCCCTGGAAATGGATGACCGTCCGGTGGCCCGAACGGAGGATATCCTCCTGGTCCGGGAGCTGTAGCCGGAATGCCGTTGGGGTAGAATCCGGGGCTGGGAGCCGCCATTGAGGGTCTTCGTCCTTTTCGCAACCTCTTTTGATGCGCTTCGTGGGCGTCTCGTAGCTCCTCCTTCTCTGCAAATAGGTCTTCGTTCTCTTGTTCCAGCCTCTCCATCTCCTTCTTGTACTGATTGACCTTTTGTAACATAACCATCAAGTCATGCTTTTCTTTCTGCAACGCCTCATTTTCCTTCATCAACGTCTCTTTCTCCTGCAGAAATGATTCTCTCTCCTCTTGCTGTTCCTTGTCTTTCTTGAGCTGCCCCTTCTTTCGTAGCGCGTCCTCTTCCTCTCTGGCCTCTTCAGCGTCTCTCCTACCCGCATCTTTCCACCGTTGCCGTTCATGATCGGCGCATCGCTCGAACGGTGTTCCTTGATCGTCGTAGATTCGGCCTTTCAGGCAGTCGGTCTCGACACACCCGTGCTTGGCGAGGCAGTAGCCTGCTGTGGTCTCGGAGATGGGCGTCGCTTCTTCGGGACAGGAGGCAATCTTGCATTTGTGTAGCTTGCAGAGGGGAGGGGAGGACTTTGCGGAGGTCGTCGAATTGACGATGGTGTCGACGGCATTGGTGCAGTCTGGCTTGCTGCAAGTGTGAATCTCGCAGTGGGAAGAGCTGGCCGTTGCGGTGCTTCGTTGACATGATGGGGCCTTGCAGGTATGTTTCGGGCAGAAAGGGCCGGTGCCGGTACCTGAGCCGTTGACGAGAGGATTAGGACAGCCGTCCTTCCTGCAGCGATCTATCAGTTTGGTTAGCTGACGATTACGAAACGTAATTTGTTACATGTCTTACGCTTGTGGCAGTAAGGGCTTCCAGAGCTGCCTCTCTCCTCTGGACACTGTCCAGCCTTACACTCATGCTCGGAACAGTACCGGCCCTTTCCATTTTCCTTTTGTCGTCTACAATCTGGGTTCGCACATCGAGCTTTCTGCTTGAAGTGTGTTTCACACAATGGTGGTGCATCCAGATCATCGAGTCCAGTGTCGGGCCAATATCGAGGTTTGTGACACCCTTCGCGAGCACATCGCTGATGCTCCGTGCAGAGGTTGTTTTTCTTGGCGATGTTGGGACAGTGGGCGCTTCTGCAAGTATGTTGCTTGCAGTAGAAGCTGTCGTTTTGAACGTCTGGTGGTGACTTGCAGTCTGGCACATCGCATCGCTTGTGCTTGTCGCATCGCCGATTATGTTGGTCACTACCGGTACCTTCTTTATCACACCTATCATGGCCACAGCGATGAGTAGAACAAAACCAAGGGGCCGTTGGGTCAACACTGTCAGCAACTTCTTCGTAATCTCTTTTTTGCAGACAGGGTTCCGTTGTGCACGCGCATGATAGAAGTTTTTCGTCTAGGAATAGTTAGTCAATATCGCCATGGCAACAGAGCAAGTGCGGTGAGGCTCCTACGGTGGTCACATAAGTCTTGCCCTGTCGTTACAGGGTCGGGGCAACAGCTCCTGTCGTAGGGTGGATGCTCCCATCGGCATGTGTCTATACATGGGCGTTTGTTAGTCAGGGCTTTTCAGTATGAGATGGAGTCCAAGCTAGTTGACATACGTCGTTTACAGTAGAGTGAGAGAAGTATCTGGTCATCAAAGGCTCCTGCAATGGGTACTGCTGTGTCTCTGCACTGAGGTACGCGGCATGTCGGAGGGCCTCTGCCGCGGCGCAGACTCTCAGTTGTCGACCACCTCTTGGTTGAGGGCCGCCGATTCATATCGGAGGAGTCCGTAGGCATGTCGGTGTCTGACCGGGATGGGGTGCCGGAGTTGGGCGTTGACTGTTTTGAATGACGGGAATTGGGTGACTGGCGTGATGCGGGACAAGCGGAGTGGGGTTGATCCGGCCAAGCCTTGAGCAAGCAAGAGATGTCGGGGGTCCAGCTTGTTATAAAATGCGTGCTTGTTGTTTGCGACGGCCGTCCTATTGGTCTGCGTGCCAACACAAAATATAACAGGGCAGTGAGGGCACCATATGGCGTATTGTTGCCCCTATAACGTCGCGAAGTGGCGGATTGACGACAGGGAAGTGGGCGATAACATGCAGGACATCAACCAGTGAGCCACCATGCAGTAGCGTCCATGTGTCTGCGAATGATAGGTGTCGGACAAGAATGGGCAAACCTCGATTGTGGGTCGACTTGCATGAGATCCTGACGAGTATGACATTTTTTGTCTTGGATGCGAAGATATGGACTCGATTTTGATACTTATAAAAATCAACTTTGACTTGAGGTTCTATATCAAAAGGCGCTTGGGAGGCCACCGTCCAGAGAGGCAGCCAAGAGGCACCAACATAAAAGAGGCACACTTGTGCTCCTCCGGATGCGGGTTGCGACATCAAGACTTTTCTCTGTGCCGCAACCTCACATGTAACCCGTCCATCATGTCAAGCCACCCGCAGGCAGGTGTGGCTTTGATACACTTTGTCGAAAGGACATCTAGTCGCCAGACCCCGGGGCTTTTCTGCGGCCAGGTCGAAGGATCAAAGCCACGGTATGGGTAGACGCGCGGGTAACGAAGTCGGAAGTCATGAAACGGCCAGCGTTCTAGACTTCTAGATACTCGTAAGGCCGAGATCTAAGGCCGAGCAAGGTCGAAAGAAAGAAAACGAAAAGGAACAAGACGTCCGTTGCAGGGTAAGGGGACTTGGAGGATGACCCTGGCGATGTTAAGGTTGCAGGGATGGCGATGTAGAAGCACCTCTGATGGCGGTCGTCTGATGACTTGTGATGTTGACATGGAAAGACCTCGGCCATCAAAGAAGTGAAAAACGCTGCCAGTGAGTACGGCATTTCAGGTGCGGCTGTCTCAACGGTCAGCTGAATCAAAAAGTGCCTGTGGAAGGGGAGAGAAGTATGGAAAGGTGGTGTTGGTGTTCTAGGCCTTGACTTTCATGTTGTGGGAGGCTTGGTGGTGACGGATGGGGGCCTGCTGCACTGTTGCTACTGTGACAGCACCTCAGCTTGAGGCGGAGCTCTGTTAGCTCCAAGACAACAGGATCAACTGCATCGGCCAGACCACACCAAAAAGGAAACGCGGACTATATTGAGAAGTTGCAAATGAATGTGGAAGACGGCGGGAGAGACATGGTCGCTTGGGAGAGCTCGAAGTTTTGGAGCATCCCTTAACAGGGCACGCACCAACCTGTGCTCCCTTAACAAGACGACGGGAACAGGGACAGCCAGCGACCGGACCCGACGGTTTGCGCAGCCGATAGCCACCAGGCAACCACAGTGATATGGGCATGTTGTTGTGTGATTGAAGTGGTTGGGCGATTTAAGATTCCCGCTAACCATAGTTGAGCGTGAAAAGAATTGAGTATCCGAGTCGAAATGTCAAAATTGACTTGGTGGTGTGTGTCCACTCGATGGCTTTCCACTTGGGCTGTGCTGGCGTGGAGCTGTGAGACGGGCCGCTCCGGAGGTCGATCGCTCTGAAATTGAGAGCCTACGACTTGGTCCGCATATCGGTAATATCGTTGAATAAGAACCAAATTCCCAGAAAGTATGAGAAGTCGAGCAAGGCATTGTATTTGATTGACGGCCTGGGCTTCTGCTGGGAATGGGCAACGATATGAAGCGGACGGCGAGTGTTGCAAAAGTCGAAGGGAAGCTCACGTGGGAGTTTAAGGAGCTATGGCCACCCTAACACACGATAAGATAATGACGTCAGCCTGTCTTGTGTTAGTGACCGATAAAATAAGACATTCGCAAAGTCACAACATGGCGCCTCGTGGAGACGGAGACAAATCTCCGGAAAATCAACAACTCGAACTATCTATCCCCTGCGTCTAGATTTCTGGTTCGTCACTGGCATGTGCCGGCTTCAACAATCAGAAGAACAGTGATTGGAAATGCAATGGCAGATGGAAGTCAAGTTGGTGATGTCATCGTTAAGAGATCAAGTGGGGTACGAATGTCCAAACATAGGTTGTGCCATTCCCTTTCCGAACACTTCGCCCCACCTCATCCTTCTCCTTTCCCATGTTCCTTCCTCTATGAAGACAGAGATCTCGATTACCGACCGAAGTCTCCGACACAAGTCCGTTCCTGGCAGAATATTGAACAGTTGCGAATGTATGAACCCCGCAATGGCTGCCCTCGGCTGATCGCCCAAGATCTCCCTGTTCCAGGCCTTGAAGCCAGCAATTGTAGAGAAGCCAAGCTGTTGATACACGCGTCTTGTCTGCCTACCCGGCACCAGAGTTTGGGGAAACAGACAGGAACTGACCTCCATCCCAACGGGTAGTCGGGGTTTTGCAGAAATTGGGAGGTTGAAGGGGAATGCACTGACAGCATTGTGATCTGACGTCATGCATTTAGATGTGTAATACATAACAGAAACACTCTCTCCATTCCTAATTCTCCAGTCCATCTCTCTTCCTCTTCCTCTTCCTCCTTCATACCTCATCGCCTTATGCAACGACTGGCGTTGCATTATCCTACTCTAGATTCTGCAGCAGAACCACCAACAGAACACATTCTCCAGCAGTCTAATCCCACAATGTCCAACATCATCAGCCAGGCCGGCCAGAAGGCCAAGGAGGCCCTCACCAGCGCTCCCGGCAGCAAAAAGGTTGATGATCTCAAGAACGAGTTCAAGGAGACTGGCAAGGATGCCCGCCTCACCACCGACTATGGTGTCAAGCAGACCACCGCCGACGACTGGCTTAGAATCGTCAGCGATGACAAGATTGGTCCTTCTCTCCTCGAGGACCCCTTTGCCCGTGAAAGAGTACGTCAAGTCGCATCCCTCGTCCTTTGATATGCACCTACCAACACAATGTTCCCAGATCATGCGCTTCGACCACGAGAGAATCCCAGAGCGAGTAGTCCACGCCCGTGGCAGCGGTGCCTTTGGCAAGTTCAGAGTCTACGAGAGCGCCTCCGATCTCACATTCGCCCCTGTCCTTACCGATACCTCGCGCGAGACCCCCGTCTTTGTGCGCTTCTCTACCGTCCTCGGCAGCAGGGGCAGTGCCGACACTGTTCGTGATGTCCGTGGTTTTGCCACCAAGTTCTACACAGAGGAGGGTAACTGGGATCTTGTCGGCAACAATATCCCCGTCTTCTTCATCCAGGACGCCATCAAGTTCCCCGATGTCATTCACGCTGGCAAGCCCGAGCCGCACAACGAGGTGCCCCAGGCCCAGAGTGCTCACAACAACTTCTGGGATTTCCAATTCAACCACACCGAGGCCACTCACATGTTCACGTGGGCCATGAGTGATCGCGGCATTCCCCGTTCCTTCCGCATGATGCAGGGTTTCGGTGTCAACACCTTTACTCTCATCAATGCCCAGGGCAAGCGTCACTTTGTCAAGTTCCACTGGACTCCCGAGCTCGGTGTCCACTCCCTCGTTTGGGATGAGGCCCTCAAGCTGGGTGGTCAGGACCCCGATTTCCATCGCAAGGATCTTTGGGAGGCTATCGAGAACGGTGCCTACCCCAAGTGGAAGTTTGGTATCCAGGCCATTGCCGAGGAGGACGAGCACAAGTTCGACTTCGATATCCTCGATGCCACCAAGATCTGGCCCGAGGACCTCGTCCCCGTCCGCTACATTGGTGAGATGGAGCTTAACCGCAACCCCGACGAGTTCTTCCCCCAGACTGAGCAGATTGCTTTCTGCACCAGCCACGTCGTTTCCGGCATTGGCTTCTCCGACGACCCTCTTCTCCAGGGCCGTAACTTCTCCTACTTCGACACCCAGCTCTCCCGTCTTGGTGTTAACTTCCAGGAGCTTCCCATCAACCGCCCTGTGTGCCCCGTCATGAACTTCAACCGTGATGGTGCCATGCGCCACACCATCTCTCGCGGCACCGTCAACTACTACCCCAACCGCTTCGAGGCCTGCCCTCCCGCTACCCACAAGGAGGGCGGTTACCTCGAGTACGCCGAGAAGGTGGCTGGCATCAAGGCCCGTGCCAAGAGCTCCAAGTTCAAGGAGCACTTCAGCCAGGCCCAGCTCTTCTTCAACTCCATGTCGCCAATCGAGAAGAAGCACATCATCAACGCTCTTAGCTTCGAGCTCGACCACTGCGAGGATCCTGTTGTCTACGGCCGCATGGTCCAGCGTCTGGCCGACATCGACATTGGTCTTGCTCAGACCGTCGCCGAGATGGTTGGTGGCGAGGCTCCCACTACCACTAAGCACCCCAACCACGGCAAGAAGACCATCCATCTCAGCCAGACCGAGTTCCCTCCCGCGACCCCGACCATCAAGTCCCGTCGTGTTGCGATCATCATCGCCGATGGCTTCGACAAGGTCGCTTACGACGCTGCTTACGCCGCCATCTCTGCCAACTTGGCCATCCCCCTTGTTATCGGCCCCCGCCGCTCCAAGGTCACTGCCGCCAACGGCTCTACTGTCCAGCCCCACCACCACCTCGAGGGCTTCCGCTCGACCATGGTCGACGCCATTTACATCCCCGGCGGCGCCAAGGCTGTTGAGACGCTCTCCAAGAACGGCCGTGCTCTGCACTGGATCCGCGAGGCGTTTGGTCACCTCAAGGCCATCGGTGCTACCGGCGAGGCAGTTGATCTTGTTGCCAAGGCGATCGCTTTGCCTCAGGTCACCGTTAGCAATGAGACGGAGGTGAATGAAAGTTATGGTGTTGTTACCCTCAGGCAGGTCAAGCCCGAGAGCTTCAAGGATGCCGTCAAGATTGCCAAGGGCGCTGCTGGGTTCTTGGGAGAGTTCTTCTATGCTATTGCCCAGCACAGGAATTGGGACAGAGAGTTGGATGGATTGCACTCGATGGTTGCGTACTAAGTGCGGTGGTGGAAGTCGGTGTTCTTTTACGATAGTTATGATACCTAATGTTTATGATTCTTGTTCTTTTCCAGAAGTTCTGAAGTGCTTTAAGTGATATGTGACTAACGTGAAGGGGTGGGTGTTGGGAGGAACGCTGTTAGTGCATTACCCTGGTGGTGACAGCCACTTTCCGGGATTTCGTTAGGACCCGCTGCAGTGTAGAGCATGACGGAGAAGGAAAGGAAGGTACGCCCACTTTCCCACCCCGAATGGTGGTATTGGGAAGGAGCGTTTGCTGGGAAGAAAATATGAGGAGGTCGTCGCCCACCGCTTCGCCATTTGCTTTTCCTTCTTGAAAAGTTCTCTATTCAATTTGGTCAGCGCCGGATTTCCACCCAATTTCTCTCCTTCTTTTTGACGTCCAACGAAATTTCCATTCTACGAGACCACTGTACCACTCGTGTTTTCTCCTCGATTTCGCTGGCGACGAGCGTCTTTAAAAAATCGAACAACACCATATCATCCTTCAACAGTTGCGACTTGGACGGTGTGCGATTGTGATTCAGCATCTCCGATTTTCTTAGGTTTCTCCTTACAAGGTACCTGTCTCACCTCATCTCAGGAGTGTCTTTTCCTATTGCTCTGTTATCCTGCTATCACTGTTTCTACCCAAGCTGCGGGGAAGGAGATAGGATTACATCTTATTCCCGGCCCCGCGCCCTCACTTTCTGCTGCTTCTGTATCTCAACATTCGTCATTCTCCCCTTCTCCATATTCCATTCTCTCCTTCCTTTGGCACACTCCGGTTTAGTTCCTTTCGCAATGTGTTACCCAAATCTTCTCAATCGGCTAACCTATGTATCCCCTCGTGATGGATGCAGTCCGCCCTTGATTTTCGCCCTCGGGACGGCATACAATTGCTGCGGGGTAGTACTCCACTGTCCCATTGCCAGATGCTGGCGCCGATTGTCGCGAGCCAAATTCACGTCAATCTTTCCACACACTCAATTCCTCGAGTTCTCGTATAAAACACATCATCGCGCCTCCGGTTTGGGTTGTTTCGACTTCGGTAACGCATCAAGGCAGTCATGATACCACAGATCATGCGCCCATCAGTCAAACGCTTGGCCACGCGGGGACTCAGCACACGCCCGGCACTAGCAGTGACAAGCTGTCAACGTCACCGGTTCTTGTCGCTTTCCTCCCGACTTCAAAACACCAACACCACCACCCCCGCCGGTGAAGATGAACGACAACCATCACCAACAACCACCACGCCTGTCTTTGAGACAGACGCCCCCCGAAGACGCGGCCGCCGCCCAAAGTCAACAACCTCCGACCTCAACAACTACACCCCTCCCCCCGACGCCGTCCCAGGATCCGCATCTTCATATTCCCCAGCCTCCAACTCAGACATCTCCTCCCTCTCCACCTTCCTCAAATCCCACAACCAGCTGTCCCGAAACATCCACGAGACATGCTCCCAGTTCGGCGCCGCCCACCGCTGGGGTCCCGGGGAAAACGACACGGGCATGAACCGCTTGGCCCTAACGGATGCGGACAAACAGGTGCGGAACTGGTTTGTGAAAGAAGCGAGAGCGTTGGGGTGTGAGGTGGAGGTGGATGAGATGGGGAATATTTGGGCTATCAGGGATGGTGTTTCCGACAGGAGGCCTACTAAAGACGGAAAGAGGCTGCCGCCCGTGATGATGGGCAGTCATCTCGATACCCAGCCGAGGGGAGGGAGGTATGATGGCGTGCTGGGGGTGATGGCGGGACTGGAAGCATTGAGGGCGTTGAAGGAACAGAATGTAAAGACGTGGAGGCCGGTGGGCGTGGTGTGCTGGACGAACGAGGAAGGAGCGCGGTTTCCGGTGAGTATGGTGAGTAGCGGGGTGTGGGCGGGGGAGATCCCGTTGGAGAGGGCACATTCGTTGAAGGAGGTTTCTGGGGAAGGAAAGACGATGAAGGAAGAGTTGGAAAGGATTGGGTATTTGGGTGACAAAAAGTGCAGTTTTGAGGAGATGCCGATGGCTGCGCACTTTGAACTGCATATTGAGCAGGGGCCGATATTGGAGGCGAAAGGGAAGAAGGTGGGTGTGGTGAGGGGGAGTCAGGCGTATAAGTGGTTTACAATCGAGGTTGTTGGGAAAGGTGAGTGTCATAGTATTCTTTATGTTTTTGCGCTTGAGAGATCGGACAAAAGCCAGACTGACTTCCATCATCACAGAGGCTCATACAGGAACCACCCCTTATGCTCAGCGCGCCGACGCTTTAATGGTGGCCAACTCCATGATCCGTTACGCCCGCTACAAAGGCGAGGTGCAGGGCGTCCTCGTCTCCGTCGGCGTCTACCAAGTCTTCCCGGGAAGCGTCAACACCATTCCCGGTAGGGTCAAATTCTCGCTCGATATCCGCTCGCCCTCCGACCACACACTCGTCTCGTTTGAGAGAAGATTACGCAGGAAGTTCGACGTCATCGCCGAGAGGCCGGGGTTCAGTGGCTTGCCCTGCTCCGTAACCTGGCAGGAGGATACGAACTCGCCTGCCCAGGGGTTTGATGAGAGGTGTTGCAAGGCGGTGAAGGAGTCCGCTCTTTCTGTTCTCGGAGCCGAAACCGGGGATTTAGAGCAGGCCTTGGGACTGGTGAAGTACCAGATGGTCAGTGGTGCTGGTCATGATTCGGTCAACACAGCCAAGAGGTGTCCGACGAGCATGATCTTTGTGCCGAGTAAGGGCGGGTTAAGCCATCATCCGGAGGAGTTTACGAGCGAGGAGGATTGTGTGAGGGGGGCGCAGGTGTTGCTGGAGAGTGTGTTGCGGTTTGATAGGGAGGTGTGGAGGGAGGATCTCAATAGGGAGAAGGCGGGTGAGCAGCTGGTCAGATCTCGAAAAGCTTCTTCCTAGGGGCACTCGTACTATAACATCAACGCAGCAAATCTTGTTCGTCCTTCCTCGTCTTCTCTGCCTCCATCAACCAAACAACTTATGCGGGTATCCCTCTTCCATCACGCACCCCCCATCCTTTTAACCTTATACTGATAGCTCCAATGCCCCCTCACATCCCCCGCCATGATCCTCATAGTAATCACATCGTTCGCATCCCGTCCGTACTCAATCCTCGCCGCCTGCACCGCCAAGTCCGCATACTTCTTCGCCTTCCTATCCTCTCCAAGATAATTATAGTTCGTCGCCGCCAACTCGTACGCCTCCGCCATCTTGCTCTCCAGCCCTTCTTCCACATGCAACTTGATGAATTTCTCGATCATCTCCGGCGTCACCTTACGGGACTCGTGGTTGCGCAACTCAGACCGGATACTCTCCAACTCAGTGAGTCGAGCGTCAGATTTGGCCAGCTCTTCGGCAGGTGAAGAAGTATGTGGATGCCCATGCTGCTTCGATAGAACAGAGGGGTAATGGCCAGAGCAAGCAGGACACGGACACCCCCCTCCTCCTCCTCCCGATTCTTCTCCCGATCCCGATCCCGATCCAGAGGAGGGACGGTATTTCCCAACCCACTCCTGCCTCTCCTTCCTCGGCTTCATCGGATCAACATAAGCAACGCTCAACTCCTCCCCCGGGCTAACCTTCCTCGCAACGGTCGTCTTCAGCGCCAAGTTACCGTCGATGTGGAAAGCGATGTTAGGCCGGCACGAATGCGTGAAGAGGGACAGGGAAGGGTAGTTGACGTAATGCTTTGAGTGATCTGCTTGCGATTCTTGCCCGCCGGCGCCGAGGGGGGTGTAGCTGTTAGAGCCGAGATCGATTTCAAAGGGGGAGGCGAGGAGGATTTGCTCAATCGACCTCTTCGTTCCCTTCCCATCCTTCCCGTCCGGACTGGGGCCAAGGGAGAGGGTGCGTTGACGATCAAACCTTTCCCGAGTCGCAGGCGGGAGGAAGGAGACTGCTTGCTCAAGGAGTTTATTCCGCTCCGACCTCCGCCAGATATCACCGAAAAAGTCCTTGTGAACCAGCAACACTGGCGCCGCTAAAGCTAGTGGTTTACCCCGTCTCAGTTGCATAGTAGCGGTGAGTCCGGGACCTTTGGAAAGGATGTAACTCTCCTCGAAGGGAGCGGAGCCATCGGGGGTGAGGGCTTCGATGCGGTCGGTGGCGGCGGAGAGGTGGTGGTCGAGGCGTGAGATCTTTTGGAAGTCGGTGGGTTTGGTGAGTAACACGATGCCGCGGTTGTGAGAGAGGGTGGGGTTGATGTAGATGCAGTAGGTCGATTGGAGGCAGTGGGGGGAGGACCACCAGCCGTCGGTGGGCGGGATACTGTTGGGGAAAGTGGCGTTGGAGGCGTAGACAATTTGGAATTTGTCGATTTCTTCGTAGGCGAGGTCTTCTTTGGGGCCGGCACCGGCGATGGGAGCGGCGGCAGCGGGTTTTTTGTCAGAGGTTTTGGCGAGGGTGAGGAGCTGGAGGTGGGACAGGAGGGAGAGGAGGAAGAGGGCGCGGGTGAGCCAGGCCATCGCGATCGTCTGGTGAGAAAAACTGGTGATGCTGGCGGTAGTGGTGTCGAGGATCTGGTGGATGCAGTACGATGCTCTGAAGTCTTGAGAGTTCAGAACAGTCTCAACCGAAGAGTACTCGATTACAACAACTTCAGGTGGGTTTGTGATGTTCTTCACTCCTTTTCACATGCCCATGGTGCTGAATGGAAACGTGTCCAAGACTCTTCATCACGTCACAACCGTCAAGTCTGCAAGATTACCTATATGTCTTTTGATGCTATACTGCTCTGAAGGTACTATGAAGCTTGGAACATGATTGGCGATTGAGCACTGCCTAAATTGGTGTCGTGGATGGCATTTTATCCGCGAGTTGTCGTTGGAGTGTTTTGGTCCCGTCCTTGCAACCAAACGGGTCAGAACTTGTGAGTTGGGGAGGGTGACGGCTAAAGTCCGGTACCAGTTGTCATGGGAGTTGACACTTGACAGCGAAACACTGTGCATGATCTTTACTTTCGCCGATTGTTCCTTCCCATGAATTTACTTTCGGTTCAAGGCCAAGTCAGGTGTAGGCAGCACCTTCCTCATTTGAGCCCCATTGCTTCGCCAATATCGAAGTGCACCTTCGCACCTTCCTTGCGCAGTACTTCGGAAATTAGGACTCAACCCTTTGTGCCTGTCCTAACACTTATGGAACTTGATTTGTGTCTCCTCCATCATCATCAATTTCTCAGGTTTGTTCCTCAATTACGGTATCCGGCAAGCCTGCTTCCTATCTTGCGTACGCTTGGTTTGATCCCACTGCGCTCAACTTTTCCCCAGTCTCTTCTCCCATGCCTCAAAGGCAGAAATATCATCTCACACCATCCCAACTTTTCACGTCTCCTGGTTCATCCGAAAACATGTGTGTCTTGTTTTGCAAACAGCCAACTGCCCGAATTCAGGTCCTCCACCGTCCGATGCGCCTTGGTGTTTTCTCTTTGGAGCACGTACTTCCTCATGATGCAGCTCCTGGACCAAAGCTACCATCAGGCAGATTGCGGCATCCCTCGCAGGAAATGGAATTCAATATGAGGTGATTCCCAATCCCACGGAAAACTGCAGCTTACTCTTTTTGGTGCTGGTATATTGTTGACCCACTTCTCAGGTTGTTCTCGACAATCTCCTTGGGCTCACTCGGTGACGGTCAGGTAGACTTCATAGTCTACATTCCATCATCCAAGTCTCCGCAGGTGGAAGTGCACTTCACCCCGGGGACAACAAGAACCTTGATCTCCCAAAGTGTTCGAAGATCACCAACTGTGTCATCTGAACTTGAATCCAGGTTTAGTATCACAGTGTCTCACCCTTCACTGCACTAGAGTTTCAGATTCCGTACTGCTGGACTGTTCATCCTACCGTTTCGCTGTTCATCCTATTCTGAAAGTATAAACTTTTTGTCTGCGACCGTTGCTTCGCACTTCGACTTATCACAATAAGATCACAATACCAACAGAATAAGGATGCGCCAATTGTGTCTGAATAGGCAACAACAACTTGACAAACAATATTCGGGACCGTCTACGAGACATAAAAGCCTCGACATTTTCTCACCATGGTTGGATTTCTTTCTCCCTCGGCACCCTTCTCGAGGCCGGCAACTAGCTCGATGCAAGTACTTCTGCGACTCCCACCCACGCAACAGCTATTCCCGTCGGTATTCACAGCAACTTCCTTGGCCCAGTACACTTTCCTTCCTCGAACTCGGCCTTTCTTTCTCCTCTTGAACCTGGGGTCGTTTTCCGCTAACTCAGCCGCCTTGTCTTTCGTCAGAGACATCCTCAACCGCATCATCCCCTGGCGCTGGCGCCCTTCCGCGCTCTTCTTACGTCGGTTCTGGCATCTTCATGGTCAGAAAGTTCTGCGAACTTTTCTTGCTTGTTGTGTGCTTGGGTTGCTTGTGGTTGCTTTCAAAGTTTCGTCCAGGTTGCTTTCCAGAGAAGAAGCAGAAGGATCTGGACAAGATGTCCTTGACTCCGCCTCAGACACCTCAACGTCCCCGTCCGAGTAGGTTTATCTACCCGCCGGAGGTGCATAGGTCCAAAGAGAGTAAGTCTGTTCAAGCGAACAATTACCCATTCCTCACTTGGTTCTCAACGTTCGAGCACCAAAGCTGGACTCGATCACCTTTCTCTCAGCTTTCTAACGCCTCTTTGTCTTTCAACAGGAGTTCAAGCGACTCTCCAGTCCATCATCAACCCTCTCTTCGACCTCCTCTACATCATTTACCAGGGCCACCCCTACACCCGCCCGGAAAACATCATCCAAACCCTCGACCGCATCCAATCCGACTACATGCGCCAACTCACCTCGCACTTCTTCATCTCCCCCGTTTCCGAACAGCCCCTAGCGCTTTACAAACTCCGCCATTACTTTGGTTGCTTGGAAGACATCTTTGAAGACGAATTTTGTGGAATCGAAGGTGATCTCTTGAACGAATACCCTACAAAGGCGATCAAGGCGGCTGCCAGAGCTGGATGGCATGAGAGGAGGTGGCAGGGGGTGGTGGGAAGGATGGTGCGGGACGGAAGCTTGAGGAAGGACTGGGGAGAGATGCGCTTGGAGGATTTTGTGAAGGTGGCGACGAATTACATGGTTTTTCTGGTCAGTTTGAAGTTGGCAGGTGTTGAGAGGGACAGGTATCTAAGGGAGGGAGGGAAGAGAATGAGAAGGGGTAGTTTTTGAGGGAATTCTGGGAGGGAGAGAGCATCAATGGGAGCATCAACGGAATTCGGGTCAACAGGGAGGCATGAAGCCGCCGTGGGCTTGGAGCAAATACAGGAGGAAGCTGGCATGGAGGAAGGTGTGACCAAAAGTTGGCGAGTGGGTTATTGAGCTTCGATCTTTGGAACATGGGAAGCAGACAGGGCTCATGCAAATTGCGAAACAATAGAGAGAAAGTTGGCGGAAACATAGAGAATTTTAAGGGTCAGAAGAGAGGCAAAATGTCAGTGGCAAGTGGGCAGAATCCGATGTATTACATCGTTGATTAGCTCACGCACTACTGCTGGGACACTGCGCAGCCATACCTTGAAACCCAGCTATTCCGTATCAATTAAACTGGGATTAGACAGATTCACACCTTTGAAAACTAACCGTTGCTCTCTTCTTGCACATATTTGTCATTGCCTATCTTTTTCTAACAGTTGTTTGAGGGGCATCACTCACACTTGCCCCCTAGATATACCCTAACCCTTAAATGATCCCAACTGTCGCAAACGTGCTTGCCAGTCCCTCAATCTTCTACTTGGGGGCTTCTAGGCGCCAAGCTTTCTTTGCCCCCTTCATTTCGTCAATGTAGGGGGCGCCAAAAATTTGGGACCGTATTTTAATCTGGGATAGTGCCCGATGTAACCCATACAAATTCGCTTGTTAACGTCCTGCAAAATCGCTCATTTACATCGTAATTTCGGACAATAACCTCGCCGCATTTCGTGCCCAAACTCGTCAGTTTTTATCGCATTTGCCTCGTGAAGCTGTAAAACAGTAAGAATCTATATATCCATGGATTGATAGAATCGTTAATTAACTTACTGGTTCTGGTACTAGTGCAGATGCCCATTGATTACTCTCTCGTCCCTCTTCCCGGCTTGACTAGCGCCTGCTAATATCTCCACGCTCACACTTAATATAGTTCCCTTAAATCTAAGAAGCCTCCTTCTATCAAGGATATTACTCGTCGTACTAGTAAATTACGTAATTCGATAGCGCGCCATATAAAGTCACTACGTAAGACGGGGAAGCTAACCATATCGTCACAGCCTCGTAGGCGCCCACAATCGTTAACTTTCACTAAGGAGGAAGCTCTCGTCGCGTATATAATCTTCTACTTTAGAGGGAGGTTCCCTGCATTGCAATCTATAGTAATACCTACTACAAATCGCTTATAGTCAATAAGGACGAATCTTCTAACAGTAGAGAAAGAATTCAATAAGCATTAATTTATGAAATTTATCGCTAATTACCCTAAGCTACACTTAACGATATATCGCGCCGTAGATTTTAAATACCGCTTTTAAGAATTAAACCCAATATCCGTAAACGACTAGTTCGATAAATATAAGGATATTACTACTATTATTCCCCTGTATAATCGCTAGAATAATAATGAATATAGCGCGTATATCGGTTGTATATCGAGCGGTCGTATGAAGGTAGTAGTATTAAAGGAGCTAGATAAAAAGAAGGTTAGTTAGACAAATCACCTTTAATTAAACACAATACCCTTTAATCGTATTACTTATCCTCTATCACTTAGCGGTTAATATTAACAATTAAATTTAGCCAGAAATTTCTAATCTTATAAATAGGGAGTTTTATACCCTAATTACAAGTATAAACGTAAATAGGTATAGAATTCCCATTTATCTTATTTTTAAAACTAATCCAACCGAAGAGTTTATTGATAATAATCTCCTAAGCGACATATAATTCTTTAAATCCCCAACAGGATTTTCGAGCGCAAAACTTACCCTTAATTAATTAAAGCACTTCAATAAATATTCCTTTAAACTCTCCCCAACCTTTAAAAAGATATGGTATAATTTTATAAATTAATTTAATTATAATTAATATAAATATAATGCGGACGGCCATTAATTAAATAATTATATCGGCGTTAGTAAAACGCGATTTCCTAATATTAATCCTATATATCGATTACTTATTATCGACGGTTTCAATAATTATTATAATATAATTATTAAAAAATATATTAAAATATTCAATATAAAACTATTCGCCTTACTTTGTCACTCTACCTACTTTATATAACCTCTTAATATAAGCGTCTTCTCCTCCTTTAAATCCTATTATTAAAAAATCCTTCGCCAATTTGTCCAGCGAAGGGAATACAACTTCACCCGGGCAATTTTCGTACGCACGCTCAACGGTATTATAAATAATAGCTTTATGAAGCACAACATCATAGAAGGCTTTAAGGAATCTAATATTTGGCCAATTAACTAATAGAGGGTATTATTCTAAATTAAAGCTAAATAACCGACTTCTAAACTATATCCTATCCACCCTACTATAATACTATGTGAAGATCGTTTTAAAAACGCTATCGAAATTATTAATTAAATTACTAACCGTTACTCTTATATATCCAACTCCCCTATTAGTATTAACTACCCTTACGTACTCTAAGCTATTCGAAAGGCTATTTTTAACCACAATAAGATTCAAGAACGCAACCAATATAATTGTAAAAAGGAGGCTAATTTCGACCGTCGTATAAGGAAAAGGGTATATAAAATCCCCAATAGTAGTTTATCACTATCTCTTTCTAAAGACGAATTCAACACCAAGGCAATCGAAAGAACTCAACGAAAAATAGAGGATATAATAAAACAACAAGAGCGAGCCATAAAAAGAATCAACAGTATTACACAAAAGCAACTAAAGGAGCAATAGAGAAATAATATAAAGGGTAGCAAGCCAACCAAAGTTACTTAGAATACCTAATTTAAAAGGTATAAACAAAACAACCGCTAGGAGTATATCCCCGTTCACGAAAATAATATATTCAACATACAAAGAGAAGAAGATAATCTCCCGTATCAAATTGATATAGAGAAGAGACCGCTACCTTAATAGCAAGCCAATTACTTTACAAAGCACTCTCTTTCATCGATTTCTAATAACGATAACGAGGTTGAAATTATTACCAACCGCCAACCCTAACTAACTCCAAAAACCTTCTCCCAAGTCACCAGAGACCCCCGCGTACAGGCACAGCTCGAAGAGGATATAAATAAGACTCTTATTGAAAACATCTATAAGATAAACAACGAGAAGGAGGACAACAACAACGACGACAACGATAGGGAGGAGGAGGATAGAGAGCTTCTACCTAATAAGAGGAGGACTGTACCAATCACACCAGCACCCAAGAAAGTTAAGTAGCGTATGCCTCCCACCATCGATATTACATCTTTACCCAAATCTAGGCCTTCTTCAGCTGGGCCTTCAACAACACCCATAACTCCCCTTCTCTCTCGAAAACGTAAATTCGAAGATACCATATAGGGAAGCACAATAAAGCCATTAATCGAGGGTACAGTCCGGCCAAAAATAAGGCAATTAAGCAGGCAACGGCCGGGAGCAAAGTCATCGAGGTAGGAGGAGGAAGCCTAATGTATAAATAAGGAGGGATGCAGTTCAGCCGTACAGGTCACTATACAGGCCACAAAATACTCAAATAAATGAAATAAACTATCAGATCTCTTGTTCAGTATATACACTTCCTATCTGGGTAGTCTACTGGGCTTCCTAACAACGTTGTGTTGATAAATCATGGTGTGTAGTATGAGTGTTTAGTATGGGGATGGGTCACTTTGCTAGTAAATTTCTATGTGGGGTGTCCCATATTAAAATACGGTCCCAAATTTTTGGCGCCCCCTACATTAACGAAATGGAGGGGGCAAAGAAAGCTTAGCGTCCAGAAGCCCCCAAGTACTTTCCGCAAACATTCCTGCACTACCTTTCATCTTTACCTTGGACTTCAATCGCATCTCTTGCACCGGAATGTCTGGTATTCTAGGTTACTCCAAATGAGTGGTTGCAACGACAAGGAGTACTACAGTATATCTATCTATCACTCGGCGATACCACCACTCTACAGTATCGGTTTTTTTTTTTTTTTTTTTTGGCGGTGTGCCTGTTTTATGGGTATCTTTGTATAAGTCTGAACCAGCTGATGTACGTAGGCGACCAGGCCCTCGACTATGGGAAATAGGGAAATGTAAAGAACATGAATACGGTATGCTGAGATTATCGAACTGACAGTCGATGTCAAGTGCTCGGCGGGCGGCGAAATCGGTAACGGTGTAGACCAAGAACCGTAACGGTCAAGACCCGGGGCAGCTGAGCTTTTTGCGCCCAAGTCGCAGCGCATCTGAGCATCAAGCCTTGGCCTACATTTGCTCGCGCGCTCATTGGGCAGCAAAAGGGCCAAAGTCGAAGAAGTCTTCGGCGAAACCATCATCTACAACTTCATGGCATTTTCACCCCAAAACCACTTGTGTCAACTCCTTTTTCGCCATAAAATATGAGGAGGCTGAGATGCTCGGCTTGGCGAATCTGATTTGCCAAAAAGAATCATCATTTTCACGGCCTTTTTGGTCGAGATATTGCGCTCCGGATAGGTAGACGGAGACGTTGCGCGGGTCTTGACCGTTACCGATTTCGGCGGGCGGGGAGGTACGTATCGGTTGTGCAATGGACCTGCATGAGGAAAGGTAGGTTCCATTGTTGAGAATTAGAAGCCGGGCATGTCGACGGCAAGAGAGAGAATGTAGTAAGGGCGGAGCTGGTTCCTGAGCTGGGATTGTCCTGCTCTCGAGAAATATAAACTGATTGTTGATTCCTTGGTTGGATCGAAGTACGGAAATGTTGAAGTCTTGGAATTGAATGAACGAATTGCGGTCTCGCCTCTGACATTACCCGTGCCTCGCCCCCACCTTTTTAAGGTTCGCCAGACTCGGTCTGGGACTCGACATCGGACCATGTCATCGACGAGACGTGGCACTTTCCCAAAAAGCAGACTTACTTTGATGTAAAGGATGTCACGATCGCGGATGTGGGGTGGTAGGTTGCTGCGTGAATGGGATGTGCAAGTCACTAACAGGAATGGGTGCGATTCTCACCAAATCTGTTACGGTTATGCACACCCCATTTACGGAGCCACCTAGGTGGTCCTGAGGGATCCGAGCGGCACCCGGTTCTTGGTCTGTGCGTCGGATGTTCTTTTAGGGTAGCGTCGGGTAGGAATGCATAACAAAGGGCCACAGATAGCAGATACCCCAGACATCAGAGGTCACACCTGCCTCGAACCGAAGACGAGTGACGCATGTAGCCCAATCAATCTCGGCGCTAATTGCCCTTCAGCCAATTCTGTCTGGGCACGCACGTCCAGCGCTTAACTCGCAACAAACAAGCCCAACGCGTCCTCTCTCGACGTGTCTTGTTCTCTGCTCGATATCAGATCCTCCAGTCCAGCATGGCACGACAACGTTCAAAAAGGCCACACGAAGACGACCCGTCTCCTCCAGGGCCGCGACAAGAAAACCCCCGGGTCAAGAGGGCGAAGACGGGCCACGACCCCCGCCAGCAACACCACGAAGTCCAGACATCTCCATCTCCTCCAGGACCGCGACAAAACGGCCGACAAAAAAAAACCCGGGCCAAGAGCGCGAAGACGAGCCACGACCCCCGCCAGCAACACGACGAAGTCCACGGGCAGACATCTCGAACACGTTCGAAAAGGCCACGCGAAGACGACCCGTCTCCTACAGGACCGCGGCAAGACGGCCGACAAGAAAACCCCCGGGGCAAGAGAGCAAAAACAGGCCACAACCCCCGCCAGCAACACCACGAAGTCCAGACATCTCCTCCATCTCCTCCATCTTTACCTCAAGACAAGCATTCGGTCGACCGAACCGCCGTCGACCTTCTCTCCGCCAAGGAGGAGGAGCATAGCCATATCGCCGTCGCCGGTCAGCCGAACCCGGAACGGAAGACCGAGGATCACCAGACTATTACACTTGCTCCTCCGGCAACCGACACTCGCCTAACCCGCGAAAATCTGGCGAAGCTCAACAGGATGTCCTCCAATCTTCCATCGCACGACACCTTCCAAGCCTCGGGCCGAGGCTCGGGACTCACCAACCCGACGTCTTTGGCTTCAATCAGTCGCAAGTCGTCCAACGCATACACCAATGGCTTCGAATCAATCTTGTGGAATAGAGGGATCTATACGGATGGCGACCCTTCCATGCTGGCCGATCTCGAAGAACTACGACGGGAAAGATCCGTGAGGCCTTCGCTGGCACCATCCGAATACTCGGATAGCAAAATCGAGGGGTTCATTCGAGCAAACGCTTGCGCGGTCTCGGAACTAGACATCGAACGTAATATTGTGCCGGCCATAATTGGTTCTATGAACCATCTCAGTCTTCCGAACAACAGCAGCGTTTCCTGGAGCAACATGAGCTCGATGACTGGAAAATGCACTGTTGCCCCTCAGCCTGATTTGTATTATGGAGCCCGTTTCAGAGATATCGCCAAGCCAATCCGGGACAGCATCGGCCACTTAATTCAACCTTCAGTACTGCCAAACGCTGCAGCTGCGCCACATTTCGTTCTGGAAGTCAAAGGTCCCTCCGGGCGTCTCGATATATTGAAGCGCCAGGCCGCTTACAGCGCTGCCGCGACAGCTCGTGCTGTATTTGCTCTTGAGAACTTTGGGGTGGACGACCCGAAATATGACGACACGGCCAAGGCACACGCCTGGACTTATTCTAGTATAAACGGCGATCTTACCCAATATGCCATGCGCGTTGGTAGACCTGCACCCGGCTCTTCAGAACCATCGTACCACTTTACTCATATCAAGACACACCACATCATGGAAAGCGTTGACCAGTTCCGCAGAGGCGTCTCAGCGTTCAGGCACTGGAGGGACGAATCGCACGCAAAAAACCAGGCACGCTTGGCCGAAGCGCACGAACGTCTACGGCGTCGCAGCCAGCAGACAAGCCAGCAGACAAGCCAGCAGACAAGCCACCCCGTCCCCGGCAGTACTCTTCCAGTTCCCCCTTGTCTCCCAGAATCGCATCCAGCAGAGATGAACCCCCCTGGGAATGATGTCTTGCTGGATCTGGATCAACAACTGCAGCAGGACTGCGAAGCCAGCTTGTCAGAAGAAGCACCCGGCGGCTCTTCATCGGCGGCGGCGGTCATCACAACGAGCATGACGTCGGCAGTGTCGACTCAAGTGACAGCCTCGCGTCACGACGGCGCCCCCAGCAAAAAAAAGATCTCTGTGTCCAGGCCCCAGCGCACCAGGCGGCGGCCCAAGAGATTTGGCATGCTCGGCAGTTGAGTGAGGATGAACATGGAGTGATGATCTTAGCTTCTGGGCTTGAACGATAAGCTTTTGTCACAGCCGATGTAGGGTTGTGACTTCGCTGCAGAGCTGCAGCGCTGAAAGGAGAGGTAGGTCGTCTGGTGCTGCCCTGCAGGCACAGACGGTAGAAACCACACCCGAGATTCCACTGAGGCCTCGGTGCCATTCCCAGATGGGGCGGGGGGGAGGTTGCGGACCATGGACCGTACAGGCAGGCAGTGTTGTTTCGTTTTTTGTTTACTTGATCGTCTGGCTTCACACCTTGTGACATGCAGGTGTTTGGTTGTCTAGGGAGCGGTCGATATAGAGGTTCTACGGCGTAGATGGGAGTTCGCTTGTTAGATTTTGGGGTATCTCTTTGGATATGATATATTTTCATTGTCATCGTCCTTCTGTGCGTGTAGAGGAGGGAGTCGGGGGGGAAAATGTAAGGGGCTGGCGCCCAGAGGTTGTGCCTGGCTCTGGGAGCTCGGCTCGCCAGGCCAGGACTTGCAGTCCTGACTGGGACTGCAGACCTTTTCCTCCTTGTCAACAATCTCAGGGCCACAGGAGCGTTTGAATGCGTAGGTGCTGCTAGGCGCTTCATCTGGTACAAGGCTGCTAAGGGAAAGCTGAAATGTGGATACGCCCTTGACGTCAGTGCGGCACGGGCAGCGCACATGTGAGCCACATTTCGCACCCCTGTGCTGGGATCACCTGTACATCGATACTAAAAATCTTAAGCAAAACCACATCGAGTTATCAAGCATGACGGTGCACAACGAGAGCGAGGGATCGCAATCCCCCAGCAACGCCGCCCACAAGCCACCCACAAAATCGTATCACGAACACCGCGGCGAACCGCTCGAAGGCGCCGCTCTCGAAGAATGTATCGAATCCCTCATAGAAGGATGGACGACCTGCGTCGATGAGCTCTCCCAGCTCCATACCAAAGCCGAGTCAGCTTCCAAGCCCATCCGCGGACTGTACACCCTCCTCAAAGTCCAGCAACGGACCCTCGACAAGCTCAAAGCAAAGAAAGCGTCGCAACCGTCCCCTCCTCCTTCGACCGAATCGAACGAAGATGGCACTGAACCGAAACCGCTCTTTACCCCCGCCCAGTACTTCGGCATGCGCAGTTGCTGCTGGGACGAGAGGTGGTCCGTCATAAAGAAGTGTCGCGGCCTCGTGGCCATCAATAAGGAGTTCGCCCGGAGCCCGAAGCAGCCGGTGCCTGGGGGAAAGGGGTGGTTGTCTTACAAGGATAAACCCCTGCTGGAAAAGCCGATTGCTGTTGACGCCGTGATTGATAGCGGAGCGACGTGGTTGAAGTTTGTTTCCATCTCGCCGAAGACGCTAGCTTACCAAATCGCGGTGGATGGATGGGAGAGCGATGATGAAGAGGAGGATGATACGGCATACAGCGATGACGAGGATCAACAAAACGGGAATGGAAACGGGATCGCGGCGAGAAACGGCGTCCAAGAAGCGCTGGGGAATACCGAGTTCGCCGAGTCCATCAAGAAGGTCATCCTCGCTGCGAGATGGAACCACTGCCATCATCTACACCTCCTCCTTCCGGGCCTGCGCGATGGCGAGTCCGAGCCCGTGGACAGAATGCTGCGCTACATCCGCGAAAAGATTGGTGGCGACGACGTTTCTGTTACCGTGAGCTGCGCCGACAGCCCCCTCCTCGCCGACGCGCCACCACCACTCGACACCGCTTTGGCCGCCCTCGTCGACGAACGCGACCCTCTTGTGGCCGACGACTGCGGACGCATCACACCCACTGCGAACCTCGACCCGAGTGTGCTGGTCTCGCTGGTGACGGACTTGCATCACGGCCTCGTCGATTTGCAGCCCGAGTTCCAGCAGAGGGTGATCGCCAGGTCGGTATCGGACCACACGACGGACAGTAATGAGCTGGTGCCGCGTGAGGACATTCTGGCCAAGGTGTTGTACCCGGCGCTGAGGGGCAGGAAGCTGGTGACAACTCGTCTGGCCGCTCGCTACTTCCGGCAACTGATCGCGTCGATATCTACACACTCCGAAGAAGTGCGCGCTTCGTTCATTTTGCCTCCTGATGCGCCACCCGCTCTCCTTAGTCCTGGTGGCAGTTCTGAACCACTCTCGACGGCCAGCCTCACCCCCGAACAACGCCGGGCTGAACTGCAGAGGTGGTCCGCCGTCCCTGTGCCCGATGATCTTCTCCTCCCGGTGCAAATCGTGGACGATATCGAACTGGAACAAGTTTCCCCGCTCATCACAGAGGGCAAGCTCCCGCCCATGGCCCTCGGCGTCGCCCAAGACTTGTCAAGGCTGAACCGCTCCGTCTATCTCTACGGATGGGTGAACCGCCTGACGACAATCACCGGCCACCGCGGCATCGAGCGCCAGATTTGCCTCTCACTAGCCACGCATTGGACACCGGCCACCGACAATTACCGTGGGAGCGAAAACGACGCAAAGAACAACGAGATCCCTCCAGATATCTGGCACCGTCACCTAGGAGGTTATTTGATTCACAGAGACAAGCCACGGGACTGGAAAGCGTTGATCGCCGGGTACGAAGAATGCAAGGACGGAAGGATACCTTCTGAGGTGGTAAGGTGGACGAATCCCTGGACGACGTGGGGGAGAGGTATCAGCACGTATGGATTGCCGGACACGAAGACTTGGGAGGGCGTCGGGCATGCGGATAAGCAGAGTTTTGGGAGGAAACTGCAGACGAGGGAGGAGAGGGGGCAGAGGAATCCTGGTGATGAGCAGGATGTGGACGAAGAGGAGGAGGAGAGGCAGTCGTGATCTCGGTGTGGTGTGGTCTGTTATCTGATGGTGATGGATGATGGGATCGGGATTCGCTCTCCCGTCCTCCTGAGTCCCAAGTCTCGCCCATGTCGTTATATGGCCCTGGCATGTGTAGCCCTTGTCTGGAATGGAAGCAAAAGCAAGTACTCAATCGGGGACGTCTGCACATCGTGCAACGACTGGATGACACAAAGCAAGGGATGAGTACCTTGGCTGCACCTCTGCTCTAGCAAGTGGCAACTGAGACAGAATCCAAGAAAAGAAGCGAATAGCAGCGAACGGCGAGATCAGATACCATGGTTTTGGAAACATTTTACATAGCGAATGACGATCGAGTCAAAAAAGTACAGCACGACTCAGGTCGCACAACGAAGCGCTATTATGAAGATCCCGAGATCACTGATCAGATCCGCCTTCCAACCATGGTTTTGGGAGCCTTTTAGGAGAGGCTCAATTTGGGCAACTCTGGCAAACAAGCTTCGGATCTTAATCAAGTGGTGGATCTAATTTCCCGCTTCCCCCTGGATCTGCTCGCTTGTCCCCCCTGGTGATGATTTCCCCTTGCTGCTTGTTGTTTGGTTGCTTGGCGCCCGGTTAATCCGCTAGAACAACGGCATCTCCCCTTCTTGATTCCACCATTCAGCCCTCCCACTGGGGCTCCGCTCAGCGGTCTAGGGGACAACTTTTCTAACTTAGTTCTAGTGCCCACAGGCACGCTGCAATGCATGCGGGATCCCCGGCCCGCCCCTTGTTTTTTTGTTTACGGGTGTCCACGATGGTGTCCAGTGAGCTCTTGGCGCCCTTTCCACGCGGCCCACGCCTATTCCACCCCTGCTTGGTACCTGGATTGCCCTGGACATTGCCTGTCGACATTGTGGCGCTCGCTCTTTTGTCTTGCACGTCTCGATGGAGTCAAGGGAAATTCGATTGCTGGAATTAGCACACCGCGCACTAGGCCGGCGTCGTTTGTCTAAAATGACCTGTAATCTCAGATGAACCAAGAAAACCCCTTTTTCGAAAGTTGTCGAGTTTTATTTTATTGCTTCTCTTCCCAGCTTCATCCCTTCCTCCTCTTCCTCTCTCTCTTGTTCTCTTTGTCCTTTCGAACCAGTCCATTCGTTTACCCTACCAGTCCTCCACCAACCAACCACCCTTCCCTTAATCACCTACCAACACATATAATTCAGCCAAAATGTCTGCCGAACAAGATCAGAGGCCCAAGTCCGCCGCTTCCTCCAAGAAGTCCGAGGATCAGCCACGAGGCCACCAACTGACCGACGACGGGCCCGTTGCCGCCGGTGGCCAACAAGATGCCTACCAACAACTCTCGGACGACCAGCCCGAAGGCACCGGCGCCGACGGCGAGCAGCAAGGCAAGGCCGACAAGCCCAAGAAGGAGAACCCCCTAAAGAAGTTCATGGCCTCGCTCAAGTCTCTCAACTGCACCGGCAAGCCGGCCAAGTCCGGCAAGAACGGCGAGAAGAACGGCTCTCAAGAGGATGACGACACCCCCAACGCCAGGCCTGTGAGCCAGAGCTCGCTGGAGAGCAAGAAGGTCGTTACCGACAAGAACGCGCCACAGATTGATGTTTCTCCTGCGGTGGAGGACAGCAACAAGGAGGATAGCAAGGAGGAGGACGAGAAGAAGGAGGAGGATGAGAAGATTGCGAGCCCGGTTGATGCGCACCCGCCTGCGTTGACGACTACTGCTATTAGTGCTACGCCTCCGACTCTTTAGGTATGTTTTTTTGTCTTCTGTGGAATAGTATAAGAGGTGGTGCTAACGAACGAGATACACAGGTGCTGAAAAGTCCTTGAGTCGTTGTTGAACGGTGTCTGTACCAGTCAGAACTTGTTGATACTCGGTCGGAAAAGAGACATAGATGCATGGACGGTGTTTCGGTTGTTGCATGCACATACGCATCGGCGGTGATTCGGTGGTGGAGGAGGATATACACTGTACGATTTGGAAAGATGGACTGATGGACCTCCAGTCCCGTTCAGAGGGAGGGACGACGTCGGACGTGCACGGTTGGAGCGGAGTTTGCTTTTTGTCGTTGTTGAGGTTTTGCACCACTGTTTGGCTTATGCTTTGCTTTGCTTGCGAGCGATGCATTACTCTTCCGTTTCGATACCCTCGGCAATCTTTCGATTAATGCCTGCTTAATTGGCTCCTCGTTCTAGAGAGAAGAACGAGTTGAGCAAACAACAGTAGTATGCGGTTAATTTAATTCTTCAGTTGGTGTTTCAATTCTCGAGTTCTCTTGTTGACCTTTGCATGCAAGCCCTGGCTCTATACCAAACTGCCGTCGAAGGAAGTGAGCTCAAAGTTTGGCTCGTCACTTCCATGTCCCCGCCAACTCACTCACTCACTCCTCATGACTTAACAACAATCACCTCCCCCGTCTTGACATCCACCTTCCACTCCTTGTGATGCTCCAACGTGTCACCGTCTTGGCACTGCTTGCCGTTAGCATCATCACCTCCCCGAGTTCAAAGTTCTCCCCCATCAAACACACCTAGGCAAAGGGACTTACTTCGTATTAATCAACTCTCATCGGCGCCCAAACATATTTACTCCCCGTCCCCCCCCCCCCCCCCCCCCCCCCCCCCCTCCCTTTTTCGAATCCCACGCAGGGGCATCTCCCATGTAGATATACGTCGTCATCTTCGACCCCTTGATAGTCAACTCAAACGTATTGGGAGCAGAAGGTTCCATTTGCTGTTTTTTCAATTCAGCCGGAGTTGGGGTCATGGTAACATCTTCCACGGACTTGCACCGGTCTCAGTGCAGTCACTCGGCGATTTTGGGCCGGTACCTTTGGATGGGGTTGCTTTGACGGATCTCCACAATTCTGCGGTTGCCCTTCTAGCGTGATGACTGGAAAGACAATGCATTGAATGCAATAAGGAGGGCAAATGGTCAACGAAACAGTCCAGGTCGAATAAACAAAAGCTCTCTCAATGGTTAGTCGCAGAGTAGCATTGATAATGGCTCAAGGCGGAAGACAGAATATCAACCAATGAGATGGCGTGGTGGCAGAGTGGTCTAATGCGCAAGACTAGAAATCTTGTTCCTTCGGGAGCGTCTGTTCGAATCAGGCCCACGTCGCACGATGATCACCAACAATTCTTTTTTTTTTCTGATTTCTTTTTGATAGTTTTGCTTCGTTCTGCTCTCTTGAATTTTTGAAGCTTTTTTATATATCGATATGCATTGTTCCGAAGAAGCGAATGTGTCCGTTCATCATAGGTAGAGGTACCCAACACCCCATGTTGAACTTTTTGTGCCCTTTTTTTTCGTCCTGTTTTCAATGTTTACTTGCCCCTTTATCCTGCATCTCCACTCAAAACATTTCCATTTCTGATGCCCGTGCAACTCGGGACCAACTCGGAACTTTAATCCAGACACATTTCCCCTTTTTTTCCTCTTTGTCCGATCCAACATTAAGTATATGTAACTTCTTAGTTCTTCCCCTTCCCTCCTCGGCTCCTCCCCTATTCTAGATCTTCACATAACAATCCACATACTCGTCCTCCTCCCCGAAACACCTCTTATCAGTCGGCACATCCACATGCTGATCCGCCCACTCGATCCATGTGTTATCCCAATTATCGGGATCCTTGATGCACGCATTTCCGCCATGGATTCTGACGGTCTGGGGCAAATCGGGGTGCTCAAAGGAGGTCCAGTGGTCGTCCCAGCCTTTCTCCTTTTTGGGTTTGCCGCAGATTAGGTCTTGGGCCATGAGAAAACCCTTGCCACGGATTATGACGTGTGTTTTGACCAAGGACGCGTCGTCTGGATGCCCCTGGGAATTTTGGGCGTTGCGGTAGGCGCCGAGGGTTATGAGGAAGGTGTCGCTGGGAGGGGGCCCGGTGTTAGAATGGAAGGGATTGGGAAGAGGTAGAGGTAAAGAACGAGAGGCTCACCAGGAGTAGAAGCCCCATGGGTCTTCCCATATACAGGATGAGTCGCGGGCGTTGAGTTCGGAAACATTGCCTTGAAGTAGAGGCACTGCCAGAGCGGCTTGTGCGAGGAGGATGGTAGTAAAAGCGTTGAAGAGATTCTTTGTTGACAGATTTTGAGAATTCAGGTTGATCCAAGTTACGGTGGTTGGGGTTTGAGAAAGAAACTGTCTTGCCAGCTGAGACAGATTTATGTTGGTTGGGTACCTTCTTATCCATGACTAGGGCCCCCAAAGATGACACTGTATGCTGACGGGGACGACGTCTGCTTGATCAGTTCAACGTCACTCGAATGAATCGTGGTCATATCATTTTTGTTTCTTTCTTGAACCCTATGTCCTACTCAGAGGGTGTTCCCCAATCCCCGTGGTACCCGCGAGTTTTCCTCTCACAACTTCTTGCTTTTGTTCGGTCTCGTCAGAGGAGAAGAAGTACCGAGCAGCCAGATGTCTCTGATCCCAAACATTTGGCCCCGTCCAGCTTTTAAACTCCGAGTCTCATCTCCGCGTCCCCCACGGGGTCCCACTGGTCTCACATAGCGGCTGAACCCTTCCTGTCAAGTGTCAACACATCAACAATCCGTTGCATCTCTCACCCATGACTTCACATGTTCCTCTCTCTGCCCTGGCTTTCTTCCTTTTCCCTTTGTCATCTTTCCCCCCCTCTCTCCCTCTTCTCCCAACCCACTCAACCCTCCCTATCAACAACACACCTAAACCCCACCCTCTTCATCCACCTACACCTCCCATCAGCCGGCACATTCAAATGCTGACCCGAGTAATTAATCCACGTATTATCATACGGCCCATTATACGCGTTCTCATTGCACGCGTTACCCCCATGGAGATCGATCGTCCAAGGCAGCACCGAAGGGACGGACTTCCACTGATCGCCGTTGCAGTTCAGCGCGGACTTGATCTCCAGGATGTTGGTTGCGTTGACGAATGGGTTGGTGGGCGAGGTGTAGATGAACTCGTTGGTTACGTTGAGCATGTAGATGAAGAGGTAGTTCTTGGTGATGATGTCGGCGAGGTTGGGGTGGCCGAGGATGATGGAGAATTCGTTGCTGTTGGCACGGGGGAGGGATGTTAGTGGGTCGATGCTGACATGATGGGTAGAGGTAGGTGGCAGATGGTTTGACGTACCATTTCAGATCTCCGTGGCCGTCGGTCCATGCCACGCAGTTGGAGTCGTCTGCGGCTTTGCGAGCGTCCAATTTCGTGGTGGTTCTTTCCGCGAGAGCAATGTTGCCGGTCTTGAGACCAAAGTGGGAAGGAGCTGCCAAAGTGAGGGCGGCCGAGAGGGTGGTCCAGAGAAGAGAGAAGAGAGCTTCGTGTTTCATCGTCACTTTGCTGTCACAGGCCGTGGAAGATGGTGATAGTAGACTAGAGCTGTAGAGAATGACGTGATGAAGGTTTGATTCTTCGATGTTTGCTCGCCCAAATGGTGTAAGAATGGAAGGTACGTAAGGACAGGAAGAAGGGAATGGACCAAGGGAAGGTTGAAGACGGGTTGTGAAACCCGAGATGGTGGGCTCGAGTAGAATCTTATAGTAGGAAAGAGCTTTCCAACTCGGCCCCAAGGTTCCCAACTGAGGCAAACTCCATATCCATTGCACGAACTCAATCCTTTCACAAAGGATGAATCACTGGTACCTCCAGTCCACAAGTGTCCGGTATATGGAGCTTTTGAGCCTCAAAAGACAATGCTACCTCTACTCATCCAAGGTTTGCGTTGCAACAAGCACACAGCTGACGACTACCTCTAACGACGGGATACAATATTTCATGGGCGCCGTTACCCCATTGAGAGCCCACGCTTGAAACAAAGAACCGTGCTGTTGGGGTCAAGTTGTCAACATGCCCGGTCTAGTTCGTCTCCAGGTTTCTCCAGCGTGGCCCGGTACTTCTTCCCGTCTTATGTTGCACAAGATCGGGAGCTGGTGTGATGATGGCGGGATGATGCGGCCGAGAGCGGGAACGGCTGGAACGGCTGACTTGGACCCAGACGGTTGGAGGTTATCAGTACCTGGCTGAGTACAATCCACTTGTACCAGATCATGTTTGTTGTTTGGGAGACTTTGGGACCAAGTCAAATTACCTCCGTGTGCTAGTCGCTGTTTCACACACGTAAAGTCCATGGTAGACTACCTATACATGGAAGATATTCCTTGATATTCCGCTACAAGGCCGGTCTGGGGCTACGCTAACGATTTCCCACAAATCTATCCTCAAGATTCGTCGAAGCTCTCTATGCTCCCTCTTTTGGCCCTCAAGCGGTTGATCTCGTTGCTGTCAACCTGGACCCTGCCTAAATTGCTGCTTCCTTGACATCCATGACACGTCCTTCATGATCCAACCATGTTGTTTCGGCCCAGAGGTAGCGAAGCAATCCAATGGACAAAAGAAAAAGACACTATCACCTAGTCGTCCAGTGACGCCGGAGTGTACAACCAATCCTTCAGTTCTTCTTGTCTCTTTACAAGCCACTGCTGTCCCTCCGGTGATAGACCGCGGAACTTCCTTGCCAACCTGCGAATAGTACCACCTTCTGAGAGGATCTTAGCGAGCATGGTCCAGGTCCCTTTCCCTAGAACCATCCAAAAGCTGGTTAGCAAAACGTTCTTGCAATAGCTAGAGCAGGATGACAAGAGATGATACAAAAAGGAGTATACTCACCATGTCCCGTCATCGGAATCAAGAACTCGCGTTCCCCAGGGATGGAATTCGTCGGATTAATCTTGTGGACACTGACACCGTCAAAGGCCACAAGTGACCTATCTGTCCACGTGAGATTAGAGTCTGACCCAAGTGCATGTACCCATTCATAGCTGCGCGGTATGGGCATCAGCTTCTTGTTGAAGAACGTCCTCGTTCCAGCTTGGTTCTCGACTTTGATCCAAAGCTCGAACATGGCAGGCACATGACATGAGTTTATGGGCATATCGTCAGGAATCTTGGGGGCTTTGATGCAATTCTGGAGGATGAGCAGGTAATCTGCTTCTTCCCACTGGTAACAAGGGTCTGGCTCCTCTGAATTCAAAGTTTCGAAGGAAGATCCGAGCAAGAGATTTGAGGCATCGGCGTATATTCGCCACCAGTTGTTGCAGTTTTCCGGTATATCATCCCACTTTCTGGGCCGGTTGCCGCCCTTTTGACCCAAAAAGCAGCCGAGGACTTGTTGCAAGCCCCTTGTATGAATACGCCTGTCGATAGGCAAAACGCCGTTTGACTCAGAGGAGGACAAGAAGGCAGCAGGCCCGTCAAAACGAGAGTTGGTTAAACCGAGAGGGAAGGCGAACCAATCCTGTCTCCAGGGCATTACGTTGGGGTCCCGATCGGGGCCGCGGATGGGTAAAGTACAGCTTTGCCGCTTCAAGTGGTCGGGCCATTGGTATTCACGGCCTATCTCGAGAACTGTCATGAAGTGGGCATGCCTCCTCGTTTCAGCGATATTGAGTTCCCAAGTGTACGTGATGCGGAAGTCGTGGAGGTGGTTCCACCAGTCTTTTTCGGGTAGGCCGCTGCCCTCTGGGCCGTCGCGCTTAAAAGGGAAGGCGATTTCCCAGAGGATTGCCTCTTCGGTGACGTGCTCAGGGGGGCCGACGAACTTGAAGTAATTGGACGGCATTGTGACGGTAATGTGGCTGCGTGGTGAAAGAAGACGACTCGATGTAGTTCTGTTGGAAGGATTCTGAATGTGTTGATATTGGTGATCGATGCTGCAAGAATGTCGTGCCCTTGTTATTAACGGAGGAAGTGTGTTGGGTTGGGGGAAAACCACCTTAAATGTGACAGTGGGAGTAGAAACTTCGGGTGAGGTGCACCTTCCGACCGTGAAAACACTCTTCTTATCCATTTACTGCCTCCATGGAGGGATAGAGCGGCATGACATGTAAGCCACCTGCCTTCTTGTTGCGAAGTCGAGAAGGGAACAACCCGAATTCGATGGAGCAAGACCAGTCCAGCTGTCTGCTTCAACTCGAAGCCCCGTCATAGAAATGCAACGTTGGACGAATGCAGTTTGGCCAGAGCCCGTAGAGATAACTAAGGTAAGGGAGGTAGCGACCACATCCAGGTACTCGATGACTGGACCGCCTTCCGTACACGAAAGAGAAGTCTTCATTGGCCAAAAAGTGTGGAATATCATAGCTATCGAAGGAGCGACAAAGATAGAAGGATAGCAGCTACTCTCAACCCAACACCAACATAAAGAAACTACTGCCCTTCATTTGCTTCGTATCATTCCTATGTCTTCCAATCCACTGGCCCGGAGCCCTCGGGCCATCAATACTATTGGAACCTGCCCACAGTCTACCTGTCTCCCTGAGATCTGTTTCCATCCATGCCCAAGCAGCGATCGAAAGAATTCAATTCAATCAGAGATTTTGGCGTGATTGCTTATGATTGTCAGAAATCGCCAGAATTGCCTTGTTTCACAGCCCGATTGAATTGCTTTATTATATTTGCAATCGCGGATAATACCTTTTTTCTGGTCTCGGCATACCAGTATTTACACACTTCTATCAGCCATATCGACACCATTACATAGCGTACACATAGGAAACCAAACCAGAATAAAAAACGAGGCTATCACAAGGCTTCTCAGCGGGCCGTCGGAAGCAGAGTTTTCACTCAGCGTTTGAACGAGGCCCCTGTCATGTACAAGACCGAGATTCCCAGCCAAAATCGACCCCTTCTAATGTTATGTACCATGGTACGCAATCTTTGCCAAACAATCGACAATCTGGGCCCGGCCGGCTTGCTTGGGGTTACTGCTCGATTGCTTTGCTTTGCTTACAATCGATTGTTGATTGTTGATTGTTACTTGAATTGTCTCAATCGCTGTGCCCAAGTGTTTATCGACCACTCGTTGGTTTTCCCGTCGATCCAACTGTGAAATTCCGGGTAGTTAGCCCTTTAGGATTCTCTCTTGACCTCGTTCGAAAGGGTGTCCAGTAGGCGAGGGGCGGGGATTCCATATGGAAAAAGCGCGACAACAGTCTGGCCAGTTAAGCCAGGGGTTGGGGTGTAATCCTTCGAGGTCTTCACGGCTTCACCCTCCGCAAACAACAGGCGAAATTTGTTTTCGGGGATTTGGATTCGTTTATTCATGGTCTCGGAATACCAAACGGGATGCCGCCGGTCATCGCTTGTCAGTTGTTGATTGAGTTGATTGATACCGGGTTTGAGTGTCCAGATGATCTCGATCTTATAACTTTGCCTGTCCTTGTAAGCAGGGTCAACATCCGGCCCGAGGTGGTCGAAAGCAAAGGCAGCAGTGAAGGCCAAACGCTGTTCCATGGTTGTTATACTCGGGTATATCATCTGGATGAAATACCCCTGTCCCGAAACCATGATGTTTCTGGGACCCAGAAAAGATGCGTTGACCAAAGAAGCTTGCGCAGAGGCAGACATCGTGGCTGTTCTGATTGCTGTGGTAGAGATGGTGTCTAGAGCAAACGCTTGCAGTCAGAAAACCGAAGGTAGATCGGCAGAGATTGGCAGTGCTGGCACTTACGAGCGTTGAAGAATGCTGTATCGTATCCCACAAGGGGCTGTGTGTTCTAGTGATGGAGGTGTGAAAACAGGATTCAGTTTGCAACAGGCCAACAGACACACAAGCCATGGTTCTTACGAGAGGTAAGCGCCATGAGACAATGGCCTTGAATTTGGAGCTGGGTCGGGTCCGAAATCTGAGATTTCTCAAGATCCCAAAGTCCTGCCTTCCCCCAACATCCTACATCCCCTTTATCAACGGAAAGAGGCAACCATTTCTTTCGGGAACGGCCACAATGATTGAGCTGGATCGGGTGAGCGTGGAGGGTACAAAGACTGTCTTCTGGCAGCAGGGTTAGATGTTTTTGGGAGAGTCATGTTTGTCTTGATGTCGCAATGTCCGGAGGCGACGAATGGTTGGATACCCAAATTGTGAATGTTTGTTTTGTTCGTGATGTTGTCGAGTGTTTTGTTTTGTATGACAGATTCCGTTGCTGGAGAGACGTGCCGAGATCCGTTTCGTGCCGCTGCATGCCGTGACAGTTGTGGGGTTAGCGCAACAGTTGCCAATCATGGTTTAGCTTGGCGATAAGAACTGATAACGACCCCGCCAAGGAGCTGTCATTGCCCCGCCCTCTTCGCGTGGGAGCGGGAAGGAGCATTGGCAGAGCAGCACCTTGAATCCCGAAGCAAGCGTCTTTCAATACAGTACTGTAATAATGCGAAACCTTTTCTCTTCAAGTTCCCTCAACACCATCTTCCCCCGCATCACCACTATCGCGAGAACCTCAACCCAGTATCGAACCATGACCACCGCCACGAGAATGGACTTTGAAACCACCCTCAAGGGCAAGTACCCGGCCAAACGACATGCTCAGCGCGTGGCCGACTACATCCGCGACAAGGTGCCCGGCGCATCCGGCGTCCTCTACCTCGAAGGCCGCGCCACCAAGCTGCTCGAGGACAACGACGAGGCCGAGCCCTTCCGCCAGCGCCGCTACTTCTACCACCTGACCGGCTGCCCGCTCGCCGACTGCCACTACATGTACGACATGGACGCCGACAAGTCCACGCTCTTCATCCCGCCCATCGACCCCGACTCGGTCATCTGGTCCGGCCTGCCCGTCTCCGTCGACGAGGCCAAGCAGCGTTGGGACGTCGACGAGGTCAAGTACACCAGCGATGTCAACGCCACCCTCGCCCAAGTCGGTAGCAGCAAGCCCAAGGGCTCCTCCGTCTTCGCCATCCCCAACCAGGTCTCCGACAAGGTCACCTTCCTCGAGTTCGACAACAAGAACTTCTCCATCCTCAAAGAAGCCATCGAAGTCACCCGCGTTGTCAAGGACGAGTACGAGCTGGCCATCATGGCCAAGGCGAACGAGATCAGCTCCGAGGGACACAAGGCCGTCATGCAAAAAGTCAAGCACGTTCAGAACGAGCGCGAGTTGGAAGCCGTCTTCCTCGGACACTGCATCGCCAAGGGCGCCGGCAACCAGGCCTACCACAGTATCGTGGCCAGCGGTCGCGCGGCTGCTACTCTGCACTACGTCCCCAACAACGCCGACATGGCTGGCAAGCTGAACCTTCTGCTGGATGCGGGTGGCGAGGTGGATTGCTATGCTTCGGATATCACCCGCACTTTCCCCATCAATGGCAAGTTCACCAAGGAGAGCAGGGAGATTTACGATATTGTGCTCAAGATGCAAAACGACTGCATCGCGGCGCTGAAGGAGGGCGTCCTTTGGGATGACGTCCACCTCCTCGCGCACAAGATTGCCATCGACGGCCTGACCCAGATCGGCATTCTCCAGGGCGACAAGGACGAGATTCTCGAGAGCAGGACGAGCGTTGCTTTCTTCCCTCACGGTCTTGGTCACTACTTGGGCATGGACACGCACGATACCGGCGGTAACCCCAACTACGCCGACAAGGACTCCATGTTCCGCTACCTCCGCGTCCGAGGCCGCCTTCCTGCGGGCAGCGTCATCACCGTCGAGCCGGGTATTTACTTCTGCAACTTTATCATTGAGCCGTTCTTGAAGGATCCCAAGCACAGCAAGTATATCAATGCCGATGTGCTGGACAAGTACTGGGATGTTGGTGGTGTCAGGTATGTTTTCCCCCGAAACTTTGTGTGTATGGGAAGGGGCGAATGCTAACTTGTCGTTGTTGCGCAGAATCGAAGACAACCTGGTCATCACCAAGGACGGAACCTACAACCTCACGACAGCACCCAAAGACCCCGAAGAGATGGAGAAGATCATTCAGCAGAGCTAAGAGGTGGCTGGACATGGAAATACCATCTACACCTATCATATACCCAATACATGCGCCGTTTGACCGTTCGCCAGTCTCCGTCACGTCCACGGGTTGAACCAGTAGATCTAGGGTGTTGGTCCCGGAGCCAGCGCCGCCTCTAGGATCCCTTGCCATTGCCTAGCTGCACCGACATATGAACCTTCGCTGCCCAGGGGTGTAGATCTAAGACATGACATGTTGGTCTCGGAGCCAGCGCCGCCTTGGACTCTTCGGGGTCACCTTCACACTTGCCCGATTATAGCGACCAGAAGAAGATCAGGGTCGTTTGTCCCGTTTCGTCCTTTGCCGCTAGCCGACCTACGGACGCCTGCTACACTACATAACAACGGTGCCCTTGCCCACATCTCCCGTAGTATTCCCCCGCTCAACTCCGCTCCGTGTCTAGTTCCCGATGCAATGCGATAGGCACGATCCGAAGGGTTCAGGGCGGAATTGGCACGGAATTTGGGCGCGCCCTTGAGCGGTGATCGGTTGCTGCCGTACTTCCTGACCGCAATTGAAGCCACGATGGGCCGATATCGACATGGGAAAACAAGGTTCTAAGTCAGGTTGAAGATGTCATGTCGGCCGACTTGCAATATCGAACATGCCTCACAATCGGATTTGTAAGTCTCACACGGGACGGCGGCCGACAAAGTACGGCTGTTATCAACTGTCGGCACTTATTAGGTCGTAAAAGCTTGGTGGTAGTTGGTCCGGTGGAAGTGCCGGTTTTGACGTTACACATCTACCTGAACGTTGAACGACGACAGGCCAATCATCACCATTCGGCAGTCAGTAAGAAGTCGACGTAATGCTTCGGTGCATGATGCTCTCCTACCTACACCACAGGAGTACCTACAGCAGCAAAAGCAAGCAAGCTGCAAACTTGGCACCTGAGCGGGACCTCGTGCTTTGCAGAAGTTCCATTATCACGGAACCGACGGTCGGGATTAACACCGGGGCAATGGTACAGTATTGTTTTAGAAAGCTTCCTACATCCCAGGGTTCGAGAGTCTTCCAGTGACACGTCATCTCGTCCCTTGTTGATGGTATCAAATGTGGACTGTGGAGGATCGATGATCCCGCCTTGTCCGCCGTCGTCTCAAGATGCTTATCGACCGCCTTTTTGTCGACTTGATGCCACACCCATTGTCCAATGTCTGTTCTCGCCGGAACTGACGCCGGTCCTTTGCAACACCAAGGCACCAAAGGGAAAAGAAGAGTCTCGATTCTTGTTGGACCCAACGGCAGTTGGGTTATGCAGGGTCTTTATTTGGGCCTGTCTTACTGTGGTACACGTCTAGTGAGCAACGGATGGAGAGTGTGCCGACTGCAGAAAAGTGGCCGACGCGGTGCTTCTATCCAGAAGCTAGGTATCTTTTGTGGTGACCGGCATCGTCGCCGGTAATATCCACCAAAAAGGGGCTGGGCCAAGCAACCCAATCCGAGTTTATGTTGGCAAACGTGGGGAACGACAAAAAAAATGGATCTTCCATTGTCCACTGACCACAGCGCATATCTCCACCCCTACACCATTGACAATGCCTTCTGTTCAGGTGTCAGATCATGAAAATCGACAAATTCGGGGATATGAATGGTCGGAATACAACCCCAAGACCTCCTCCCAAGACATGGGGGTATCGTGCTGACCACGGCGGCAGGCAGACACACCTCTTGAAAAAGACTAGAAGTGATGGACAGGAGAATACATACTCTCCAAAGATGGACCCCCGTCGTGGACCTCCGGCGATAGCATTAACCTCGAAAAGTGTATAAGTCGAACGTCAAACCCACTCTTCTCACACCATTTACACGAGTCATCGACACTGCAACTTTGAGTGAGCCAGTGAGGGGATTCTTAAGCTCCTAGTATCCATTATAAAGACGTTGATCCACAAAGGAAACTAGTCTCGCCCTATCTCCACTACCGGGGGCAATTCAGAAACTCGATATAAGCGCCATCGGACGCTTTCTTTGCTGTTCGTGTGTTTCTCGTTCCTGGATTATCCCAGCTTTCCATCTGTCCTACAACACCACACCTTTGTTTACTTTCTCCCATTTCGGGTAACCAACATCCACATAATCACAATGGGCTCAATCTCAACCACTTTCTCCACCCTGCCCTCGGGCGTCAAGGTGCAACCAGCCCCCTTCCGCATTGACGTCTCCGACTCCGACCTCTCCCAGTTCCGCTCCCTCATCCAGCAAGCCATCATTCCCCCAGAGCAATTCTACAACAAGCACGCCAACCCTGCCACGGGCAAATTTGGCATCACACGCGACTGGCTGATTCACGCCCGGGACTACTGGCTTAACACGTACGACTGGCGGGCCCAAGAATCCTTCATCAACTCCTTCCCCCAGTTTAAGCAAACCGTCGTCGGCCCTACATCCGGCCAGACCTTCGACCTGCACTTCGCCGCCCTCTTTTCCCTCCGCGAAGATGCCATTCCCGTCATCTTCATGCACGGCTGGCCCGGCTCCTTCCTGGAGTTTGTCCCCATGCTGGACATCCTCCGCTCGCGCTACACCCCAGAAACCCTCCCCTACCACATCATCGTCCCCTCCATCCCCGACTACGGCTACTCCACTCGTCCCAACGACTCCGCCCTCGAAGAGCTCACCACCGAATTTGCGGCGGAGGCCATGAACGAGCTCATGCTCTCTCTCGGCTTCGGCAGCACCGGTTACGTCGCCCAAGGCGGCGACGTCGGCTACGCCCTCGCCCGCGCCATGGCCAACAACCACCCGGCCTGCAAGGCTTCCCATCTGAACATGTTCATGTTCACCCCTGAGCAATTTGCCGCCTGCAAGGAAGAGCCCCTCACGGAGCGCGAAGAGCGTCTCATGAGCGGCACCAACGCCTGGATCAAGCAAGGCTCTGCGTACGCCTACGAGCACGGCACGCGCCCCGCTACCATCGCCCTCACCCTCGGCACCAACCCCGTCGCTATGCTCGCCTGGATGGGCGAGAAGTTCATCGAGTGGTCCGACAACCTACACAACAACCCCCTGTCGCTAGAAAAGATCCTCGACGGCGTGTCGCTGTACTGGTTCAGTGGTTGCTTCCCCAGGACAATGTGGAGTTATCGCTCCCTGGTACCGGAAATCGGCGCGACGGCCGTGGTGCAGGAGAGCGAGAGCGTGCAGAAGCCGTTTGGGTATTCGGCTTTCCCTGTCGAGATTGGGACCCTGCCGAAGACGTGGGGCAAGAAGTTGTTTGGGGAGAGATTGGCTTACTATAAGGAGCATGAGGTTGGTGGACACTTTGCGGCGCTGCAGGAGCCGGAGAACTTTTTGGATGATATGGAGGGGTTTTTGGCGTTTATTGCGCCCAAGGTGGGGTTGGCTGGCCTTGGGAAGAGTGCTTGAGTTGGGTCCGGTCATGATGGGTGGGAAATGGGAATGAAGTAATTGGCATGTACACGAAAGAGATGGATGGGTTTTACTACCTTACTGTTTGTGCTTGGATATACCACTCATTATGCCATGTTTCTGTACTTCTTCTTGTTTTCTTGCTCTTGTTCTGTCATTTTCCTCCCACTCAGTCAAAAACCCTGGAAGTGTCCAAAACCATCGACACAAATAATCATGAATTCGTCTCGTCCTCTTCGTTGTCGTTGAGCCCATGCAGCACCTTTTCTTCTCTCATGCACTATCCCTCTCGCATTCTCTACAGTGCACCCGCCCAGTGTTCGTTCCACTTGCAATCTCCATTGCAATCCCCATTGCAACATCGTCCGATCACACACCACAGGGAACCCATTCCTTCCAGCACACTCAGGCACATGCCGAACTCCCAAAGTGGCAGAGGATCACCAACGTCGCCTCAACTCTCATGCGGGCATCGAACGGGCATCCAGGGCAATCGTGCGGGGAGCAGCATCGAGTTCACGTTGATTACGTAGAGGTAGGGAAAAGTTCCTGACATCCCATGTTCATGTTCATCCGATGTCCCAGGGGATGATGGGAAGCGGCAGAGGTGAGAATGTCTGCGAGCGATTGAAGTCGTCCCGGTCCCGACGGAGGGGTGGAAAGGGAGGGGACATCTCTTGATCGGATTTTGGGTGTTTCCACTTTCCTCCAATGGACTTCAATGGAGCTTCTTTCTCCACCACGGAATGCTGGAAATGGCGATTATCATTCGGGATTTCTACAACACCGAGAAGACGGCTCGGGATGATGTGGAGCGAGTCCGATCCGACAAGGATGGGAATCCCGAACTCCGGAGAGCCAAGCCTAAACCCGACAAAAGCCAAGCAACATCTCCGCTCAACATCCCCGTCGTCGTACGGTCGTCCCGCTCCGAAGTACATTAAACCAAGTGGAGTTTCGGGCATCTAGCGGCGGATAGTTCCTTCACCCCGAACGGCGCCGGCGCGCGTATCGCATCTCGAACGGGGGCCACCCGGTCGGCAATCGCAATTCGCGATGAGGATCCCGATATAGATCCGCTGGTTGTCACTGGCTTGGCTCGACACTGCTGACAAGCAAAGATGAGAATATCGGTGCCCCAGGACAACACCAACGAGTTCGATCGAGGATTTGGTACGTAAAGTCATATTGAACTTTGAAGAGACCTGTGTCTGACGCCCATACAGGTCCGATGGGGCAAATGAATACTCCCTTATTATCCGGAACCAACGAATCTTCCTCTTCTCCGAATAATTCCAGTTCACCCTTGGCGCTTACCCAGTCCGGGACTATGGCTCGACATCTCCCAGAAGATCAAGGCCATGGGCTTCAACGCCGTGTGCTTCTACGTCTACTGGAGTTTAGTCGAAGGCCAACGAGGTGAAGTCCGTTTCGACGGCGTCTTTACCCTAGACGGGTTCTTCCACGCCGCATCCGAGGCCGGCATCTACCTCATCGCCAGACCGGGTCCGTACATGAACGCCGAGGTGGCAGCCGGAGGACTTCCGGGGTGGACACTGCGCATCAAAGACCCTCTGTCCCTCTCCGGGGAAACGGGACGGAGTGGCTGTCTTCCATCGAAACCTACACCAGCAAAGTAGGTAGGAAAGATCATTGCCGACGCTCAAATCACCAACGGCGGACCGGTGTTTATGGTCTAAGTAGAAAACGAGTACGACACCTGGCCCGGCATCAACGACACCGACTTCCCCGCCCGTCTCAACCGCGACAACATGGTTCACACCCAACGCCTCGTCCGGAAAGCCGGCATCGTCGTCCCCTTTATGCACAACGACCACCTCGCCCAAGGTAACTGGGCTCCCGGCTCCGAACCGGGCTCAATCGACCTCTACGCCATCGACGCCTACCCCCTGCGCTACGATTGCGGCCACCCCGACATCTGGCACACTGCACCTACCGGTTTCTGCGCGACTGGCACAAGATGCAAGCTCAACACAGCGCCGACACGCCCTTTTTTGTTGCTGAATTCCAAGACGACGCATCCAACGGTTTCGGCACCAGCGGCCAGGAAGGGTGTAACGCCCTGGTCAACCAGGAAAGCGTACGCGTGCTGTGGAAGAACAATTACTCGTTTGCGATCAAGATGCCCACGTTAGCTACCGTGAAGGTCCAGCCCAGGATCCGGCCTAACGTTTACTAACGGGAAGGGGTGACCACAACCCATATTCCAGCCTTTCATCGCCTTGGAAAGGGTGAGGCCATCTTGCCTGGCCTCCCCGAACACTAGTGAAGATCAAGTCGCAGCAATGAAACGGCAATCCACTCAAAGCGTCTGGGTGTTAGGCGCGCCTTGCACAATGCACAGTGTGGAAGCGTCATGAGGGAGTTAGTGCGATGGGATGGCCTGATCTAGGTAGCGACGTATCGTTCAGAAGTTGAGGATAGGTAGGTAGATTGTGTATAAAGGCGGGAGTTCCCCGAGGCCAGAACACATCACTCACCTCAACCACTATTATCACAACAAAAGGAACCGCCACCATGTCCTCCTCAACCACCGACGACTCCAACAGCCATGTCACCACCAACACCGGCGAGATTCCCACCCTATTCGGCCTCCCCTGGACCACCCGCACTTTCAACCCTTCCTTCTCAAATGTCACTCCCACCATGCATACCTCTTCCTACCCGGCCATTAACCCAGCCCTCAATCCCCTCATCTCCCATACCGGGAAGACAGTCCTCATCACCGGCGCCACGGCCGGCATAGGTCTCGCAATGGCTAAGTCGTTCGTTACCGCTTCTGCTTCGAAGGTCATTATCACGGGTCGGAAGCAAGAAAGACTCGACAAAGCTGTTGGTATTCTCCGCCAGCACGCCAAAGAGCTCGGGAAGCAGACGGAAGTAGTGGGCGAGAAATCCGATGCGGCGAAGATGGAGGAGATTGATGCCTTGTGGAAAAAATTGGGAGAGGAGGGAGAGGTGGTGGATGTGCTTATTTTGAATGCTGTGGGGGAGATGGCAATGGGGCGCCTGTGTGAGGAGGGTGGCAGGACGACTGTTGAGATATGGGGCAAACTCGAAGCTAACCTCAGGGGACCGATGAGGTATACTGAGCTTTTTATGAAGCAGGGGAAGAAGGACAGGCAGAAGGTACAGTTTGTGCGAATGATGGCTGGGGTTGGAGGAAGAAGAAGAGGAAGAATGAATGGGCTGACGCAGAAACAGTTCCTCATCAACATCTCCACCGCCTCTGCCCACATCAGCCATCCCGAGTACTCGCCCGCCCTCGCCGCCTGTTCAGAGTACGGCTTCACCAAGGCCACCGCAGGCCTCTTCTTTAGGTACATCGCTCAACAGTCGGACACGGAGAGGTTGCAGGTGGTGAGCTTTCATCCGGGGACGATCTACTCGGAGATGTGGCAGGGTCTCGGCGTGGAAAAGAATATCCTACCGTTTGATGATAGTAAGTCTTTCCAATCAATAGCATGCTTTGAAGGAAGACTTCCTGTTCTGACAGAAGGTGAATACAGTCTCACTGCCAGCTGACTTTGCCGTCTGGGCAGCCACCAAGGAGGCGAGATTCATTCACGGTCGCTTTGTTTGGGCTCATTGGGATGTAGATGAGATGAAGGCTGCGTATGCGGAGCGGTTCGGGAAGGATGCCGAGCTGTTCAGGTTTGGGGTGTGTGGTTTGGCTGGGAGCAACCTCCATGTCACTCCGTGATCGCGCTCTCTGTAGGTAGACCAACCATAAGCAAGAGTACCTCTACTATTCCATGCCTCCTTGCAAATTTGGCGATGGTGCGAGAAAGGCTTCTATGGATGTGATTCCATTTACCATGGTCGTCTCTTCGACACCGGGTGGAATGTCGGAGTCAAAACTTGATAGTGATCTTTCCTTCCGCAGTTGCCATTTCACATGCTTGCACCATCTACCACAACTCGACTGACGCCATCAAAACAAACTTCCGAATCCAGCTCACGGAAGTCCTTCTTCCACTGTCGTCAAGCCCTCATCAGGCGGCTCTCTCGCAACCATTACATCCCTTTTCGGACATCTGGACTCATGGAGGACGACGCCCCGCCTTCGCGAAAAGGGCGTCGTACTCCCGCCATCAACAATTGGTGGACCGGCCCGTGATGCTCCATGGAACGATTCCGGGTACCTGGAGATCTCAGATTCGTGAGAACTTTCTCTCTCAACTCTGGCTCTATAACAACGCCATCGTCCCATCACTCGTCTCAAACATGACAGGCATCTCAGTCACTTCCGCATCAGCTGCCCCTCCATAATGACCCGACTCACCGGCCTCCTCTACGGCCTCGCCGCCCTGGCCAGCTTGACCACCGCCAAACCCGTCTGCCGCGACGAATCCACCAAGTTCGAAGCCGAAGACGCCGTCCTCTCCGGCACCGAGATCCTCACCACCCAATCCGGCTTTTCCGGTACCGGCTACGTCGGCGGCTTCGACACCTCCACCGACAAAATCACCTTCACAATCCCCTCCTCCTCCACCAAGCTCTACGACCTCTCCATCCGCTACGCCGGCATCTACGGCGACAAAAAGACCACCGTGATCCTCAACTCGGGCGCCTCCACCGAAGTCTCCCTCCCGTCCACCGACTTCTTCTCCACCGTCTCCGGCGGCCAAATCCTCCTGAACGAAGGCACCAACACCCTCGAGATCGTCAACAACTGGGGCTGGTACCTGATCGATTACATCCTCATCACCCCCAGCGCCAAGCGCGAAGCGCACAACATCAACACCAGTCTCGTCAACCCCGCCGCTAGCACTGAAGCAAAGACCCTCTACGCTTACCTCCGCTCTATCTACGGCAAGAAGATCCTTTCCGGTCAGCAGGACTTGTCATACGCCAATTACGTCGCTACACTCACGGGCAAGACCCCCGCGCTGGTTGCCTCGGATCTAATCGATTACTCCCCCTCGCGTGTGGCCTACCAGGGGAATGTGAGCCAAGCCGTTGAAGAGGCGATCACGCACCATCAGAGAGGCGGGCTCGTGTCCATCCTGTGGCACTGGAATGCTCCCGCGGGTCTGTACGATACTAGTGAGAATCCGTGGTGGTCTGGCTTTTACACGCGGGCTACCGATTTCGACATCGCTGCTACGTTGGCTGATCCCACGGGCGCCAACTACACCGTTCTCATCCGCGACATTGATGCAATAGCGTACCAGCTCAAACGCCTGCAAAACGCCGGCGTCCCCGTCCTCTGGCGTCCGCTTCACGAAGCAGAGGGTGGATGGTTCTGGTGGGGAGCCAAGGGCGCTGCGCCCGCCAAAGCTCTTTATCATATCCTCTACGACCGGTTGACGAACGTTCATGGCTTGAACAACCTCATCTGGGTATGGAACTCGGTTGCGCAGGACTGGTACCCTGGCGATGAGGTGGTTGATATCGTTAGTGCCGATGTGTATGCCCAGGGCAACGGGCCGATGAGTGTGCAGTACAATGAGTTGGTGGTCCTCGGTAACGACAAGAAGCTGGTGGCGGCGGCGGAGGTGGGGGCTGCTCCTAAGCCTGACTTGCTGGTTGCGTATGAGGCGCATTGGTTGTGGTTTTGTGTTTGGGGGGATAGCTTCATTAATAATGCTGAGTGGAATAGTCCGGCGGTGTTGACGGAGGTGAGTAGAGGTATCCTGGAGATGATGGGAAGTGTTGGATGCGTAGAGGTACTGACTGGATGCTACAGATCTATAACCACGACTATGTCCTCACGCTGGATGAGATCCAGGACTGGAAGACTATTGGAGCTGCTCAGCTCTAAGTTGGATGGGGAAGCTATGAGGTTGTTGTCAACCGCCTGGGACTTCATCGGAGTCTTTTACCTTCACTGTACATCAGCTTGGTTCCAACCACAATACATACCTCTACTTGCCCTTGACATCACTTACAATCTGCGCTGTTTTGTCTATGAGGAGGAGCAAGAACGTGTCCTGCCTGTATGATTAGGTCGTTGAAGAAGAGTGACGAACATCAGTCATTGTTCGAAGAGAACATGAAATGAAAAGGCAACTGTGTCAAAGAAAGGGTGAAAAAGGGGAAAAGAGAAGACAAATCAGCCTGAAGGAAGAAGCAAAAACAGTGCCATTCTCTTCAAATGTCTAAGAGTTGAATCAATCCTCTGTAATACCCCTTCTATCATTTGTCCGCATAGAAGTTGACCGAAGGACGAAGCAGTTAACCCGAACACCTCCCAAAATTCTCTCCTTAACACCGAACAACTAATCCCTTTCCCATTGGCGCGCATCCTACTCCAATGTATCAGCCAAGATCTTGAAGACTTGGGGAAAGTTGCAGTAAACTCTTTTGCCGGTTGCTGGTACCACTCGTACTCGGGTCTCGGGGACTTGGCACTTGCCGTCTTGATCGACGGTAACAACTCCGTGAACCGGATTCGGTATGTGCATGTCAACCACCGCAACCTCCGTCGACAGATTCACACTTGAATTGCTCTTGGCTGTGACTAGCCCCTCCGAATGCCAAAACCCATAGGTGCGCATGACGTCTCGCTTGGACCTCAAGCTTGATAGTCGGTTGATCATGTTTCATGGTGAGAGGACAAGAATTCGGCAGTTGATTTCGTGAAGGGAAGGGAGTTTGGATGTGAGGAAGACAGGAAAGTGAGGAAACTACGAGCTTGTGAACAAGACAAAGTTCAAACAATGAAGACAACACAACATGAACTGGGTAGAGACCGCATAGGTATAAAGCCCCTTCACCTCCTCCACCACTCAGTCACGATCCAACCAGAGCAAACCAGCAAACTACTCCAGCAGTCCAGCTCTTCTTCTCAGCACCCAGCCAACCTCCAACATGGCCGGACTTTCCTCCCGCCTCATCACCCTCCTCCTCCTCTTCACCACCCTCTCCCCCACCCTCGCCGCCCCCTCCTCCGGCTGCGGCAAAGGTCCCACCCTCCGCAACGGGCAAACAGTCAACACCAACATCAACGGCAAATCGCGTCAATACAGCCTCCGGGTTCCGGACAACTACAACCAAAACAACCCGTACCGCCTCATCTTTCTGTGGCATCCACTCGGCGGCTCCATGCAAAAGATTATCCAGGGCGAAGACCCCAACCGCGGCGGTGTCCTGCCTTACTACGGCTTGCCTCCTCTCGATACGAATAAGAAGGCCATCTATGTGGTTCCGAACGGATTGAATGCGGGTTGGGCAAACCAAAACGGCGAAGATGTCTCTTTCTTCGACTCCATGCTGCAGAGTGTGAGTGATGGGCTGTGCATTGATACCAACCTGGTGTTCAGCACGGGGTTCTCCTACGGCGGAGCCATGAGTTACAGCCTGGCTTGTTCACGGGCTAGCAAAGTCCGTGCCGTTGCCGTCATCTCTGGTGGTTTGCTCTCCGGCTGCGCGGGCGGGAATGATCCGGTGGCGTACTACGCGCAACACGGAACTTCCGACCAGGTGCTGAATGTATCCGGAGGAAGACAGTTGAGGGATCGGTTTGTGAAGAACAATGGATGCCGGCCAGCAAATGGGGAAGCACAGCCGGGCAGTGGAGGAAAGTCAACGAGGGTCGAGTATCAGGGATGTCAACAGGGCAAGGATGTGGTGTGGGTTGTGCATGGCGGAGATCATAATCCGAGTCAGAAGGATCCGGGACAGAGCCAACCGTTTGCGCCGGGGAATACTTGGGAGTTCTTTAGCAGGTTCAATTAAGGATGTGTGGTCAAGGGGACAGTCTTGAGAGGGCAGGTGGAAGGAGCAAAAGGGTGATGATGTGGGTTGGGGACGAAGAAGCAGGAGGAGGAAGGAGCTTTGAATGAAAACAAGGCGGTAGGGGAATCTGGATGTCAATGCAATGGAGACTGCCTACATAAAACTTTCTGAGAAAGAGACACTCTTCAAGAATTGTCTCCATGTGAACGGAGAAAGATGCGCGCGTGAAGGAGGAGTGTCCGGGTGTAATGTGGTCAAAGCCAAGAGCATTTACAATGAAGGCAAACGACCATCAGGTTTCCCAGGTGTCTTTTTGTTCTTCCGCCCTTTCCTCCGTTTCCGCTCCTTACTCGTCTTCAGCAAGCTAGGTAGAACAAAGGTCTGAGGCTCTGTGGCCAGCTTCAGCTCAATCAATACCTACACCGTAGCGGGAACACGAAACCCTGAGGTATAGTTCAGGTTCAGAGTTGAGGTAGAAAGTTGCATCAACAACCTCGATTCAGCAACGGTCAAGCCCACGGGAAACATGGATGTACGTATCAATACAACTATACAAGAAGACATAACACGTAGATAGAAAGCCTTGATGTAGCATAGACCTGAGCTTGTGGTAGTTCAGCAGCTACCTAGCAGTTCCTCCTCTCAAGTAGGACTTAGACACGCTAGTTGGACAGAGCATGGCGATAACAATAGGTAGGCTTTGGACCGGAGCAGGCCATAGTGTTGTGACTTCCTTGTGACGAAAGCAGGAAGAAGGCTCGAAGGAAAACACCACCAATGCTGTTAGATCAAGGTGCCTCGTCAAATGTCAAAGCATCTCGAGTCCAAATTGCATTGGGCACCTTCACTGTATAACTACCTCTACAGCTCTGTTTGCTTCTCTCCAGTCTGCTCTCTAGGTACTTCTGCTCTATAGAAACTTTCGGGATACCAAGTGGTAAACGAGGTCTTCGCTACCCCAGATTTATCAAACAAAACGTCTTCCTGGACAGGCCTCAATGCCAGAGAAACGGAATGCCAAAATGCTGTGACTTGTGCATCAGTCTCTCCCACAACAACATGGCAGTGTCGAACTTTCACCTCTTCCCCTCACTCGGTAACTACCTACTCTTTCGTCACCCAAACACATGGACAGACCGACATCATAGCACAGGCTCTGAGAGGACTCACCGAGCAAACCACAAGTAGGTACCTACAACTACACATCCGGAGTGCACTCCGCAAGCTGTGAGATAGATGAAGTCAAATCCATAGGACCCTTATTGCGCAATTGGTACGCAATTGCACTTTAGCTCTCGAGCTAGGTGTTGTCCGACGGCTGATCGCATACAACTCCCATTCCCTTGTGGCCTGGTGTAGGCCAAGACGTACCGAGTAAATAAAGTGAAAGTGTCGAATGATGTGTCACGTATCTCCCGTCTATCCATTATCCAGGCAGAAAACGCTGGAACATGTGAGGATACTGTGCCTCCAAACGCTCTTCGTGGCCGTTAACTTCCATCTCCGAAGCCGGTACGCTCTGTAGACACCCGCTACACACGCTCGGCGTCGTCAGGGTCTTGCCGATCTTTGACTCCAGTCTGTCGCAGATCGTTCAACAACGGGCAACGGGAAAAGAACAGGGAAGAACCCTTTGCGTGTCATTTGTGATGGAATGATTGACAGGGTCCTTGTCCTCGTCACCGTGCTTGTCCCGGTCTGGATTCTGTTGTGTAAGTGGTGTAAGTGGTGCGGCAGAGTTAGACCGGCATTGTGGCTGTGAGGAATTGTGCAATGAGAAGGCCGGTGGACAATCAATTGCCAAACTGCAATTGCAGTACAGCTCATGCAAGTCCAGGCGGAAATGGTGGGACAAAGTGGTAAAGAGAAAGAGACGGGGAGGAAGCCGTGATGCTCTTCCCTGTCGAAGATGTTCACAGTTGCACACCATCATACCATCACCACGCTTGCCATACCCGCCAACGTCTGGCAATGTGTAACCCGATTTGATATCTGGATAGCAAAAGAAGATTGAACCCTTTCTGCATGATGCTAACCCTTTTTCCCTCTAAGCCGCCCATCCCGTCCATCAATCTCTGCAATCGGATATGGGTGCATCTTTTCGCGCGTCGTTCTGCGTCCTTGTGTTGTAGCTGCGCTGTAGTGCGGCTCGTGTTGGCAAGGGGGTGTCGACCAACAAGCAGATAGTTGCATCATAGGGGTACGTAGGAGGCACAGGGGGGCTAGAATCAACTGCTCTCCTCAGCGATCGGCACTGCCGGTGGCCGGATCGTCTCTTGGTTGCACAGATTGCCCTCTAGGGGGTCCTGAATGAATCCAATGCAGTGAGTGGGTTGCGGCTAACGTGCTATGATTTCAGCGAATGGCGATCCTTTTTACACCGGTTGACTTGAGGCTCTCATCGAGATCATTTCAGAGCCTCAAGATCTCCGCTTCTGTCCATGTCATCTGGTTCTTTGGGGATGAACGTGTAGGGTGTCCGTAATTTGCATGGTGGCTTATTCGATGATTTTCGTTGTTGACGTTACACGTCCACTCACGTTAGACGACAGTTTGGGGTTCGTCAGGGTCATGTTCGAGATGCTGGAGATGGTAGTGAATGTCAGGAGCTGAAGAAGGTTCTGACATCAGTTTTTGATGGTTCGAGATGGTGTAGCCGTAGACATGGGCACTACGGACCAACTTGAACACAGTTCAACATGCAAAACTGTATACATCGCCAGGGAAAGAGCCTCAAGTATCGGTTCAAACTGTGGCAGACTGTGTACATCAAGGGATTTACTTCTGCAAGTTGATGAGCGATCTTCAAGACAACCGTTTTATGCAGTTGTTGCAAGAGACGGCGGGCGGGAGACGGGATGGACTTCAGTCTTCAACACCGGAGCTCAACTCGAATGCCTGAGTTTCTGCTAGAAGCCATCTCCACCTGTACAAACGTCCTGAATAGCTGCCCCTGAGTCCCAATTGGCAGTACCTAGGGACTATACTCTCTGCTGTAAAGTGTCTCGGTCCATGACCTAAAATTGAATGCTCTACAATGTGTAGAGTGATCAGTCTAGCATCGGACTTTTGACTCAATGCCATTACTGCTCACTCTATAGAGGTAGAGGTAGTCAACATCCTGCGACGATGTAATGCTGAAGCAACGACTCCTCACCACTTGGATCAGCATATCTCAAGGTGGTTCAGCCTATACACCACTAGGCATCTGCCGGCTATCAACTTTGATAGATTCCAGAGCTTCGTGCAACCCAAAGACCCTCCATCTGTTATTATTGGCGTCGATCCTTGCCCGGATAGTGCACTATATGTGTCGTAAGGGGTTTAAAACCTGAGCACTATAGCTGTGTATATGTGCCGTGTGGGATTCCTACCAGCATTCATGACCGCCGCTTGGGGGCCTTTATTTGGCTTCGAGCTTGACGTGTCAAATTCGCCACAACACCATGATATAACGAGACTCCCACCCAACTTCAGGTGATGATGGATAACACAACTTTGATAGGATGTAAACAAAACTTACAGTTAGTAAAGAGGTGTATTGATGGCAAGCACTCAAAGGCTCTGGTGGCTTCAACGCCCTGAGGGTCTCCAGACTCTGAGCTCATCAACCTACCATCAACCCATCCTCACGCCCCAGTTTCCCCATTTCCCCAGACGTTCATCACCACTCAATGAAGTCGTAAACAACGGCCTCATACCCCCGCCTCATTACTCTCCATATGTTGGAGCCACTCTGACGCCAAGTTCGAACCGCTCCATCTCTCCACCACCTCGGCTGACTCGATTCTCTCCAACCCGCATGAACTGCCCTCCTTCTCCTCACTCTAGGACTCCGAGATGGAAGTCAAGTGATCAATCACGGGCCTAAGCATGGGTTTAGTAAGAGGATTGTGTATCGGAGAAAGCACAGCTCCGCACACCGGGCCCAGTCCTCCGGATAAGCACTTCCAGAGTTCTAATCTTCCGCCGTCCTCCACCCACACACACCATAAAGTGATGAGGAGAAGTCACGAGCCTAGACTGCTGACCTCACCTGACAAGTGAGCAGTGTAGGTCCAGGGCCTCCGCCAAAGATCTCGTCCGCATCCTGCGGCCTGCGGCCTGCGGGAACCTCTTTAGTGATGAGGTGCATGATCTGAAGCCCTGATAGATAGACCAAGAAAGATGAGGGTGTGTAGATGGCGGGTTATGTTGTTGTGGACGGGACGGAAGTGAGGCGGTTGAATGGTTGTCTGGCAAAGTTCTCCGTTTCGCACCTGAAAAAGGATCAGTCGTTGCCGCTCCAAAGCCGCTTTCGAGCAGCCGGTGTTTTTACGTTATTGTAATACTTGCGGTGGTTGTTTGGATGAGGACGGAACCGCCGGAACGGATCGCAAGTCTCACTTCCCTCTTAGTCCTGAATATCGCGCCCTCCATCATGGCGGTTAGGCTCGACTCTCAAACTCCTCACCTGTTAATGGCGAACTGAATAACTGGACAAGAACTCATGTCCTCCTGCCTCAAAGTGGCACTAGAACCAAACATATCGCAGTGTAGCACTCACCCACCACCACATCCTCCACCGATATAACGACCAAGATGCGTCTTCCACACATAACTTCGTACATCGAAACGTGTGCCTTGAACGTGCAGTGGTTGCGGCGTCAAGAACTCAAGAGTGTGTGTGTGTGTGTGTGTTTAGGTGTGGCACACCCCGCATTAACGCCTTCCAGACACAGCAAGAGGGTGTGTTGCACGGAGATAACAGAAAAACGAGAGCAGAGATTTTCAGTTCTAGAGGTGTTGTTGTGGCGGCTGCCGTGGCTGCTCTGGTTGCTACTGTGGCTGCTGATCAAGTTGACTAAACATCCTTGATATAAAAAGATTTCTTATAAGGCAGGCAAGATTGATGTTATGTGGTGTGAGCGGGGCAGACGATATCCGCTTTGGTGATATGATACACGCCGGGATATTGGTAGCATCCGGAAGACGGTAAGGAGCTTGAAAGGTGTGTCCGTTTATCTACGTTATATGAAGGTGTGATATGAGCCATCAAAGTAGATAAGGACCCTCTTATCAAGTTATTCTCCGTTCACTATGCCTCTCGCTAGAACTCGCGAGTGACGGCAGGAGTGATGGATGGCATGGTGTGAGCCGAACTGGACCTCTCAGTGCTGCCGTATCTGCCATCTCGGATACGGACACGGGCCAAACACGGGATGAACGAGATGAGATTGAGAGATTGAGGGATGGATGGACCCGGACCCTTTACTGTCCAGCGCAAGAGGCGAGTGCTACCGACTGACGGAAGAGA